CTGTAAGTAATGACTTAACGATTACTTATTCCATCAATTTCACTTGCAACAATAAACAAAACTGTAACTACATGTATTTGTAAAATCAGAAAGTTCCTGGAAGCACTCCGGTATACATGTATATATAGTTAAAAATTTCCGAACGGACTATATGAAAGAAAATCGCTCATTTTTTTGTTCGTTCCGACCAATAAAATCAATGAAAATTCCTAACTACGTCTATTTTCGCTTGTAACAAGTTCGTGCCTCCTAACTGCAGAAAATTCAGTATCTGCTTACTGCTTTGATTTTATTTCTTCAAGTTTGGCAGCCATTCTGCTCTATAAACTAACAGATGGACAATGGTCATTGGCTTTACTAAGGGTGCCAATTTGTACTCAGGAACTTATTTCAGAGAACTACATATAAACACTTCCGTTCTGGTTATCATAATGTATTTTTTGTTTTTATTGTTGCTGTTGTTGTTGCTGTTGTTATAATATAATGATGAAATTATTATTATTATTGTTGTTGTTGTTGTTGATGATGATGATCATGAAACATGTAATCATAATCGATATTACAATTTTGTTACAATCCATATACTTTCGAAGCATGTAATATTGCCTTCGAAAGACATTCGAAATACCCATAATACATCAATAATATATCGAAGGGAAAACAGACGAAGAGTTACGATTTTATTGTCATTAAAATCAATGCAATCACGTGACTCGACAATCCATCTTCACTAATAATACGTCTGAATATCGTACATACGATCATATTTTGATTTTACCATAAAGTGTATAAATTAGTAAACAATTACGGTACCGAGTAGTGTCATTTTTATCTCTCTGTAGTTTGACTGGTTTGACAAATTTGTTTTCATGTAGAAAGGTTATCATAAACATTTGAGCCGTGTCACGACGAAACAAACATAATGGGTTTGCGACCAGCATAGATCCAGACCAGCCTGCGCATCCGCACAGTCTGATCAGGGTCCATGCTGTTCGCTTATAGACCCTATAACAACTATAGAAACTGATAGCGAACAGCATGGATCCTAATAAGACTGCGCGGATGCGCAGGCTGGTCTGGATCTATGCTGGTCGCAAACTCATTATGATGGTTTTGTCGTGACACGGTTCATTTGTAATATCAACATTAAAGCAACATGTCTCATTTAGAAACATTTTAATTGTCATGAAAACTTATGTGAAATGATATATTATAATGTGAAAAATGTATTTAAAAGTAAAATATTGTGAACTGACCAAATAGTAATTTACACATTGCAAACGTCACTTACAATCCACATAAATTACATAAGGAGGTCAAAATATGCAAAAAGTAGCTCTTACAGCGTTAGTCACGCAAAAGAAATATGGTGAGCAGCCATTCATCGCACCTTAAATGTAAATTAAGATTATTACTTGAATCTTGACTCTTTTTACTTTTCTTAAAATCTTAGTTGTATGCTTTGAAGTTTGATTTTCTTGGACAATTCTGGAGGAGTGCAGTTTTAAGCTGTTGCCGTGTACACAACACGTAATTAAAAATTTATAAGGAGACTGTTTTCAAACTAGAATAGCCGAATCTTTGAAAAACAGTGGTAGTATTCCATTAATTAAAGTGTTTGATAATTGATATAATATATACATTTATTACATTGAACATTAACTCTTGTATACTTATATAAATCTGTATGTACCTAGGGAGTTACGGGGACTCACTGACTTCAAACGAATAATCAAGTATTTTGTCCTGTTTTTCACACCGAGTCCTATTGATTTAGTGACGATACCAAACGAAAGTTCGCGCGTCCTGAGTCAATGCATGGCTCACAATGAGCTGCTCGATCCCGTCTGTACCAAATGACCTGATACGTGGGTCGTCTGAGGTTCTTCTCTATTTGGCCACCATATGAGAGTACTTAGATATATCAAAACCCTTATAAAACTGTTTAGAAAAAATAATTTACGACCATATTTATTATTGGGTTACGGTGACAATGTCCTACAAACTTATATACCTACAAAGTCAATATGGTCGTTACTCTACATATCTTAGATACAACTTTGTAACTTTGATGCATTCAAACATTTTATCTTTACCTATTGAAATTTGGTTTCTGTAGAAAATCCCCCTAAACTGACCACATGTGGAGCTGTGACCAGTCTACGTCATCACTGACCACAAATTAAACATGTCGAGGTCATTTCGTCTTGACCATAAACCATTGAAAAGCAAACAGATTGATTGAAAATGGATGTAATATTGTGTAAGAGATATTAGTGTTCCATCATAACGTTTGATGGGATAAGCCCTCTTCTCATCAAATCCACTTAACTGCAGGTACATTTAGTGCGTACACATAAACTTTGCGGGTAAAAGGGGTATCATATGAATTGTGAGTCAGGAGGTTATATGACTCAAAGCTAATCGAAATTTGTACAACAATGGTTCTTAAATTTCTTTATTTGGCACTTTACTTAATCATTGTTAAGTTAGGTTTTATGTTCTTGCTTTAATTTGATTTTTGAGATATTTATCCATCCCTTGACAAAATGCGATATTCTGTAACCCTTGAAACACAACCTTAAACGTAAACAAGAGTTGATAGTAAAACAACATATATATACAATTACTTATTGATAATTAACGTTTTAACTTTTACAAGTTGGGTTTAACTATGCATTGTATCAAAGAGCACTTATCAACCAATTAAAAAAAGTCATTTGACTATGAACTATGTTTTTCAACATAAACATTTTGTTATGATTAAGAAAAATATACAAACAAGTATGATTGTCACGAAATGTTTTATATACATCATGCATGTGAATAAAATAATTAAATCATTAAAGGCCCATTAAGCCTTAGATATGGTATCATTTTTATTTCTCGAAATTTTTATTGTTTTTATTCTGTTACATTTGCTTAAAATGGTACTCATTGGATATGTAAACTAACTATCTTTTGCTCTTTGAAAACGTAGCATGTAATACTGACTATAAATTGCTTTAAAGCTGCATGCCTCCAAATGAGTCAAAATAGTTCAATAAAATCAAAATTGAGAAATATGTACTACGATTTTAGGAATAGTAAATGATTCAAAGTTCAAGTAATATTTCATATGTTATGTGCGGTAAAAGACTAATTTTTTAGTATTTACAATTATATTTCTACTGCGTTTAATAAAACTAACGCAGTAATGGCTATTTATGCATATTATGGCCATTTTTGGGTAATTTACGTGAGTTGTAAGTGTCATTGATAACGTGTAAATTGTTTCCTTTTGGTCATTTCACAATATTATACATTCAAATACATTTTCAAAATTTTCATGAAAAGAAGCGTGAATCTGGAGGTGTGCTGCTTTAAAATATATGTGATGTTCGCTTGAAATTCATGTTAAGTAACAAAGGACCATGCAGGTGAAATCCATGAATGAAATGAGCAAGGAAATATCTAATATGTAATATCATAATTATGCATTTATTCTGACATCCAGTGAGATTTAGTGCAGTTTTCCGCCTTAAAAACAAGTATTGCGATCGATTTGATATGTTAAAAATTTGTACCTGATTCCAATGAACAAACACAAACATTTAGGGTATGAAATATTTATTCATTTATTCATAAAATTACAAGTAAAGGACACATATGCGACGATGCGATTATTCAACTTTACTGAACTATTGGGCCGTAGTAACAGAAATCCGAAGATTAAGATTCAAACAGACGTAAAATTAAATTCGATTTACATAATCAATTCAAAAGAAACATCGTATCACAAGTATGGTGAATAAATGAAAAATATTTAAAGCAGCATGCCTCCAGATTTATGATAATTTTCATGAAAATCTTGAAAATGTATTTAAAAGTAAAGTGAGCAAAGGAAGTATTTACACACCGCAAATGACACTTTAAGTCCACGTAAATTACCAAAAAGGGGATAAAAATATGCAAAAGTAGCTCTCACTTCGTTAGTAACGCAGTAAAATATGTTGATAAATGCTGCAAAATCAGTCATTAATAGAACATAACACATATTCCTTGAATCTTGAATCTTTCAACTTTTCTGAAAAAAATTGTACATTTTTCTCAAGTTTGATTTTCCTGATAAATTTTGGCTCAACTGGAGGCATGCAGCTTTAAAATTATTGATGTCATCGTAACTTAATGCGAACATATTCAATGTGAACAAAATCATATTTCATACATGGCATTTTAAATATCGGGATAATTGTTCAAGATTTGAGTGGGATCTTTATTGTCATTCAAGATCCGACATCGTGGGTTCAAAACTTGCCAGCAACATGTTAGCTTTCTGAGACGATGCCTCGAGTCGTCTTCCATTTGGGTTAACTTGTGCGCGTGCTTCATGACTGTCTGTAATCTAGTGCATAGTTATATTAACGTGTTTTTTAAGTAAACAAAGTATTTTGTTGCAATTTACTGTCACTCATTAAAAATTATTAGTATACAAAATTACTTCATTGATTTTATTTACATATCATTACATCATTTTGAACGTGCATTTTGTTTACCCTTGTTTTGACTAATGTATCGTACAGGTAAAATCTGGATTCTGTACCATTACTTACCATTTCCCACTCCCCCACTTTTTTCTGCCAGTACCAGGAATGCAAAATAGTCAGTGGAAACAACAGTAGCAGCAACATCAGCAACAAGATTGTGGCGCGCAATGCAAAGCGCCTGTACCCATTAGACCATGCGATGTACATGTATGCGTTTTCCTGCGAGAAATAATTGTAAATTAATCTAGTAAAGTCATGATAAACAAAATATGAATTTGCATGGGCGTTAGTACCATTTGGAACATGGCGCATTCTTCTTTGCGTTTAATTTCGTAACTGCAAATGAGCACCATTTCTTACGTTTCAAGATAATCGCAATTAACGGCTATGTGCTTAATGAAACGTAGCAAGCAAGTTCACTAATGGCTCTGATTTCGATTCTGATATATAAAAAAGAGAGAGAGAAATATGTCTTGTTATCTCAATGTATCAAAACGTGTATACCAACAAACTATGTCGATATAAACCTAGCTATTTAACCGATCTAATACTTTTAGTTAATATTGAAATTTAAGTCAATTTTATCTTCAAAGAGGACTTTTATTGGTCAATTTGGTCCGCGGCGTGTCAGATTTTCTATTTATTCAAGTATTTATACAGATAATTCGCGGTCAGATGAAATAAATCACAAGTACCCCCTTTGTACGTCATTAACCCGAAACGTTATAAACATTTCAGAAAAGTGGATATTGGATCATTACCAGCATAGTGTTTTTGTAATCAACTGCTCTGTGTTGTTCAAACGCTTGTATTTTTTTAGTAACGTTTGTACAAAAAGCATGTTCATAACCCGAGACTGATTACTGTAGCTACGCCCTTAATCGACTGGAACCGATTCCATTATTCTGGAATACTTTTTCAACGCATTGTCTTGGACTTAATTGATACATTTTTAAGGTGATACATTCTTAAGGTAATAAAAATTATTTCTTCTGTTTATTGTTTAAATCTTATTTTTCAAATCGAACATTATCAATTAACATTTATGCAATCGTATTATGTTATTTTGCGTTTTTGGCAGTTCTAGTTATTGAAATTCCTTCTTTTTTTCTTTTCATTTATTGTTCTTTTTGTCTTGATTAGGTAAAAAGTCACTAGTGTTAAAATGGGTAATCATTATGATAACAGGTCTTGCATATCTATAATTTATCATAAATATTTGAACTTCTCTGTTTTTTATTTCCTCAAACAGTTTTTTTTTAAACTAGATTTAGAAATGTCAGCCCTTCATAAAATTGACCCAATAATATGAATTCCTGGTATTAAAATCTTGTATACATATTTAACCCGACATATACAGAATCAGAAAAGTTTCTAATTTCAGAACCATAAAATAAAATATATAGACTTATTTTATTTGATGATATATTTACTTTTCTACGATCTCGACTCTTGCTTTTGAAGTGTATTTGAACTTAACGCATACCGTCTATAACGGACTGTCTAAGATGTTAGTTTTGTATATGGCCCTGTCAGAATAACTGCCTGCAAGCTGCCATAAATAAGATCGTAAAATTGTAATGAATATCTATAAAAAAGAAAACAAGTTTAGATATGATCAAGTATTGAGGATAAACATTTAATTCAAATACTCGTATATTTCTAGTGTTTACAGTTTTCATTTTCGAATTATTCAACCTAAAGCCTGCTGCCGGAAACAGATTTTATTATCCACGCGACCAGTGCAGACCAAGATCAGCCGGCATATCTTTGTCGTCTGATCATGGTCTGCACTGTGCGCTATTTTGAAAAGTTACCTAAAAATGATGAATAGTTTTGTCCAGATTATTAAAAGATGGACAAGTTCATTTTAGATATCTAGTGTGATAAATATAGAATATAGATAAAAGGGTGGGTAGAGATTCTCCTGCCATGGGCTGTCCGTGCAGCGTGACCGGGTCTAGACTGTCTAATTTTTACTTCGGATGTACTTAATTGAGAAATTGAAGTTCTCCAAAATTGACTTTGGATGGTTAGAAAAATTGGTTAATATCTGAATTTTTCATTATTGTATTCATTCTTTTCCACTCAGGAACCGATACTAGTAATTAAGAAATCTATAAAAACAAAAGATTTGGCCAAGAGAAGATATAATGACCTATGTAGTGACTTAAGGTATCATACTATCATGACACTGTCAAATATTTTCAGTAAGTCAGTGTCTTTGTTTTTGGCGGAATGTTAATAAATATCCCCAAATTACAGCTATACAAATAAGATAAGATTGACCCCCCGACATTTCGACTATGCTGTTTAAACTGTTATCAGGGTTTTAAACAAATTCAAACTCGAATTGGAAGATAATTAATTTTCGCTCGATGAAAGGCGCGTTCCTATAAAGTGTTTATTTTGCTATAGTATGTATCGAAAATGTTTAAATTAAATGCAAAATAATGGTGAAAACTGTAGTTTAAGTTGACATTTTATGATAATGTTATACTTTTATGATGCATTGTAAATAGAGAAGTTACAAGAAATAACCATAAACCAGTGTTTTACGACAATTATGTTAAAATAGACGCTCACTGTCTTGTATGTAACGAAACATTATATTATAATAATTCATTAATGCAATATACCCGCAGGTGATCATAACAAAAAATAAAATAAAATAGTGTTCTCCCTTTAAAAGGTAAATAATAATTAAATGTTTTGTTAATATTGCTCCCTCAAAAATGAAAGTAAAAAAAAAAATATTTTTTTAATATTATAAATTACAATACGAAATACTGGTATCGGTTGCTCATACACAAACCGTCCATTTTGTAATTAAGTTTTAATAGAATATTCTTCATTGACAACGAGCTTACACATACAATATAATAAATACATGTATACAATTTCTGGAGCTTAAATCGACATTTTCCTATATTATCACGTTTTTCATTCCAGCAGACGCGCACGCGCCAGATTCCTCAAAATGGACGAAGTGGCAGACGACTTTCAAGAAAAGCAGATTGAACCGAGAAGGAGAAAACTAGCAGTTGCTCATCAAAACAACATCATACTCATTGACGCCAATGGTAATTCTAAGCCACTACAGCGTCTTAACAGTGTTTCTGAGACTACACCGGATGTTTCTAGTCAATGGATTGATGAAGAACCAAATGAGGTTCAAGATCGATCCTCTGTCGTTTGGGAAAACTCTGTACTTCAACAAATTCAAAGCTTGATCAAAAATGTTCAAGTATCAGAAAGTCTTGCTGAATATATAAACAAAGAAATATTAAACGAAGATGATGTAAATGCAAACATTGGTCCGAAAAGCAGACGAAAAAGTTGCTTTACTTTAAGCAATGATATTCATTCTAACACTTCCAGACGACAATCTGTTGCAAGTATTTGCCAAAATAAATCGAAGTCATTACCAAGGACTAATCTCAATGATGAAATGTTTAATCATTTTAAACAAGTGAACCAACGTAGACGAAGTAGTGTTGCTCACCCGAACGGTCGCCGAGTAAGTAACGCGGGGCAAAATCAAAGTCGCAGAAGCAGTGTGGTGCAATATAGTGGCGGGAGAAGGAGAAGTAGTGTTTGGAACCCTGTTGTTCAGAATCAGGGCCCTAGTTGCCGGAGAAGTAGTGTAACCCAAATAAACAGACGCCGGAGTAGTTTGGCGCATGCGTATCAACATGGTGCAGTGCCAACATTTCGAAGAATGAGTAGTGTAAATGATAATGAACTACCAGTGCCAATTAATGCTATTTCTCAGCGCCGCAGAAGCAGCGTAAAACCACCATGTTTTCCAGTGACAAAAATATCTAGTGTTCAAAAACGACTTCATAGAATTTACAACAAGAGACGCAGACGACAAGATCGGGCGGAAGTAAAAATGTCTGATGTCCGAAAGGCGTTTAAAGGACTAAAGAACGAAGAATATTCCGGCGGAAGTGGAAGCGAAGATAACACAATAAATGACAACGATAACTTAACTAGCAGTACTGAAAACGAAGTGTCCGACGAAAACAGGGATATGTGTGATGAAGAAATAATTAGTCCAAAACAAGTGACCGGAAGTGAAGCCGAGTTAAATAATACAGGTACTACAGAGGATATTAATGATAACATTGCACATTCTGATGAACCAAAGCCTAATCCAAGACGAAAAACAAGTATACAAGTTCGTTCTTGGGAACTCTCGCGCAGATTACGACAAAGGAGACGAGAGAAAAGGAAAGGTTTTACGGAAAGTGACTTGATATGATTGATATTTGTGTGGGTATCACTACTATAGTGTTATGATTACAAAGTACTATTTTCAGAATCATACACAGTAAACGAATTGAAATACATATTCAAATACACAATATTGAATGCACCATAAGTCGATATAAGCTAATATTTATAACAAACCCATGTAATTTTACGATATTTTGTTTTTTCTTAGAAAACAGTGCATACGTCCAACATTTTGAATGGTTCAAAAGAAAGGAAGCTACTGCAAAAAAACAAAACAAAACAAAAAGATTTTTCCTTGATGTACTAGATTATTGTTTGTGATAAAATAATTCTCATATGTCTTGTTATTTGTTTATACGTTAATATTGCATTCCAATCTTGAACAAAGTCGATTGCAAACGACGAAAACACTGTAGATGGGCAATGGAATTAAGGTTTTTCCCTCCATCAATAATACGTAAACAATCACTTCATCTCAACAATAATCATTTTTGATCCCCTCGTCATTACGACGTGATTTTGATAAGACGCGGAAAGATACGGAACATGCCGAGTTTTTTTCACGAGATTATAACGCATGTATGCCTAAAGGAATTGTGCGCTTTTATTCTTTGTGGTTTTGAGGTCGGAATACATCAACACAGTTATAGTTTCATGATCGAGATTTGTGTGACAGGGGAAGACTTCTAGCGCATATACACCAGAACCACATCCCTTCCAGCATCTACCTAAATAGAATCCAAAAATTGGCCCTTTGGGAATCGAACTCGATCATTACGTTACTTTATAAGTCAGCGATCACCACTACAGTGATTGCCTCATAGCCTTCTGTATTTTACCAAATTGTGTAGTAATATGCTATATATTTCATGAATTATATAAAATCAGCTAATCATACAATGTTACAGGTATAGCAATCTATGAAACATATCTATTCTTGTTAGGACCACAGTTTTCTAGAAAAAATACAAACGCATTAAAAATAATTCTCGAGTTAAAAATTAAGCTCTTAAGACGAACTTCAAATAATGATATTATACTTTCAAACATGAACAACTTTATTTAGATACATAAACAAAGTAGTGGCTACTTTGTGTTTGGAAAAGAGATTTATAAATCTTATAATAAATGTTTCATTTGTACTTTAACAAGTCAAAAGTACTTGAATGTAAATAAGTGCCTGTAAAAACTGTTTATTCTATACACAACTGGTCAATGGTCTTATAAGAATAAAAAATGTACATTATTTAATATGAGGAACCTGCCCGGTGTTAAATTTGGTGATAAATTTACACAAGAAAAATAATAAACATTTAGTTACAAATGTTTTTACTTTCCATCATCAATTAAAAAGACCGATTACGACAGGCAATTCCCGTCATTTGGCACACCTTACTCTTTTTCAAATTATGACGAAGGGCCGAAATCTTGCGATTTATTTTCCGTAACAAACGTTTATTTTGATTTAAGCAAACTTAAAAAAATGGCGATTATCTCTACCAATCGGTTGATATAAAGATGTTTTTAGATGTTTCAAACTTAAATTTCACGGCCCTAAAGAAGTATGGATTGTCTGCCCTTGACGCTATATGAGAAATAATAATTAGAGTTTGTAAATCTAAAAAATAGTCTGCATTTTTGCTTTGATACAGGCAAAAACAAACAATGACATATAGTTCTACACTTAATAAAAAAACAAATATAAGAAGTGCATACTTTTCTAGTAACTGCTGAGGGAAGTTTAATATGTATGTGTGCTATAAATAATTCTCAATTATAGATAAGCGTGGAGTATATATAGGGCGTTCTCTTTTTTATTAAATGATTTATTGTTAAACAATATATAAAACACTAAATACGATATATCTGCAGACAAGCTCGTTTTATTTATTTGCTAGAAAGAGTTTAATCCTTTGAATGTTTTTTTTTCCTTTTCTTTTTACATGGTTTTGATCGGGAAACTTTCACGAAGTTTGGCAGGAAAGACGGAAAAAGTGTTTTACATAAGAAATAATGTAGATAAAAGCTATAATTTGGTGCTAAAGCAACTCATGGTTGACCTCGTAGCTTTCTGTTAAATTTAGATAAGGACTGATAATCCACAATAGACGAGGTGTTCCGAATATATATTTATCTGATTATATTTATCATGTAAAAATCTAATACATGTTTTAAATGTCCTCAAAATGATAATAATAATAATTATTATTTTCTTTTTTGTCGTTCAGTTTTATTCAAGGGAATTTACATCCACCAGTTAAGAGGCTTATGTCCATTTAGATGAAAGTTGGTCGTTTTATAAAACTCTTTTGATGATTTCTTTCAAAATCCTTCCAAAAGTAAAAAAGCAAAGTGTGACAATAAACAGTGCAAAGAGGTTGGGAAAAATGGTGACAGCTTATGATCAGAAATTTTGGACACAAGTTATTGGTCTAGCTCGCATATATCAAGTGGAACAATAATCTCGAGAAATTATTTCCAGTCCCGAAATTTAAAAATATTCTCAGTGGAGTCTCTTTTAGTTTAAGTATGTAACACGAAAATCAGCTACATTGATAAGAACATTATTGATATAATTTCAAAATATCTGGAATATAATATGAGGATATTATGAGGTTGAGTACGATACTGAATTCTTCTGGAAGATTACACAGCTGCAAAACCTATATTGGACGAAGCAAAGCCACAGTGATGAGACTAGCGCCCACCATACCTTGATTAAATTGCTTTAGGTTGTTGTCAATTCGATTTGTTGCACATTGTGTTATATGCAGGCAAAATAAAAAAAACTTTGGATACAAGCAACTGAAAAATGGGATAAGTAGGCCTAAAATAGATATTGGCCTAACCTACTCGCCAGACAGTCTGTAAAGGGCCAAATTCAACATGGCACACGCAGAACGGTTGCATTCAGGTCCATTTCATTGTAATCCAACTGTCGATCAAGGACTTGAACTTGTTATAAGATGAACACTGTCTGCATGTGTGTGGTAGTGGGTCTAACAGCCAGGCGATCGCAACCCACGTGTACTGATACCGCTATCAGATAACTAGATCGAATTTGAATATTTTATGCAGGATTTTCAGGAGTATTCATGATACACATTTATGACATCAAATTCATTGAAATATATTGCTCTTTAGTGGTATTTAGATATTTACAAACTTTCAACAGCTTGATTAAATATAGTAAATATCCTATATAAAACATTGTAAAGTATATTATTCTTACTTCCCAATGTGGCTAAGAAGTTGCCTCTACAGTTAAGTTATGAGACATCAGAAATCACCGTTTATCCCTGCATGATCGTAAGAGGCGACTAAATAGGTTCCAATTACTGAAGTCTATGCATTTCTAAGTTCCAGCAGGTGAAGTACGTGGTTTTGACCCCTGGCGTTGCTTTAAGTTTGTAATGTTACCTGATGTTAGCCAAAATCATCTTTCCTGTTTCGGCGCCATGCCATGCGACCTAAATAGTGTTGGTGTGCCGTAAAATCATAAAAATAATCATATGACAAATTGTTTTGGCAATTCCCTTTTCAATCAGTCTCATCATGTTGAAACTAGAACTATCGCTGAATGCGATTCATACCCCCACCAATGTCCTTGACAGAAGACGACTTGGAAAGGTGGTTAAGGGAATAACTTTAGTGGCACAAATACATATACATAAAAAGAAATTATCTCTGGTGAAAAAAGACAAATTGTACAGGTAATAGTATAAATATATATTGTCAAATCATGTTCGAAACAGTTACAAATAACATTTCATTTTCCCAATGTACTAAAACAAACAAAAGCAGTGAAGTTAAGAAAATAGCATGTCAAAATGTAATTAAGAGTGGAAAAACTTTGCATACTGAGCTTACTTTTGACCCTTCATATATTATATAGTTTCAAGTGAATATCTGTTCTAGTTTCAGAAACATTTAAGTATTAATGGTTATATCAGAACATTTTCTAAGCCTTGTGTGTCATAATTCAATGGAATTGTAGAATTTTCGTCATCTGAGCTTGCTTGTAACCATTCATATAAATTTTAAGTTTCAAGTAAATATCTGTTCTGGTTTAAGAAATATTATAGTAAATAAATTTAAAGACATAAAAATGGACTTAACTTTGTCAAAATACAATACAAAGTTATCCCCCCCCACTTTTTTTAGTTATGAAACTTGACCTGCATATCTTACTTGCGACACTTCGTATATATTTGAAGTTTCAAATGATTATCTGTTCTAGTTTTAGAAATATTCAAGTACATGTTAAAATTTCAGAACATTTTCTAAGTCAATTTTTGACCTTCAAGTGTGGCCTTGACCTTAAGCTGGCACAAGGGTAAGATGGGTTCTGCACATTGCCCAGTTGGGGTGAACATTTGAGTCAAGTTTGAAGAAAATCCTTCCATTAGTATAGAATTTATAGAGCGGACACGACATATTGTCTAGTATTGGTTGTATGTAAATTTAAAGACTTAAAAATGGGGCATAACTTTGTCAAAATGCAATACAAGATTATGAAACTTGACTTGCATACCTTACTTGTGATACCTCACATATCTTTTAAGTTTCAAGCAAATACCTGTGCTAGTTTCAGAAATATTCAAGTACATGTTAAAATTGAAGAACATTTTCTTAGTCAATTTTTGACCTTCAAGTGTGACCTTGACCTTAAGACAAAGGTAACATGGGTTCTGCACATAACCTTGTTAAGGTGAACATTTGAGTAAAGTTTGAAGAAAATTCTTCCATTAGTATAGGATTTATAGAACGGACACGACATATTGTCTAATATTTGATTGTAGGTAAATTTGAAGACTTAAAAGGGGGCAAAACTTTGTCAAAATGCAATACAGAGTTATGAAACTTGACCTGCATATCTTATTTGTGACACTTCATATATATCTTAAGTTTGAAGCAAAAACCTTTTCTAGTTTCAGAAATATTCAAATACATGTTAAAATTTAAGAATATTTTCCTAGTCAATTTTTGACCTTCAAGTGTGACCTTGGTTTTAAGCAGGCAAAAGGGCAACATGGGTTCTGCACATTACCTTGTTGAGGTGAACATTTGAGCCAAGATTGAAGAAAATATTTCAATTAGTGTAGTACTTACAGAGCGGACACGACATACTGTCTAATATTTGATTGTTTGATATTTGACCTTCAATTGTGACCTTCGCCTTGATCTGACACAAGGGCAACATGGGTTCTGCACATCCCCATGTTGAGGTGAACATAAATGTGAGCCAAGTTTGTAGAAAGTCCTTCAATTGGTATAGGACTTATAGAGCGGACACGATAATGGAGACGGACGGACCGACCGACCAAAGCGAATCCATTATATTTATGAAGAATAAATAAATTTGAGCATAGTGTAAATGAATCTGCTAGATAAAACAACCATGCCACGCGTAAATCTCATGGAAATATCTCTTAGATAAGGGTTTTGTGCCTTTTATGGTGCAAAGAAGACGCTTCAAATTGATCCGCAACACAATCAGACAAATGGTGTTTGAACGGTTGACTCGAGAAAATGCTTCTAATTTCGAAAATTTATATACAGAAAGAACAGATCACGGTTATAAAACGACCATGCCACGCGTAAATCTCACGGACATATTTCTTGGATTAGGGCTTTGTGCCTATTATCACGGATTTATATTACATGTAATATAAATCCGTGCTATTATGGTGCAAAAAAGACGCTTCGAATTGATACAAAATCGAATCCGCAACGCAATCAGACAAATGGTGCTCGAGAAAATGGTGCTTTTTTCGAACCTTTATACATTGTATATAGAAAGAACAAATCACCGGTTCTTAAAACGACCATAACACGCGGAAATCTCACGGATTACTGCTTTTGGCCTTTAATTATGGTGCAAAGAAAACACTTCAAATTGAATTAAAATCGAATCGAATCTACAAAACAATCTGGCAAATGGTGTTTGAACACTTCAAATTTATACAAAATCAAATCCGAAACGGAGTTTGAACGATTGGCTCGAGAAAATGGTGATTTTTTCCTACATTTATATACAGAAAGAACAAATCACCGGGTCATAAAACGACCATGACACACGGAAATCTCACGGATTAGGGCTTTCTGCATTTTATGGTGCAAAGAAGACCCTTCAATTTGATACAAAATCAAATCCGAAACGGAGTTTTGAACGGTTGGCTCGAGAAAATGGTGCTTTTTTCCTACATTAATATACAGAAAGAACAAATCACCGGGTCATAAAACGACCATGACACGCGGAAATCTCCCGGATTTGGGCTTTGGGCCTTTTATGGTGCAATGAAAACGCTTCCAATTGATACATGGCATGTACAAAATAGAATCCGCAAAGTAATCGGACAAAATTATTTTGCTCTGACAGAGACCATTTCGTTAAATGGAAAGCATTCCTTCCGGTTTTAAAGCGTACTTTCACAAAAATAATCGGGAAGTGTTCAAAATGGCTTCTTCAGAAAAGAGACCACGGAAAGGAATCTTAAAAACGTCTACAAGTTTCGACGGCAATGACCACCATCCGTACGATTTGATGTTTTTGATTACAAAAATAACTTTACATGATATGCTGATTTAATGTAGATTTTACATTACTTATTTTTGTAGCTTTTCGGTTTTGAAGCTTTGCAAATTTAAAATTTATGAATAATTTCTCAAAGCTATTAATTAAGGAGCGCTTCATATGATTGTAACGTTTACATATTCTATATCAAATAAATTCTACTAATAAGAAACATACATAAAATATATTATTATCATTTTATTGTGAATAACAAGATTGTTCCATATGTCTAGCATTTATTCCTATGGGATAGTGAAATTATAAACCTATGCTAGAATCGGTAGCAAGACACTTCACCCCCCAGACACTTCAACCCTCAAATTTTGAAGACACTTCACCCCTCAAGACACTTCACCCCCCAAAATCAGTAAAACACTTCACCCCTCATCCAATTTTTTTCTAAAAAGTAAATAAGCTAACAACATAATGCTTTTTATATCATATGCTTATTTTAATAAGGCCTAAAAAAAAAAATTGTTCTGTTCGGGTCACCCGACCCTACCTAATAATATGCGCCGACCCTACCATTTTTTTCGTGTCCAAAAAAAAAAAAAAAAAATCCATAAAAATACCGTATTATTGAGGTACTCAATGAGCAGTGTGAAGGGCAATTCAGGCGAAAATTTCGCTGTGTATATTTCCATTTCGCTCTCCCAATTGATCAAAGAGAAGTCAACAACGCCGATAAAATCTTAATTCCCAAAGAGTAATTACTTGCCGATGTAAAGAGCAGAGATTGTATCCGCCCATATGACGACTGCTAATTATCATTATCCAATCAGAGCATCGCTATATACTACCCTTCTACCTGTATGCAAAGCGATAGACCGCCTACTCTAAACAGTAAATAATGAGAGCATCGGCCCGAAACGAGTATATTTTGCGAGTTTAATACGGGATTTGGCGATAATTATAGATTAATTTTTTTCCGATCATCTAAACACGTGCAAATCTTCCCTAATTGATATACACGCGGTGTTTAACCGAAGTAAAGGCGATGTGCAATGGGTTTTTCACGGCTATCACAAAACTGTTAGTCAATTCGAAAAAATCTTATGACTGGTATGTTGTAGACAGTGAGAGTGTTTTGCATTGTTATCTTTGTAGAAATGCCAAATTTGACACAGCTTGTACGCTCGTGGGCACGACATCCTGCTAAAACTACGAATCATGATCGGCATGCGACATATCGGTCGTATATCATGTGCTCATGTATATAACAACAAAATTTGTCAGGAAAGAAGTGTTCTTATTGTTTCAATATATATATTTGTTTTAATGTCATAAATATGACGCTCAGATTAAGATTTATTAATATTGTAAATTTCAAAAAGCATTATTTATAAAGATATTACCGAGTTTAACATTTCATGAAAATAAAGGGAGGTAATTAGAAATTTATTTTCTATAATTTCTCAGTCGAATTTTTCAATAAGAAATGAATGTATATAATTTTAGTGATCAAATATAATGTGCTTAAATGTTTGCAACTGGTACATATTTTACATATTCTTCGATATTTGAAAATTGTTTTATAAGCATAATTATATGCACATAAATATGACAATACAACATAGAAGATCACAAAAGAAATTTCTGTAAACAGAACAGGATAGACAGATTTTATTAATCATTATCCAATGTAACTTTATCTGGAAAGTAAAAATATAAAGTTAATTTATTCATCATAGTTTTTTTTACACGTTATTATCAAAAATATATGAGAAAGCTTATAAATAGCTGATAAATAGATTGTGTTTCTATTCTAGTTAAAGGATGTATAGCCATGCATGTTAATGCATAAACATTGGGATGTTTCCTTTCTGCCGATTTTTCACAAGGAAGTCACTTCTCCCTAAAATTTCCCCCCAGGATGAGCCCTGGGTACGGTACAGGTTTTATCGCCGCTCTTAGTTACAAAATGGCGGATCACATCGTCAATATTTGTAAAACGGCGTGTGATCCTCACCAGAAGAACGCTGAGAGTTTAAGATTGTTATACCTGAAATGTCTTTTGAAAACATAGAAGGGATCCATGTATTTGTGCCACCCGGGAGGGATGTCAGAAATTTCCATATCTAAATTTCAATATACTGGTGAAAAAAAAAAAAAAAAAAATCCGACCTACCCTACCTATTCCTTGAGAGCATGTTACCCTAACAAAACAATTTTTTTTTTTAGGCCTAAGTGTCTCAATCAAATTTCTTAAAATGAGGGGTGAACTGTCTGAGGGTTGAAGTGTCTGCAAAAAAGGGCCTCGGGTGAAGTGTCTGTAAACCCTAGAATCTATATCAACTAGTGGATAAAATTTAATAGTTTTCTATAAAGCATTATTGAAACATGGACGAAAGTTACAGGATTCAAATTTTGTCATGATGAAATAGTTAAATAAGTATAGCTTTATTTGTATTAAGCTATTAAAACAATTTTAAAATAATCAGGGCTGTTGATCTACCAAATCTGCCGCCAAGTATTTGGCCTGGCCTCAGTCTGCTACCAAAATAGTTTTTTTTCCATAATAAAGGTAAAAATACCCCTCAAAACATTAAATTGAACGAAAAAAAACTAGAAAGTTTTGCTGTTTTTGACATGTAAAATTGATCATTTTTCTCAGCAGAATATTTCACATCATAACATGGTGCAATATTTGTATGGATGAACCTGGAAGACATTTGTCCTTTAGTTTATTGATATTTGACCAGAGAGGAAATAAAAAAAATTCCCACATCCACTGCAATTCCCCCTACTTCCCCCAAATTGGATTGAGGGCCCTCAGACAATATTGGACTGAATATTTAATCACCCTGAGCCCGCCGCCCTTAAGCATACATGCCATATTTTCTAGGTTTCTTTCCGGGACTCTTTACCTGAGGGAGGGGGTCATTGAAATCAGCAAGCAAATTGTTTCTAAAAACCATGGTGGTATACACCCCAGAATCCCAGATTACCTATGTGCAAATGATAAAACAAAATAACAAGACGGTGGGGGTCATCAGGTTTTTACTTTCTCTCACACCATTTACTCACATATCCAGCAAGCATTATTTTTGCCTGTTACACTTGCGAGAGGAGTTGACAGTACACGGAGATAGATAAGTCAAAATGTCAATAATAACTGGCAGTTTATCTATCGTTTTTAAAAGTGATAAGGGACTGGGTACGTAAAGTTTAATGCTCATTTATGATTTAATGTACTTTTTTTTTAGAAGGAACAAAGAGATGACCTGGGATGAGATGAACATTATAGCTACCCATCATCCCCCAGACAAAGATTATGGTCACATGAAGATTGACGAGCCACCGACGCCATACAGTAAGTGTTCTGATCTAGAGGATGAAGATGACGAGACTACAGGAGAACGACGAGGAAGTGTCAGTGACAAAACTAAATTAGATGCCAAATCTCTTAGTTCAAGGTATACAATTTTCCAATTTGACTGTCATTATATTCTATATATTATTAATATATATGTGTGTGGTGACATTTTATTGTTTGTTTTATCTTTTGAGTAAATCTTAGGTATTGGCTGTCTTAGAATTAGGACAAGAGGTGATCTTTTGGCTTAATCACAGAAAATAAATGGAATCACGGTACCCTGTCTTATGAAGTTAAGAGCATTTACAATTCAATGTGTACCCTGTTTTGCCATTACAAGCACATGTTACTCAGGGTTGTCATTAAGAGGCGGCAGGAGGCCAAAATGCCTGTCTCAAATGCATTATGGGCCGCCTCAAAATTAAGAAAACACTCTTTGTTATGCATTATAAAGACAGAAATGACCGCCTCAAGTTCAAAACAAACCTTCTGCAAAAAATGTTAATGACAACCCTAACTTACTTGCAATCACTGTTCCTAACTTTGGAGGCAATATATTTGAATAATTTCAGTTTGTATCTTTCTTTTGATAACAGGAAGTGGACTTGTGTTCATATATAATATCTCTTCATGAATTTCATAAGGCTTTAAATGTAACCACAGACACTATTCCATAAAAATAACAACCACAAATATATCAGGCTGTAATTTATAGTGTCTTGTCTAATATCATTATCAAGATCAATGATTAACCTGTACCCAACTCTTTAGTGTATTGGTCTTGACCTTCTTTGAATTTTGGAACTTTCCATTGTTATTATAGGGGTTTTCTGTTGCGAAAAAAGCTTATATAGAACAACAGACATTGTAAAGTCAGTTACAAATGCATAAATGTGCCTACTTGCTTAGTCTCTAAGACCTCAAAAAGTTAAATGTCAACATTTTTAGATTGGAAGATATTGAGGCACCTACAAGACAGAGGCGTGTCTCCACAGAAGAAGACGATTCCAGTGATGAAGAAGATGAGGAATTGACAGAAGAGGACAGAGGTAATCATAGTTTAAACATAATTATTTTAGCTTGATTGCTAAAAAAATTTTTGCAAGTACATTAAGCAATTTTGAGTCCGCTTCCTGGAACTAACCAGTACTGAAATCATGGTTGTGACCTGTGCAGGGTTTGAACCCATTAACCCTAGGTTTAAAGGTAGACTTAACCCTATATTTAGAGGCAAACACCGTAACCACAAGGTGACCGCAACCCTTAACCACAAGGTGACCGCACCCCGTAGTGGTAATTTTTAAATGATGTCACATTCTGAATGAATATTAAGGACTGGCTCACTGACTGTTCTTGACTCTGAATCACTTTCTCCACTTCACTATGAGTTCAAATCCCATAAGGAACTGAAAATTCTTTGTTTATTGTAAGGAAGCTATCTAGGCTTAAATGTATTTCTATAAGGTTGGTGGTTGACTCTGGCGTTTGATGTTGCCCTATATAATACATTGAGGGGCATCAGGTAAGTCCTCGTGAACCAGTATAGCTGGAAAATCGCCTATACAGTGTTGGTATGACTTTCAACCTAACAAAAACCAAAACAAAAAATAAACGGCTCATCCGCCTCCGTGGTTGAGGGGTTAGAGTCGATGACTTCTAATCCAGTTACCTCTCTGGTGTGGGTTCGATCCCCGGGAGATGCTTTGGTAGTTTAGCGCGGAGGTAGGTAGTCTAGTACTGGTGTAACTCTCCAGGAACGATGGTTAGAAAACTACCCGCCTATATGACTGAAATACTGTTGGGAAAAGGCGTAAAATGAAACAAACAAACAAACATAAACGGCTCATTTTCCATTTACTGGTACCTTTATTTAAACTGGTCATTATTGACAAGATTTATTGATATAAAAACAATTCCTGTAAACATTTAATGCATGTTTGTTCAAATTGGATAATGATTAGTATGAGTGAAACTTTTTCTTTCCTGTCATTTCATTCACATGTAGAATCTCATTTCCATTTGCAGAGCATAGGAAAAAGTTTGAACAGAAGCGTAAAATTCATTATAATGAATTCCAAGCAGTAAAATTAGCCAAGCAGTTAATGGAAGAAGAAGATGATGACGATGATGAAGAAGATGAAACTGGGGATAATGGTAGTAATACACGGGAAAGTGTTCAAATGCAGACTGATCAGTCACCGGGTACAGATATTGATAGTACCGGTGAAAAGTTAACATCAGGAGTTCTGAAGGTTTCAGGGAGCTCTGCGTCAGGTCGTAATAGCCTGGCAGAGACCACAATGGATGCAGCCGGCCACTTAGAAACTCAAATTAATTAACTACCCATTTCTGTCTATAATTATCTCTCTTATGATTTTTTTTTCCGTGTGTAATGTATAGACATTTTAAAAGTTTTCAAAAACGTTTAGGAAGTAGATTAGATATAAAGCATTAATTAGTTCTACTGTTGTTTTGTACAAAATATGTATATTTTTGATGTATGAGTATAAAGTTGTCATTTATTTTCACCGACTTGATGTTTTTTACAGTCTCTGTATACGCCATTCATGCTATTTGATTTTTGTCCACCATGGTACAATGTATTAAGTTGTATCTTTCCTAATGATTATCCAAATTTTGTAACTGCAGATCTGGTAACATGGTTTTGCTATTTAATTCCATAGTTAAAGGTGCTCCACAGAGGTCAAAAAACCTAATAAAGCCTGGAAAATCTGCAAAAGATGATAAAGAAGTATACTCAGTTGGAAATTAAGTTTTTGCAACACTAAAATTGACATTTTGCACAATTAAAATTATTATAAGAAAATGGAGGGAGGAAGTGTTCTGAAATTTTGCACACAAGTTTAGAAAAAAAAAATTTCGAGTGCCTTCATGACAAAAAAACTCAGTGGAGTTCCTTTAAATTTTTAATTGGCATTGAAAGGATTTTATTTCTTTCATTGTCTTTGGCTCTGATATGTTTAGATTGAAGGGACAATTTTAATTTTTTACAGATTTTTTGCGGAGGGATTCAGTCTCAAAATTAAACTTTTTCCCAGTATTTTAGTAATGTGACACATAACCTTGAGATTGGGAAATTTTGCGGTATTTGTCTCAGAATTGGGATAAATGTGAGAAAATGTTTTATAACAGCTGGGTCTCATATTTAATTTAGATAAAACTGAGTATGTGGGTTGGCTTTGAACAAGCTATTGGAAATCAGACAGATTTTAAGTTGCCATTTAAAGTTTTTGTCTGAGATTTGAGAAAACCAATAATATTCTCCATTGAGAATATGAGTCAATATTTGCTATTAAGTAGACCCTCCTCTCTCTCCCCCAAAAAAGCTGTGTGTAAAATTCACAATTAAGAAATCCCCTGGAGGGCTATCAAAAAAAGTAGAAAAACAAAAATGTTTGTGGAAATAAATGACAAGTGCATTTGGTGCATGTTGTTAATGTTATTTTTGTAATGTACTGTTGAAAACAGGGTGAAAGCTATGTAAAATTTATGTTCCTAGATAATTTCTTAACATGTTCTTGTTATATAACATTGATGATAGTCTATGACTGATTTTTTTTGCATGATTTATTTTTAAGTTTGTTTTTTTTTCTTGAAAAAAAAAATGAATGAATAAAAATATGACAATTCTAAGATTTTTTATGTTGATGGTTGTATAATGCAAATGGCATGGATCTATAAATATAATTAATTAAATCTAAGGCTAAAAAAGAGTTACTTTAAGGGGCATGAAAATTTGTGTACTTCTTAGTCCTATATGCAAACTATGAGCACGATGTCACCATTGACCAATGGCGATTGGTTTTAAACTTTGTAAGAGCATGAGAGAGCATGGTAGATTGTTTTATAATAGAGCCTGCATGCTCAGTGATCTCATCTTTTGAGTATGGGTTTCTTTTTTCAGGGGTATCGGGATGATTTTTGGTCTTTCGTGAGGTGCCGTGTTCTTCCCCCCCTTCCTATGTCTAAAGAGTTGGACAGATTACTCATCTATATTGGACGCTGTGTTGTTGTTTTTTCTATATATTTTTTAACTACAGTCAAACTATGTATGTAAAGACCTCTTTTTTAAGGTGTGATTTAAATTCTTTTTTATTATTATGGTAATCTTGCTGTAAATCACGGGCTGAAAAAGAATTTTCAGGTATTCACAACATGTGAGGAAAATATACTTAAATACCTGAAAACAATTATATGGTGATAATGAATATGCAAGGGTTTATTCAAATTATTGCATACATGTCGTAACTTGTTACTCTATCCTTTATTGGCTTAATGTTTAAAACTGACCTTCCATGTTGTGGACTTTCTGATATAGAACTGTCCATTGAAATAGAATTATTAGTTGTTTGTGAGAATGAAAAATTCTAAAATCAATTAGCCTTTGCCCACTAGTGTAAATTCGATCAGACACGTGGAAATTGCAAGAGGGTCTAACCAGTCCATATAACCAGGTAACCGGACTATATTTCCGCCCTGACCATATATTTTCGCCACTTATTATGATTATGACAATATTGCATTGAATTCTTTGTAAAATAATTTTTTTTAATTTTTTGCTATTCATCATCCACCTGAATTCCTATATGTAGCAGTATTAATTTTTGATACAAATGATTTTGTTAAATTCCCTTGTACACTTGATTCAGCTTTTTGATACTGATTTTATAGCTGGTAAGACCAATGTGAATTTTTCTCGACTTGAAATTTTTCTCATTTGATTTGCTTGAGCTTCGTAACAAGTGGAAGTCTTCTTAAGGACTTGCAATATTTTTTTTTTGTGTAATATGTTTTTTGTTTTTATTTTTTCTTCGGACACTGTGTTATGAATATGTACTTTCGTCCATGTTTTGTTAAGCACTTTTTTTTCAGCACTTTTTATGGCACTAGTGAATGAATATTTTATTAGACAATTTTCACAACTATTCTTACAAAGTCAGATACTTTTTTTTCTTACTGACCAAAAAGCATTAGAAAATCTCTTTAAAAAAGATGAAAATTGTTATATATTTTAAACATTTATGCTTGAAAGGTTATTAAAGTTTTTTTGCTTCTTTTTTTTTCATACCAAAAAGCTTAAAGAAGTAAATGTAGTAATAACCAGAATATTGTTATGCAGATATTTTATCATATGTGAGGAAGTTGTACGTATTACCAGGAACAAAGTAAACAGCTTGAAGTGTCTATTCTAGGATTTGAAAAACAGGGGAAATTTTTATCAAAAAGTGAGAATTTATTATATTTGTTGATCTTTTTCCTACTTTCTCTATGTAAAATTCCCCCCTGCCTTTGAAAAAATAGGGCGAGTTCTCAAAAATATGAGTGAATCCCCCATCCCCACTCCCAAAAATAGACTCTGCCTTGTGTGAGAGACTCATAAAATGAGATATATGTATATAATGAAATCAGTAAATTCTTTACCAATATCAAAATTATCAATGATTTTGAAGTGTTTGAAAGAAACTGAAGTCTGGAATTACATTAGATATCACAGCTAGCTTATTTCTTTTTTCTGAGCCACTAGCATCAAAATTTTACGGATAATTTAGACAATTAAATGTGAAATATAGGAAAGATAAATAATTTTAATCATCAAGAAAAGCCATATAGCTGAATTTCAGACACTTTTAAATATAACACTTTTTGAGACAATTTTCTGTGAGTATACACAAAGTAAGAGGCGAATGTGACAAAAAAGTTTGCTTTACATTTGATTTATTATGTGCTAAACTAAAATTAAATAAGTGCTAATGTTAAAAGTGCTCTAGTTTTGATGTAATGTTGATTTAGCTCTCGTTGTTAAATGTACAAATTGTTTTTGGAAGGACGAAAGGTGAAGAAAAATAATGTCTCGTTTGTTTTGTTCTGTGATGATGGTGTAACCATTGTGTTCATGTTATTGTTGTGATGTCATCTTGTTGTGTATTTGAGCCGCGCCATGACAAAACCAACTGTTCGCTATCTGTTTCTCTACTTGCTGTAGGGTTTGTAAGCGAATAGCATGGATCCTGATCAGACTGTGCGGATGCGCAGGCTGGTCTGGATCCATGCTGGTCGCAAACCCATTATGTTGGTTTTGTCATGGCGCGGCTCATTTTTATGTCATCGACTTTTTCAGTCGTTTTTGTTCGGGCATACAAAAAAAGTATTAAGATGAGCTGCTCATCAACATGTTGACAAGGAAAGATTAAAACATAAATTAAAAAATAATTAACTAAAAAAATTTTCAAATGATAAGAATTTACATATGGAGGTTATTGTGGTGTTAATTTTAAACACATTTTTTACATGTGCATGCACCTTAGTAAACTGTACAGGCCAGTCCCATTTAGAGGTCAAAGGTCAAGGTTGCCAGCGTCAAGGTCACTTCGGAGTTCATTTGAACATAGTTCTTGACTCTTAGTTGATTAGCATACATTTTGGAAAAGTTAACTCGAATATCTTATTAAAATGTTAAAATGTAAAAAATGAAATATAGAAGGGCAATAGAACTTAACAATTTTCTTTCAAGCTATTGTCTATTCTATGTGTTAATTTTCTATTTGATTATCTTTGGTTCTTGGGGTGCTTAGTCTATGCAGGCTGTCTGTATACATTTTAAATATTTGTGGGGGAAATCATTATTATCAGGAAAAGGGTTTTTAATATTCTACATGTATCCCTTGCCTTTTAAAATATTTAAAGATGCGATGTTTCTTGGGTGCAGGGAAAAGATGATATATTGACTTTTACTTGATAAGCTTCAAATTTTAAAGAGAAAAAAATCAATATTTTTTCGACTACTTGTATATTTTTTGTTTGTCATTCGTACAGTTGTTAAATGTGTTGTTTAAAGTATGTAGTATGAGTGATAGCAAATAGAATGGTTAGATTTTGTGACATAGATCTGTGACTTGTGAATTCCCGGTAGAATTGTTCATTTGAGCAGCGTCACGACAAAACCAACTTAGTACGTTTGCGACCAGCATGGATCCAGACCAGCCTGCGCATCCGCGCAGTCTCATCAGGATCCACGCTGTTCGCTTACCAACTCTATTACAAATAGAGAAACTGATAGCGAACAGCATGGATCCTGATCAGACTGCGTGGACGCGCAGGCTGGTCTGGATCCATGCTGGTTGCAAACGCACTATGTTGGTTTTGTTGTGACGCAGCTCAATTATTAAATTTTTGTTGTACTGTTGATATAGTATTACTGACTGATATAGATATGCAAGAACTGTGAAATCATTTTGGTCCAGGACATGTTTCTTCCCCATGTTTCTATGAGATTAAGGCAAACTGAATGCACACAGAGAGAAGGCAAATATTGGGTGAATTTGTCCATTGAGAATTATTTTTTAATGAAATTAAAGGCTTCCAGATTGATGTAAAAATATGAAAATTGAAGAACTTGACTTGATAACATTAATTTTCTAGATTGATTCTGGTTATTTTTGTTTTGTTTATTTTAAAGAAAATTGAAAAATGTTGGTTTCATGTCAAAGTTATAAATTTAAGGATTAAACACATGCTCCACTAAGGTCCATATTATCTGCATAGAGCAAGTGGTGAAATTAAAACAAATAAATATGAAGAAGATAATAAGAAAGAGTTATACTCAAAATTAAATTCAAAATTGATATTTAGTGCAATTCTTAGCCCGATGTGAGTTTAAGCATTTCATCGCTTTTCTAATTGAGGTCATTTTGCACAATTAAAAGGATAATTTAAATTTTTGAAAAGAAGATTGAGCTATTGATCTGAAACTTTGCACTGTTGTTTCTTGTATAGAACCTACATCCAATGGTAAAGAATTTTTGAAAAAATATACCAAGTTCTGTCATGTCAAAAAACTGAAGTGTAGTCCTATTATCGGAATATAGCCACCTTAGTGCAGTAACGGGTTAACTCCTATTAAATTATAAAAGGAGTTAACCTGTTACTGCACTAAGATATTGATATGTCATTTAGATCAATTCAGAAGAAAAAAATGTTCTTCTACCATAGATAACAAAATGATTTCACAGTGTTTTCTTTTTTTTCATGACTAGATTTAGTACATTTTGTACATGTTTGTATTTATTAGTCAACTTGTATCCCCTTGTTTTTTTTTTTGAAATCTTAAAAATTTTCTTGTTACAAAGTAACACGAGTTTTTAATGATGAATTGAAATTTTTGTTGATTTTGAGATTCCATAAAGGATCATGTTGTAAAGTAGGTGAGTGAATTTTTCCCCTAGATCACTATTAAGATTGTTAACAATATAGACGACTTCCATTCCCGATTGATTGCATATAGTGTACCTTTTGTTTGTTAGACAATTCCTTTACCATTGTCATAGTGGGTTCAGGTTTGTTTAAGTATTAATTTTTATTCCTCCAATACAATGTATTTAACTTTAAAACCCCTTCTGATTTGCATGTTTTTTTCTCTCTCTCCTATTCCTGCCTCCAATAAATGAAATATACGCATATTTATATCTTGTTTTTTGCTTAAAAGATGTACATTTGTAAATGGTTATGAAAACTGTTTTTGTAAACCAGTCAAGGTTTATTATCCTACCATTGGCTGCTTTGAATTTACATGTCCTTAGATAACCAATCAGATCCTTGAATTTGTAGACTGGTTTACAAATTCAACTTTTTTATAGTCAGGGACCCTGCATCTGACTGTAAATCCAATGTACATTATTTACAATGTTTCATGTCAGATTGTAGATGTTAATATTTGCTCATTTATATTATTTTTCCCCCCATTTTTATCACAACTTAATTATCATAAATGATTATACCTCAAATATTTACTTGTGTTAAAATTTGAGTTATGTTTAACATAAATCATGGGAGTTGTTTTTTATTTTTTTTCTCAGTAGTTGATGTATCAAATAAGGTTAAGAAAAAAATGATGCACACTATATTCATGAAAATGCTAGAACAACGTAACATACTGATTTTGAAATATATTTACAAAGTTTGAGAATTATGTTAAGAAAACTTAAGGCTTATGTTATGAAAGAGTTTTTTTTTCAGCTCTTAGTTTGTAATTCAAAAGATCATGTTGAAATGCTGTCAGAAAAATACATTGTATTTTAATAATAAAGTTGTAAAGTATTGTAATATGTTTCCTTTTGTATTAGCATGATGTCATACATTTGTTTAAAGGCGAGGCAGAGGTTAATTCTTAGCCTGCTAGTGGCAACAGATTCAATCCATGTAACCATTGCAGACCAGCAGTCTTATGATGGTCTGCACTGTTGGCAATATAGTCACTTAATGAATACTGTCCATATTGAAAGATGGAGGAGTTCATTTGAGATATATAGAATGGCAAGGGCTATACATAAAACTGTTGAGGTTAATTTGAGCTGGGCCATGACAAAACCAACATAATGGGTTTGCGACCAGCATGGATCCAGACCAGCCTGCGCATCCACGCAGTCTGATCAGAATCCATGCTGTTCGCTTACAAACCCCATAACAAGTAGAGAAACTGATAGCGAACAGCATGGGTTCTGATTAGACTGCGAGGATGCACAGGCTGGTCTGGATCCATGCTGGTCGCAAACCCATTATGTTGCTTTTGTCATGACGCGGCTCAATTAATCTTGTTCCATCAATTCATGTTTTCCAGCATTCACGAATAAAAAATGAAAATAAGCAAATTTTCAAAGCTGTTCTTTTTTGGTAATTGGCAAAAAATGAGACACAACAAGTAATTAATGTTTTATAATATTTTATTAAGTCATGTTATACAATAACAGAAAGCCTCTTCAAGTTAAGCTGAAAAGACAATACATAAAACAATACAAGCTGTTTAAAGGTGCAGGCCACCAAACACGTGATACATTTCCGAAAAACTTCAAATGAAAGTGTAGTTTTTTAAATTATATGCTTACTTTAACTAAATGTTGAACTTCTAGTATCAAAAGAAAGCCTGTTAAACTTCCTGATTAACTTTTTAATTAAAATCTTATGGTTCTACCCATGCAACCAGTGCAGACTATATCAGCTGTCAATCTTAAGGTTCGAATTAAAATGATAAGATTTTTTTATTTATTTTTTTTTGTAAAAAAAAATTATTCTGGTAGAATGCACCTTTAAAGTTAAAGCTAGATCAATATATTATTCCATTATTCCAAAGCCAAAGAGAAATTTGTACCATTCCAATATACTATGATTCCAATATAGATTAACACAAAATATACATTGAACAAAAGAAAAAATATCTAAAAATAAACTTTAATTCAGATGGGTCTTTAAATTAAAATCCCCTAGACATCCTTATAGCCAAAGTAACAACTTTCCATGTGGAGGACGACACCAGAAAGAATAATTGACCTTATGTAAGCTGGTTTAACCCTGATCCTGCTGAAATTGTGTAGTGGATTTGCCCTACTTTGAAATTGGAACAGTCCATTCAAAGTTTTAGGGATTTCAATATACAAAAATTGAGCTACCAACAGTGTCCGGCCTGGTCAGGCGGCACAAGGTTGCAGGCTGGCCTGGCTTTATTCTGGTGGCAATGGGCAATCACGTTGGTTACGGCCAGTCAAGGGTTCAATGCTTCCTCATAAGAAATTATAAATTTATTTTCTACAATTTGTATTTATTTCATGCTTTCCAGTGTTTTATTGTAATATATCAGATGATTATATTCTGATAAACCACTAGTGAAATTTATAAAATATAATTTTCACTGTAGCCGGACTATATCTGAATGCGGATGAAAAGAAAATCAAAACTGAATGGAATCACAGGCAAAAATAAATGCCGTCATGCGTAAATTTTGCTTCTTTCGGAAATGAAAGTTGAGGTCACCATACATTATGTTAAAATGTAACAAATTTAAAGAAATTTAACAGAACTATATTTCAAACTTGTTGATGTGACGTCATGATGTGATGACGTCACGAAGGAGAATGCGCGACGTTACGCGGCAAAATCGGTAAAAAATACTTAAAATCACGTAAAACGCATGAAATAAAAAGAAAATTTATTTGTTTTACATATAAGATTGAAATATATTTCATTCGTGAACACCAGCTATAATATTTTCACTCGTGGCTACGCCACTCGTGAAAATATTGCATCTGGTGTTCACTCAGTGAAATTATATTTCAATCTTACATGCAAAACAAACAAATATCCTCTATATCTTGCACCACATTTATTGATACATGTTAATTTTACTACCTTAATATCATCGGCATTTTAATCAGGGACAACATTTTATTAAAATTTATATACATTGTAATATTATATACATTGTATGTGAAAAAGAATTAGTTTATTTAACAGTATTTATTTTTTACACCAGAAAAAGCATTATAATATACAAAATTTGTTTATAAGCATTTAAGGTGATTTTATGGGGAAGTTCAAATTTTGCAAATGGTAGCAAGAACAAAATCTGCATTAACCAATTTTATTTTAAAAAAACAAATGAATTTCAAAGAGAGAAAAAATGAACAAACATTAAAATGACATGTTTAAAGCTTTGCAATTAAAAGTATCGATCCAAAATAATCTGTAATGATAGGTTATATATACAACTGTTTATATACGGCCATATAACCTTTCAAGAATCTTTATAATGAATATATATTACACTTACTTTATTTTGAAAAAAAAAAGATAGAAAGCATTTCATAAAATGAAAGCAACCACTGCTGCAAATTTGTGAATTATTTCTTTACTTTTATCAGAAGTAAATTGTGCAGTATTATAAATAGGTTATAAAACACATGACAGGTTATATGTGTTAAAGTATTGTGTTATATAACCAGTATGTAATGGCTTGGGTTATATAACTTATAAGCTTGCAACTGTTCATAATGGACCAGATTGACTTGTCAAAAATCTATAATAATAAACACGTCAGATACAATAACTTCATGCTAAGGGGACATAATTCAACTTGGTATAAAATATAAAAGCTCAGAAGTGCAGATGTAAATATTTTGTGTCTTATATAAATATAGAAAAATTTATCAAATCATATATTTGGCAGATTTGTTTTATATCACAATTTATCAATGCAGAAATGAAGGCCTTACTTACACCTTAAAAAATTAAATTATAATAAAACTGAAGGGATTTTTTCCCTACAGTTGATATTTCAATAAACCTTATTATTATTTATTCAAAGAAACTAACAATTAAACCACAGAGCTCTACAATGTACAATGTTTAAACATATGGTACTCAGTAAAGAATGGTTAAAGCTAGTAGTCAACTATTCAAATGGATGAAATTACAATGAAAAAAAAAAGAAAAAGTTACCATCAAAATACACATTCTCTATCTATTAAGAACTAAAATGACTAGTTATTTCCCTTGATTATTAATTTTACAATTTCTCATCTTTTTTCAATTTTTGCATTAATTGTTAGCTACATTATGATAAATGACTAATGGACGAAGAATCATTTCAAAACTTCTCAATGACAATCTCTGGCAGCCGTCCAATTTTTCGCATCACAGATACAATTATGCATGTATTCGAAGATATTATGTATGTTTTAATAATATACATGTACCTATTTCTTGTTTGATTTACAGATTTCAACCATCAGATGGTCAAGTTTACATCCTTATTCCATTGAAGTATTTCTTACTATGAAGTTCATTATATCAAAGTATACTGTACACTCTCAAGTAAGTTTTGTTGTTTAAGTTAGATGGATGCCTTCTTAATAGAAAGAATTTGAAAACCCAAATGGGATTCGAACCTACAATGGGGAAGGTCAAGTGTTTGGAAATCAAGCAGTCCTAAGTACATATGTACTTTAGCCATGGAGACCCACATTTAAGAGTACACAGCTTATCAAATTGGAATTCTTCAAACTAAAAGCTGATGAAACCCCATGAGAGGTTTGTTAATTACAAAAAAACAACCCATGAAGTATTGTTCAATTAAACAAACAAACCAACATTGGTGCCTTAGTAAGAAACATGGTTGGTTATACACTTAACAACATAATTAAAACATGCATTGCATTCAACGTAACACATTAAATCTTACATGATGGATTATGTCTCTACAAAAAAATACAAGAACAAAATAACATCAAAGTAAAAGAAGATTTTCGCTAAGCAAAACTAAAAATAGCTTTAAATATACATTATAACATTTTTACACCAATTTACATGTACATTTTCATACCTTTAATCTAGCCAGAAAGTTTTTTAACTTTAGAAAAAAAAATATACAGTCACACAACACAAATTTTTAACATTATATACACATATACAAATATTTAAAGAGTATGAAATAAATAATACGACAGATATGTAAGGAAAATAGGACAGTATTGCAAATACCTTAAATTTTTTATTGTTTTGGAAAGAACTAAATGAAAATTGTGCATTATGTAATTAAATATGCTATAGATGATGAAGATCATCAAAATAATGCCTCGTTACACAATGTTATAAAACGTGTAAAGATGAATATATATGGAGGTGTGTTATAAAAATCCGTAGAGAGTAATATAACATTCAAACTAAATGCAATACATGTATATATAATATGTAAGTTTCAAATGTATTGTTATTATACGAAAAAAATGCGTTAAAGATATACTATGCTCAAATTGGATATTTGAAAAGATTTGATAAATTGCTACAAAAGTCTTTTTGTAAATATATAATAAAAATATTTTGACTTCACACAAAGTAGATATGTTATGCTTTAAATCCTACACACTGTAAGTGGACACACTATGAATATTTAGTGTCATTAAAAAACTGGCAGTTTTTTTTTTTAAGAAAGGACTAGTTGTATGTGACCCGTAATAAGGAACGCAGATTCCCAGAAATAGTTAGTAGGTTCATTTATTTTATTTAATTAAAAAAGACATGTTGAGTAAGAATTTCATAGATTTTAATAAATTTCTGCAATAAATTTTTTTAAATTAAAGTTGAGCATAGTGTACCTTTACAACTCAATAAATGTTACATACTGTAAAGGTGTAAGCATAAACACGCGTGTTACAAAACTTAGCATTATTTTATGTTCATCTTATACATAATTTTTTTTTTATTATATATGAACATATTAACCATTTCCAAAATATCAAAATTTTAAACAAAGGTCTAGCTGAAACACTTATCTATACACAATACCAAAAACAAATACATGCATGTTAACAAGTATTTTTTCTATATATAAAACTTAATCCTACAATGAAAAAAGGCTTTTTAAATGTTAAGTTTTGAACATAGGTAATAACACTTAAAATTAAAAATCAGGTCATAAGAAGTGATTTCTGATTGGCTGGTAATATGATGGCTTATGAGCCACAAAACCTGATTGGTTAATGAGCTTCTCAACCAGATTGGCCGAGATTTCGAACATAATTTTTGAATTGACCAATAGCAGAAAAACAGCATACATTTTCAGACATGTCATAATAGAAACTGTTATAATATTATTTTCTACATGCATTTGTAATCATCATTTACAACATATTAAGTTTCCCTTTTTGTCTGTTTTTCTATAGTTTCTTTCCGTAATAGCATGATTGAAAAAATATTATCTTCAGTATCTTTTTAACATACAAATCATGCAGTTTTTATTTTCAATCCATAACATAGACTTTCCTACATTAAGTATTTTGGTCGTCAAATAGTTTTGGCATAATCATTTATCTTTTGAAATGTGGAATGAGAGATGAAGAAAAATATGAATTTCTGTTACTCTTCTTTAACATATAAAATAAACAAATGTAAACATGCTACTTTTCTATGGAATAAAAGTTAACTTAGATATATATATATAATACACGGAAAATTTAATTCAAAATCTTGCAACTGTTTTAAAGAAATTTTTAGGATAATATACAAGAAAGAGATCTAAGTATATATTCGGATTTCTCAATGGTTAAATATTAATGTGTATATACAAATAAAGTGTTCGACACAACACTGAATTAATTTGTTCTGTATATTCACAAGATTACGAGAAAATTGCATCAAAATATCAACCTATCCAAAGATGTGCATAAGCTGGTTTTGATAAACAAAAAATAACCAGAATAATGGAAATTTTCAGTTTCCAGATCACAAAAATTTCTCTCAAAAGTGTCTATCAACCTTATCAATATAGCACTAAAAGTGAACTTAAATTTATTTTCTTTACACAATATATTTCAGGAAAGTGTACTAATCTAAGTAAGCCCTGTATTCAACCCTGTCCTAAATTCTGGACTATTTCCACTTCGTGTTTTGTGAAATGTTCGAAATGTGAAAACGCCATTGGATTTTTTTTCGTTCAAATAGTAAACTTTATATATATACAAATTTCTGTCAATACAGGGATTAGAATAGGTAGAATTTGAGAAATATGGAGTAAAATATACTTATACATGTACAATCTAAACAAACACGTAAGGTGTTGAATCATGGTCACCAGATGATGATTCTTTCATGATAAATGTTCAGCAAAAATATTACGACCCTCGAATTCCACATATACGAAACTTTTGTCTGTTAACTTGAAAAAGCAGTCTTGATCTACGAAGGATGATTCAATGACTCTTTGAATGAATGTATCTGTGACTTAACGCCTATTAAATGTCTCTACATTTTGAGGTATTGACATTACCGACTCGGTTATCATGGTGTCCGTCATTTCCGGATGGTACTGGTTATCCGAAAGAATTTCACAAATCTCATTACGAGTCCCATTATAAAGAACCACAAATTTCTGGCGATTTGCGATCGTGCAATCAATGTCCGCCAAATCACTACTACCATAAGTGTGTTGAATATGTAGCGCATGTTTCGTAACCTGGAAATTGCAATAATATGATAATAAGATTAACAAGACATGTAAATAAAACACAAAGCATAAGATCAAAATTTGCGATATGAAATTTCGAAAAAATCAAAATTAAACTTTTTAAAAATTAAAATCAAATTTAAATTAAAATATTTTTGACAGCAGCAGGTTGTAAAGATTATCATGGCCATATAGTGGTCATTCCAGCTAAAAGCAATACCAGTACTTACTTTCTTAGATGAGCTCTTGCAGCCGGTACACCGGACAAATCTTCATTCAACAAGTATTTCTTTGTTCCCAGACAGTAATTCTCCATGTATGTTGGCCAATGTAGTGATCGTGGATCAAAGTAAAACGTCTGCAATGAATATGCATACATGTATAAATAAATAGATTTTCATTCCCATTAAAGAATATACATGTGTACATTTAAGATTTTACTCAGGTTTGGAAATTTTTGAATGAGGTCATACCAAAAGCCTTTTTTTTTGAAGACTTGAAACTAACATGTCTATTTCCGCTGTATTGGGCTATTCTACAAAATAGATTAAATGTCTAACAACCTTTTACAGGAGATGTCTAAAAAATTGTGGTGTTTGAAAACAGATTTAATATTCAATTAGTTAAAAAGCGCTAAAGAATCTGAACTGTCATCATAGGAATCTTTTGGATTTCAATATCAAACTACTAAAATCAAGAAGTTAACAGTCTAGATCGCAGACATAAAGAAGAAACGTGCCGACCAGCCTGGCTCTGTACCCGCGTCATTGGCCCGGCATTCTTTTCAACAAACCTTACTAAGATTAAATCTCACCTTTCTATCCTCTGGTGACATCTGACTGACTAGCATATCCAGATTGTTGTACGTCCATTCCCACGACTGGACGGTAAAATAATACAAACAGCTCATTGACCGATGTAATTTGTTGTAAATTTTCACCATTCTGTGAAATGAAATATATTTTATACAGTTTAAACATACATTTATTCAGTTAAGCTCAATAGTATAATGAATTCATGCTACTTATAAATGTATTGATCACGTTTGAGTCTGCTTCCTTGAACTAACCACAAATATTAGTGTCATATATGGATGAAATACGGTCGTGACCAAAGTACGGCTTGAAACAAAGTTCCATGAATTGAACAGTAGATATTTTAACAACTAGCAAGCAGAATTAATTTTAAATGACATAAGCTGCTATTGCTGTATGACATTCAGTTAATCATATTAAAGTTTGTCATCCCATATGGTGTAACTGTGGTATCATATATTGTTGTTGTTTTTTAAAAATATCTAAATCATCAACAGTGTTGATATTTGCGTGAATAAAGTATTACCTTGGCTTCTTGCCGATCATACAGTAGCCAAAATCAGCAAGATACGCTGGTACTAGATGACTCACCATCGTGTAAAACTCGTGAAGAAATCTGAAAATAAAATATTACTCATTACTGTAAAATCAGTAATATTTGCAAGACATTAATTTCATGGATTTCCTGCGTAGGCATATCCATGTATTTTAGACCCTAACAAAAAATCTTTTGACAAACCTATGCAACTTCCATGGATTTAATAAGCCCACAAAATGGTTCAATTTTAAAAATCTACAAAATTTTATGGCCACAAATTTATGTGATTTCATAGTATTTCATGTATTTCTATTTTTTTAAGACTTAGTGTTATAAATGATTACATGAAAATTTTCATGGAGGTTAGAATACTGCCTGATATACCCAATCTTTTGTTGTAATAATCAAATCTGTTGCTTAACTTACCCACTGTTAGTAAGAACAATTTTTGGTCGTCTAAAGCATGCATCAAGAGGCACTTTCTTCCAGAAGTTTATCACCACATCCTCTGTAAAACAAAATGAAAAGAATAAGTTTAAATCATAACAACTGATTATCAATTTCTTAATCAGAATAAAATTGAATCAATCAAAGCAAACTCATCTATAAATTGATCTAGAAATCCATCAAATTATCTGAACAGAATGTGTTTATCATCCACAGTGAACAAAAGTCTTACATTTTATGAATCTTTATTTTATATAAATATTTAATTTTAATTCTTAAGTGACACTAACACTTTCAAGGTAATATTACAAATTACAAATTTGACTGGCAGAGGAAGATCTCAGCCTCTCAGGTGCCTTTATGTGTCATATTTTGGCACAAGAAGGGCAACTAAGAACAACCGACAAACTACCATAAGCTAGCGGCAAAAAAAAATCATAGATCCTCACAGGATTCTTATCCTCAGCGATGGAAGCATCCAGCAATCTTAACAACTTGGTAATAGAAATAAAATTTTTCATGAAAAGGCTTTCATCATACAAGTTTTAAAAGATAGTAGTTTAAAAGGATTGTATTTCACAACAGATGAATGAAGTCTTACCCATTTCTCCCCAAGTGAATGGATTCACTGATCCTGTCGTGGAATGGTAGATTAACACTTTGTTCGGTTTTGTAACGGCCGTGTACCAGGCCACGGTGACGAGCATGTTGACAGGTATATCAACCGGAATAATGTCAGCAACACCGTTAAAGTCACACTTCATTGACCGCAATAATCCTTTGCCGACCTATATAAAATAAGAAACAGTAAGTTTTGGTTCAGGTTTCTTCAAATGTATAAATATATAACCATTCTTGACATCAAGTTATTCGATATCCATACCAATAGCTGAACCTCAACTTTTTGTTATGGTTGTTGTTCACTCTTACATGGGGGCCAAAGATGTAAAAAGAAGAAACAAATTGTTTCAAACTTTATAAAGAAAGCTAAAATTAACGCCTCAGGTAATTGAATTCTATGTTCATAAAACTATATGATTTCTATTTTGGTTTCCAGTACATGTATTTCTAAATTATCTTTTGCATATCTTCCTGGTTAAAGTGCTCAAGCTCATCTATGTTTTATGTTATGCTTTTGGATCTCAATGGAGTTCCTTTAAACAATAAATCACTTACAGCGATGTAAAGGCCACTAGGTCCATTGTAATTGTCAATCCAGCCCTGTAAAAAACAAAAACACATTTTTAAATCACATAGGACAACAAAATGTTCTGAAATAATCAAAAACAAAGGGAAACAAATCATGTAAGCCACGTTCACTGCAAGACGAAGGTTTACTCATGTTGATCTAATCAATATTTCAAGGGATGTCTAATAATGTATAATGTCAGCATTTCGATGTTTGATTACAAAACTGTTGTAAGTCCTTTATTTCATATAAGTTACTGTAGTTTTGCGGTCCACCCTCGATTTGTCCGTATCAACTCATCTTGCTGATTGAAGGGTCTAATGACTATCCACATTAATTTCAAGGACTATCTAGGAAATTAAAGGACATCTTAAAGCCTTTATGAGCCTCTTAGAGAAAACCAACACTTAGTACAGCAATGTACATTAGTCAAGACTAAAGGGAATTGACTTATTGAAGTACCAGTAATGCCATGACTTAATTTTTTACAGTCTGAATAGAAATGCAGCTTAAATTCAGAAACTATAATCTCATCATATCTTACTGGTACAGGTTCTTTCCAAGCAGCACCCACTATTGAAGGACGAACTATGGCTAATGGTAAAGATGCCCCTTCTTTGATCAAGAGGTCCTCTGCGAGTTGTTTGGTAAATGTGTACGTATTTGGTTTGTTGCCAATCAGTTGACCTGTGATGGCCTCCACCATGTCGTCATCCATCCATCTAAAAATAGACAATAAAGAGATTGTTTAAGTTAAAAATCCTCGTTAACACTAATGAATGATAAATGAGATTTTTTTATTACCCTCAAGAAAATTGATTACCAATACATAATTATGATGTTGTGAAAAATGGCAAGTGGTAAAAACCAATCAATACTACAAAAAGCCTTGTACTTTAATAGGCATTTTTCAGACTTATTTGTAAACCACTTTTTATTTCATTACTTTGAATATATGACTACAGTTAGAAAATTTTCACGCTTGTTGATGAATATATTAGTTAAAACAAATTCTTCTAAGTAATCAGTTTACTTTCTTTAGAATCTTAGTACGTTTTTCTGACAGATTGATTTTCTTGAAATACTTTGGCTCATCTTAAGGCATGCAGCTTTAAAGTTGAGTTTGCAAATTACTATGTGTATGATTGTAACAGTGTTTACAATACATATTTAAAATACAAATCCCTGGATTGGTAGTAATTTGGTGTTACAACCAGAAAACTCTTGTAAACTACAAACAGCATTACAATTGTTCAATATGCTGGAAACTGGATGTAAAATTGTACTTACTCTAAAGCATCAATAAGTTTTTGTGGTTCTACTGGCGTTGGATAAACTACCTCTTCTATATATGGTCTATCACAGTTAGCATAAGCTGTTGATACATGGACAAATACCTGCAAATATAAATACATACATAAATACCAGTATTTCTTTCATATAACCTGTTTTACCCATTTAGTTTCTTGCATGTCAGACTGGTGTTTCTATTAGTTTTTACCCATGCTGGAAATTTCAATATGGCATGGAGGGGGTGCCAGATGAGTGGCATGCTATAAAATGGCATCATTTTAGTGCACTTTATCAATTGGCCACGTAAAAATGACGTCTCCTTGGCATGAAACTACATGCTTGGGATGACCTAATCTCATCGTTATGAATGAAGTTGTAATTTCATATGCTGTTGTAAGAAAACAGTTATGGGTGTTACTAATGTCATAAATGTCCATGAAAATTTGTTTTATTGAGGTAAAGATTTTAAAATAGGATGGAATATGGTAGAATATGCAAGAAAAAATATCTGACACATGTATGTGGTTTAGATCTGAATATCCCATTATTATCCCGAAACAACCAATTTTCAATCACAACCTAAATTCAAACACATTCTTAATTCTGTGGCACTGATATGTCATGCCTGACTAAATTGCATAAAGTCACATTTTGTATTAACTTCAAAACTTGCAGAAATGCCACACTTGATTAATTGTCAGATGTTTTCAGAAAATAATAAGAAACTGTTTGTTTTAAGTGACACAATATAAATTGTCCATCCTTCACTATATCAAAATAGTCACTTGTTTAAAATAGTCTTAAAAATTTTCTAAGCAAGTTAATTTTCTTATAAAGTATTGGCTAAAGAGTTTTACCATTTACCTCAGTCCTAGGTGTATTTAAAACATTTATTAATATGATGTACCACTGAATATTCATCAGACTTTACACGGGGGTCCTTATTAATAAAATCTTATATTGTTATCAAATTTTTTCATGTGATGATTGTAGAATAATTGTTTTGTAAGCGATACCAGCTGGTAGATCTAGACAAGTTTCCATATTTGCTAATAGTATAAAGTGGGGAAGGTAAAATGGCTGTAAAGATTGGATGCATAAATCATTTTGCACCCCAAATAGAGTACTAAGATGTGACACCTTTAACTGCCTTTTATGCACATTAACAGTAGTCATACCAATGCATAGTGCTGTACATATATTATAACATTTAGTGTAAGTTTTTTAAAATCTTGAAAAAACTGTTGAAAATCGTTGAATAGACTATATTTGAAGTTTTCTACAATTTTTAGTGGCCCTGATTTATCTTTAACAAATTTTCCATGGTGATTACCCTACTGTTTGAATTTAGGTTAAAATATTCCTGGGAGTAACCCAAGTGGGTCCTAGTGTTATTATTGAATTTCTAAAAAAGATCAAGACTTGTTGAAAATGTACCAACCTGAAAATGAATAAGTGTTAATAGATGTATTAATAGCTAAAGTAAATTTAAAATATAATTTCCCCTTCCATTTATTATTGGCTAAAAACAGCTTAACTGATTGAATATTGGTTGTCCCGGGATACTGCCTAAAGGGCATGTCCCCTTTGAACGGATATTCCGATCCGAAACCACAATGTATGACAGATATTATAAGTCATATAATATTCGACCAGCATCGCCACTTTTCGAGTGAAATATTTATTGATGATAGTACAAAATACCTGAATAGCAATATAACAGACTTTAGTGTGACCAGCTATATTTTATGAAATGGACATGGCCAACTCTGAATGATGGATGCATTTTTTAAACAATTATCATGATGACATATATATTCAGTAAGTTTTCCAGTGTGGCAGTGTCCATGCTACGTGACATAAACCACTCTTACAGTACCGGTAATCCACGTGTTGTTCTTGATTTTTCTATCCTATATAACTGTACTTAGTAAGATACCAGTTAAAACTGGTAAAAACCAATCCTCTTAATTTATATCTTCAAATATAGATTATAATATTTCACCATGTCTTTATCAAACTAGATCATTTTGAAGTGGAGGTTACGGCCAAAAGGGGGTATTGTTATAACATGTACAAGGCTACTTCATTTACAAGATAAATGAACCAATTTTGCTTTGTCCTAGGTATAATTTCCCATAAACAATAATAACAAATTGTATTAAAAAATTGGTCAAGAAAAAAAAAGTGAGACTTGCTTATATTTACTTTTTCATCCAATCTAAGATGAAAACATTTTAATAACTTGCCTAAGTAAGTCTTTTCAATCCAATAGTGTATCACAGATTATTCTAACACGACCCGCATTTTTCCCTATTGAACATAGAACAGAAAGTGTGTGTTATTATGCAACAGATGCACAGTTTGACGTTCTATATTTAGACATGTGACGTAATCATTATACACGTGACGTAACCACTAAAATCCGACGCGCTGAAAATAAGTACGGAAACAAATCAGGCGCAATTTTGCTTAACTATCAAGTACGGCAACATTTTTTTGTTGATATCGTGTTAGAATCAAAATAATATATCAAAATCAGTGATTTTATCGCTTGATAACATCACTGTTTGTCGTTCGGGGGCGCATCATTATATCACTCGGGCTACGCCCTCTTGATATAATTCCTCGCATCCGAACTCCAAACAGTGATGTTATTGAACGATAAAATCACTGTTTGTGATATATTATTTCTTAAATAAAACCAGAAGAGATATTTGATAACCCAGAAATTAATGACCTCATCATAAAATTAGGAAATTTTCATGTTTCTCATTCGGATGATTCCCTATAATTGGAGAAGTCAAGATTTTTTTCTATTTTTATATCTTTATACTTATTTCAAGGTTTTATTTATTTGTAATTATTATTTGTTTTCGCCTGGTTTAAAACCACTCTGAAACTTAGTACTAAAAGGTTATATAGCTACATTCCAGCTAAGACCTCAGGTACCTCTCTCGTGTGTTACATTTCAGGCACCAGTAGGCAACCTGAGCCCGACCAAACGTCTTCCATAAGCTGGATAATGCTAGCTAGCTTTCTTAAATATAAGAATCAAGTATCATCTGGAAGTGTGCCACATTAAAGAGAGTTTCTAACCATTGATTTTAATTTCAGAAATCAAAGAGGAAGTCTATTGGGACAAAACAACCCACATTCATTGAAGAATGAAGATAAATGAAAGTACAAAGTACTGAAAAATATGGAAGGAAGCACTTTGGGGAATGCATAAGTTATAAATTTTGTAACAACATTTTCTTTGAAACAGCAAGATAGTATATTAATTAATGAATTTTCACTTTAAAAGCATTTATGCTGACAGATTTCAACTTTGAGATTACATGTACTTTTAGGTGCTATTTTAGCATTAAATATAGTCGCAAGATCTTCTTTTAAATAGAACTTAGAGTAAATAGTACATGAACATTTATGAATACATACATGTATTACTTGCTTCCTTACTGTTTTATAAATATAGAATATATGAACTTAGAGCTCTTTTTTATAACAACCTACATGTAGGATATTTTTTTTTGCAATGAAAAAGTTCTCATTTTTATACGAGTCAGAACATTTTTTAAAATGATCTCTTTTAGGATTTTTACGTTTAAAGGATCACAAATCAACACATTTATTTCATTAATTCTAATGACACTGTTTTATTTTCAACAATAAAATCTGCAATTAAAGACCACCTCAGAATAGATCTCATATTAAATTTTTCTAAAGCATCAGAATTCTTGTCAAAATAAACCTTCATTTCCCAATTACAGTAGATTTTCTATTTATCTGTAATAATTTGTGAAGCCAGTTGAAATAATAACACAGTCAATGGAGCAGCAATTACTCATGAAGTCCCCAGCTCTCCACACTCGTACATCAATAATAGATAACAAGTTAAATGTTGATGCTGCACATCAAAGACGCCAACAAATGATGTGAACAGTCACAGGTAATGAACAAAATCAGCCTTGAAAATCGTTCTCTATTACAGTTGAATATCCGAAGCACTATCTACGTTCTTGGTATGTGCTCATTGTTTAATAATTACGTTGCATATTTTTGTGAAAAAGTAGAACCTAATGCATAAATTCCCAAAGTAATGCCTTGTCTGAAATTCTGAAATGTTTGTCTGTTGCGACAAATATTGAAAGGTCTTGTAAGCAAAATAAATTGGATAACAAGTAAAATTGAAACGATAGGTATACTTAAAATAAATTCAAGACAAAGACAGAGGTAAAAAAAAAAATCTTTGTTGCGGCAAGAATATGTCCATTAAAATATTGATGTGAATTGCATAATGCTCGAATGATTTTGAGGACGAACTATTCTGTTATTTTACAAATAGCAAAATTATGTCTGTAATATAAAATAATAGTTCTGAATAAATTGTTAAATATAATCAATTCTTAGTTACTTTTTGTTTTCTTATTTCTAAAAGATTAAACAACTTGATTAAACACAAGATTGCATATTTTCCTCACGGGTGTGTCTGAAATTTTATGGTTGAGCTAAGCTACTACTTTCTTTACAATTGAGAGAGAGCGGCCTCACTGATAGTAGGCATGGTTTAGGCTTTGTGACTTGCAATTTAATGACTCGTCCTGATGTTGCAGGTCATAGTTGTACTGGTTCCCTTCCCTCCGTCAACGAAGACTAAATGCTAGCATACAGAGTAAGCATCATATTAAATTTGGTGACAATTTAAGGCAGAGCCGTACTTCAACAGAGGCGGAGCAAATGAAGTGAGTGACACTGCCTCAGTCGTTACCTCTCTCAACTGTTAAGTTTTAGAACGATCGACTATAGACTGGCTCATTGGCACGTTATTTATTAGGTAAATAAAATTAGATAATGATAAAAAGAACATGATATTCAGACATGACACTATCACTTCAGTTAAACGTTAATTTTAATTCCTTAAAGCTCGGTGACATGTTGTACATCAGAAAAGCTATTTTTATTAGAAAATTTGAAAACAGTGTGATTTTGTTAAAACCAATAAAGATACACAAAATCAAGTCTTAAATTTTTCCCATTGCTGAATAGACGCATGCAGTTTGGCGTCTAATGAAAAGAAAGAGTGCATTGATGGTATAATTAAATTTAGAGATGTAAGAGCGTAACTAGTTGCAAACCAATACAAAAGTTATTCTGCAGTGATTTTTGTTGTTTTGTTATTTTTTGTTTTTATTCATAACCCTAGAGATAATTTGCACAAGATAGAAGGCGGAGCATAAGGTTAAATGGCTTATATTCAGACTCCCCGCCCAAATCCCCCTACCCCCAGTCTGTACAGGCATCATGAAGAGAGTGCTTTAAAAAGTTCAACTAGAAATTAAAGTAAAAAAATTTATACATCTAAAATTAATAAAAAATTACCCATTTGACCTTTTATAAGTTAGAAAAACAAATATTTACATTATTTAAACTAACTTGTTGATGAACTATTAAACATGTAGAGGAATGGTAAAGTTCATAGCTAAAATCAATACATATACCAAATATGTATATTAAATATTTACCGTATAAACTGTTAAAACTGCACTATCACTGATAAATTAAAGAGCCCTACTGAATCTTCCTATCCTCATATTTATACAAAAAAGGCTAACAAAAGGCTTTCTTGGGCTGGCGATTAGGGTTACTGACTTCAGATCTCTTGCATCAAACCACTGTGAGTTTGAATCCTACCAGTGACTTGCAATTCTTTTATGTGCAAAAGCTATTCAGTTAGATAACAGATAGTTTGTGGTTTGACTTAGATCCCTTAAATTATGCTCAGAGGGGTCACCTGATTACTCCCTCCATTATGCCCTCCTTTGCTAAATCTTTATCTTATTTGTCACTAACTTTGGATTTTGTTATGTGCTAATGGCATTAATTAGGAACAATATGGTAAATGTATTTTTTTCCGCTATCAGTAAATTAAGTTTGTCATAGATTACACCAAAACACTCAAGATTTATAGATTTTCAAATATTTTACAATCTTATAAAAAGGAAGGAAATTTCTTATCAGTACTTAACACTGAAATAAAACAGCATAAACACTGAAATAAAACGGCAAGTAAATATTGAATGTATCGATGATAAATACGTCACTATCTTAGATTTTAAATCCTGTCTGTCAAATTGACATCCAACATAAGAATGTGTTTTTTTATTATTTTGGGTTTTTTGTTCATTTTTGTGTAGGTGACTTGTGTGGGGGTGGGTAAAATATTAGGTTGGTTATAAGTTTATAGCACATTATTCACTTTATACCATATATACACATACTTTGCTTAGTAACCACATGGTCATGTATCTTATATAATATCAGTACAGAATATAGTACATAGAAAAAAATCCATTGTCAAGACAGATTCAGTTAACAGACCCATTCCAAATGGCAAAAACTTCCAAAATATGCTTGTTTGCCCAAAAATAGTGTCTTGAATTTCTGAATTACTTAAAAACTTATAACTTGACTGCTGTCACAATTTTTTTACTGCTTATGTACCTAATTTTGTGACATGAAAAAAGTATCAATTTGGTGAAAATGGTGAAAAACAAATTTTTTATTGATAATAAAGTAACATTACTTATTTCAGACTTTTGTACATGTACATTTTTCGATACAATTTAAGTACCGGTACATGTATTCTGCAATAAGAGACCTTCTACACCATTCTTAAATAATTATGAATGTTAACAACTGCTATTAAGCTCACAGACTATTTGTAGAGGCTGATTCCCATTATTTATCTGATCATGATATTAAAAACCTCCCTGTCTGGAGAATGAAGTTCCAGTCAATTCCAGTCAATGTTAGAGATGAATTAACCTTGACAATAAATTCAGACAGTATCACAATTAGTCAATACTGGCTCAAGGCAGCATGCCTCTGGATTAATGCTTATTTTCATGAAAAATTTTGAAAATGTTATTTCAAAGTAAAATGTTGTATAGTAACCAAAAGGAAAAAATTTACACATTATAAATGGCACTTACAGCCCACGATTATTAAAAAGTGGTCAAAATGTGCAAACATTGCCTTACTGCGTTAGTAACACAGTAGAAATATAGTTATACATAATGAAAAATTAATCATTAATTTGTTATAACATGTAAATTATTACTTATATCTTTCCACCTATCCTGAAATCTTGGTACATTTGTCTCAAGTTTTACTTTATAGTAATATTTTTTCTCATCTGACTGCATGCTGCTTTAATATGGTTAATTTATAGAAAGGCAGGAACACAGAGTGACCTTTAAATCAATAATTACTTACCTCAAGATTTTTAAAGCCTTTACACAATTGAACCATTTTACGGACACCCAGTAAATTCATTTCTACAGCATATCTGAAATTGAGAACATTTTGTGTTAAGGTTAAAAAACAAACTAAATAAATAAATCAAATCTAAAGAAAAAACCATAAATCTAAAAGAGTCCACTGTTCATTTCATGTACATGTAGTTGTTAAGGTCCTATAGCAACTTTTTTGCTTTCTGGTGAATGTACCTCAGGTGCCCCTCCAAGCATTATTCCAGGCACAATACATGTATATATTCAGTTCAGGGCTGGGAATCAAAACTGCGTCGTATCCTACAAAATGTAAACAAACGCCGCCATCTTGAACGAAAAATGTATGTTTTTGTTTAATACTCTTTTTGTTGGAAATGACTGAAAACCAGATATATGTATTAACACGCTACACTATTTTCCGCTTCGTTCGGTATATGTTGCTTGCACAACTATTTTGTAAAACAAAAGTTATAGTGAACTTGCAACTCGAAGCGGGGCAGATTTTTTATGAAAATGTGTGGATACGACGCAGTTCATATTGCTTTATCTATCGTTTTTTCCTTCAAATCAATTATATATTTGTTTCAGAGTTCACCATAAACTTCGAAATATAATTTTGCATCATTTACCAAAATTTCATTAAAAAGAAATGTTTATTTTCTAAGAAAATAATGATTTTTACGAAATGATACGACGCAGTTGAAAATAACATATGATACGACGCAGTTGTATTTTTGGCAGTCTTTTCAACAGGGATAATTTTGGCAATATATTTCTATTTTATGGAATAATCACTTGTAAAAAAACCCAGATCATTTGCGGTGTATAGCTTTTGATTATTTAAAATACATTGTGGCATGTCCAATATAACATTTAACATTTAATTTGAAAGTTTACAGTGCGGAAGCTACTTTTCAGTTAAACATGAACTTGTTACCTAATTGATCATAATATCTGAAATAATATCTTATATTTTCCTGTATGTTCATTATTATCCCTAATTTTTTTTTCGCAAAAAAGAATGTAGAAATCTATTAACTTGAATTCATTTTGGCTAGCTACGCCCTAAGTTAACTGTGGTTCTGCATGTTCTGGGTAATGACTGTTTTTCTGTGGTTTGTTTTCAAACTTTCACTCTACACATTAATTTACTAGGGGCGAGGACCTCAGGTGCGCCTTTGTGCATAATTTCAGGCAAAATGTTGCAGCTGCAGAGAACCATTGACATTTTGAAACTAGCTTGATAGGTTTTCCACACGAAAGAATAAAAAGTCCCTGGTGGTTTTCGAATTCATAGCAGTTCAGTTCAAGTGATTTGAATTCAGTAAACATAAACAGCTCGGCCTCGGTCGGACACACCTGTCTGATTTTTTTTTTTTTTAACAAAATTTGTTAACGTCAGCTGTACAAATAAGCAGCTTTTTATTAACTTCTGGCGTGAAGTTTTAAGATTACAAATTTTTGAATTTATTATAAAGAGAATAACATTTAAATTTCTTACTAGTTTTTCGGTATGACTAGCCGAGAAATTTTCAATGTAAACAGGGGGTAACTCTCTGTGAAGTCATTTTCTGAAAACTGAAAAGTTTTCAGGCAATTCATTATCAAATAAAAAACACACTTTAGTATGAAGATATGTTAAGATGCCACCATGTCTCCAGTCTGTTGAAAATTCGACCTAAATTTTCTGTTCAATTTTGTGAAAACTTCTTCGATACTGTTGAAAGATCATGTCTGCCTAAATCTGTATTAAATTTATCGGTGCACAGCGTAAAATGCAAAACGGACACATTCTTTACAAAATAATTTGTAGTGGTATCATATGTAACTCGATTTTGAAAATTTAAAGTTTTTACATTCCGTAGACCTTTCCTCAGCGGCGATAAAGAAATGCAATGCGACAAAACCCGCGGTAAAGTTCCGCGGCGCTGATCATAAAATGGCTAAACGGAACGCATATAACCTACTTGCAAAAATATATTGTAGCGTAACCATTTATAATATAATTTAAAAAAATTAATGTTCAGTTTCAAATAATAAAGCTCACCTGTTCTCACCGATTATTAAAAAAAATGAATACAATAAAATCGGCACGTAAAAGACATATAAGTAATAACGGAATTGACGGAAATTATTGTTAATTACAAGTAACAAAGGTAGGCATGCAATTTGCGCATAGCTCTCTTCCGGTAGCAAGAGACCTTTTCAAAATTTGTAATTTTTTCTCTTTTTAAAAAAAAAAACAGTCATTCCTGACAAATACAGAGTATAGGAGAGGGTTACACTGGAATATTGAATTTTGTATCAAAAATAGTAATCACTCCCATTTCGAACTCATGGGAACAATTTTAGAAGCATGCTAAGGCAACACTGGAACACGTTGTCATATGGGTGTGCGATCACGTGTTTCAATGTATATTGCATTTGATACAGCTTTTCGGAATTTGTAGATGCTTAAGACAGGTGCTAAAATGCGACCGAAAAATTAAGTCTTAATAGAATTTTATTACATTTTCGTGGAGCTAATGAGTGACCTCTGCTTTTGACTTAAGTTGTCAAAAATGTTGTTGGACGTTATTAGCATACTTAACGCATAATCTAATAGCCGAACAAGTATGCAGCCTGCAATGAAAATACAACTGTGTTGTATCATATTTAATTTTCAACTGCGTCGTATCATTTCGTACAAATTATTATTTTCTTGGTAAATAAACATCTCTTTTTAATGAAATTGTAGTAAATGATGCAAAATTATATTTTGAAGTTTATGGTAAACTCTGAAACGAGTACATAACTGATTTGAAGGAAAAAAAATAGATAAAGCAATATGAACTGCGTCGTATCCACACAATTTCATAAAAATTCTGCTCCGCTTCGAGTTGCAAGTTCGCTATAACTTTTTGTTTTACAAAATAGTTGTGCAAGCAACATATACCGAACGAAGCGGAAAATAGTGTAGCGTGTTAATACATATATCTGGTTTTCAGTCATTTCCAACAAAAAGAGTTATACACAAAGACATACATTTTTCGTTCCAAGATGGCGGCGTTTGTTTACATTTTGTAGGATACGACGCAGTTTTGATTCCCAGCCCTGTCAGTTCCTAAGAACATTTTTTTCATTAATAAGCTTACTGGATGGTTCCTGGACATATAATAGTTCGAAGTCTCTGGTGGGATTTTAACCCACAGTAGTGCCAGACAAGACGTGATATTTATTTTATACTGACTACTGTCCTCCATCTTGACAAATCATTTTCTGAGTTCAAAACATCAATATAAAATCTATATTGTACTTAAGTTACAAGGTTCTGTCAAAATGTGAAAACTTTGTAGTGCTAATAATTATACATTTGATGAATATGATTCTGATTCTTTTGGGCTTTGTACACTGCTGCAAAACCTATATTGGACTTGGCTAACGCCTCATGAAATTTAGGTTTGACGGCTGTGTATTCATCCAAAAGAATTCAGTTTTGCGGTATTGGACTCGTAACAATAAAAATAACCTCATAATATTGCACACTAAAAATAGTATTGAAATAGAGAAGAAGAATGTGTCTTATATAAATTTACATAAAACTCGAATGACTCAAGAGAACTTGTGGCTAGGAGTATGATTATTTGCCGTTGACTCCTATATTTCACTACTGCGAAGCCGATATTTAAATCATATACATTAACTGCGATATTAAAATCATATACATTAACTGATAACAATGAAAAGTTTCAAAGACAAAGCACTTTCAGCATTGCAAGCCAGCTATATGTACACCAATTTAGTAGGATTATGGTTGAACAAGACGAAAAAAGCACAGCACAAGTTTGGCAGAGCATAGATCTCAAGTATGATTTTACCTAAGTGGTTCATCAAATCTAATTGTGGCGGCACTATGGAACACAATGTGGATTTCACGTTCTAACATCTCTCTGTCCGATTTTGTTATACCTAAGTCTGGTTGCATCATGTCTCCATTTATAGCAACAAATTTGTCTCTTATGCTTCCATGTTCTTTTTTCACTTTTTCAAAAATCTGAAAAAAAATCAATCAACAAAACATTGTTTTTTAAAAGCATATATTCATAAAAGTAAATGGATAAAAAAGGCTTTTAAAAGCAGTAGTATTTGAAATTTACTTCAATTCATAGTTTGTCAGTTGTCATGGGATCATTTTTATGAAAATCCAGTGTCCGGTAACTAGTCCTGTCCGAAATCTGGGTCCAGAGTGAGACAATTATGTATACTATCAGACATCATACCCACATAATTTATATACATGTATAATGTGAAGCTGACAATGTATAAAGGTAAATGCTGGGTCAATGAATTTGTCTTATCATAAAGATAATTTACACACTTTTTTAACAAGCAATATCTTTGACAGGATGCAAACAATTAATGTGTAATTAATGGGTCTAACTTCTAAGGCAATTTACGTACATGTATACTTATTTGTACAAATAACAGTCGTAAGTTCTTTGAAAAAATGATGATGGTGTAAAACTCTTTCATAAATAAGTAAATCATATTGAATGATATATATATATATATAGTTCTCTGGTCCCAATCAGTGAAGAAGACAATAAAAATGTCATCGTTGATTTGTGAGACATGATAACAGAGAACAAACTCTATATATGCGAATGTTGAGCTTGTTTCAATGTGTAGTGCAGTTTGTGACTGTATATAAAGCTGTTCTGAAACCATCATTTTTGTGATGGTGGATGAGCAGTGGCTATGCTTTCATGACTGTTCTGCTAGGCGCTGTGCCGTAATTGGACTTGCATATTGATGTGGTGGTATGTGTGTACATGTATATATTCTCTCATTTCTATATATATATCAATATATTGATATATCAATATCAATATATATCAATATATATATATATATATATATATCAATAAATTATATAACATATATTCATGAGCATTTATTGGCAATATATTTCCATACATTGAAACTGCAGAAGTTAGAAGCTCTGAAATTCTGGATGAATATGCACTAGGGCAATTACTTTACAGGAATTTGAGAATATTTAGAATATTTTTTTCAACAATGACTGCAATGGTGAATTATGGTGTAGGGTTTTCATGCCAATTTGGAAAGTTCTGAAATTTGACTTTGTACCAAAAAATAAAATAATAAAAAAAAACTCTCAATCATTTAATTATAGACATTAAAATAATTGATTCAATACACTAAAACTTCCCAATCATATATCTATAAGAAAATATAAACTGTCATGTCTGATAAGCTGTCATGTCTATGAGTATGAGGAACATATATCTATGAGAAAATACAAACCTGTCATGTCTGATGAGTACCGGTATAAGCTGTCATGTCTATGAGGAACATATATCTATGAGAAAATACAAACTCAGAAACTGTCATGTCTGATGAGTACTGGTATAAGCTGTCATGTCTATGAGTATGAGGAACATATATCTATGAGAAATACAAACCTGTCATGTCTGATGAGTACTGGTATAAGCTGTCATGTCTATGAGGAACATATATCTATGAGAAAATACAAACCTGTCATGTCTGATGAGTACCTGTATAAGCTGTCATGTCTATGAGGAACATATAATATCTATGAGAAAATACTGTCATGTCTGATAAGTACTGGTATAAGCTGTCATGTCTATGAGGAACATATATCTATGAGAAAATACAAACTGTCATGTCTGATGAGTACCGGTATAAGCTGTCATGTCTATGAGGAACATATAACATGTATATGAGAAAATACAAACTGTCATGTCTGATAAGTACTGGTATAAGCTGTCATGTCTGTGAGGAACATCTATCTATGAGAAAATACAAACTGTCATGTCTGATGAGTACGGGTATAAGCTGTCATTTCTAAGAGGAACATATATCTATGAGAAAATACAAACTGTAATGTCAGATGAGTACGGGTATAAGCTGTCATTTCTAAGAGGAACATATATCTATGAGAAAATACAAACTGTAATGTCAGATGAGTACCGGTATAAGCTGTCATTTCTATGAGGAACATATATCTATGAGAAAATACAAACTGTCATGTCTGATGAGTACCGATATAAGCTGTCATTTCTATGAGGAACATATATCTATGAGGAAATACAAACTGTCATGTCTGATAAGTACTGGTATAAGCTGTCATGTCTATGAGGAACATATAACATGTATATGAGAAAATACTGTCATGTCTACGTAACGTGGGAAATAAAACTGTCATGTCTTAATAAATACCTATAAGGAAAAAACGGTCATGACTATATAGAACAAAAACTTTAGTTATTATTCTATAAAGATACAAGTCAAATTTATGAAAGATTTGCGATGTGCCCTTTTATCAATGAAATAACCTCCCACTACCAATCACTGCAATCCCCCCACCCCCTAAGTGATGAAATCATTGTAGGTGTAATACTTACAGGACAATCAGCTAATTCCTCAATTCTTTGTTCAACATCTTGTGATCGTTTTGGTCGCACTAATAAAAACACTTTGTTTATTTTTGGACAACTCCTCAATAGTTTCTCTATCAACACTTTCCCGATGAATCCGGTACCTCCTGTTATGAACACATTTTTACCTTCGTAATATTCTGCCACCGTTGGCAACATACTGTCAAGTCGATCCGACATTGTTATATCCGATGCCATTTTAGTAAAATTATGAATTTCAATGCCCTAAAGATGACTTCCAAAGATTCTTTCCAATCAGATCTTTACCCCTTCCTGGTAATAAAAAAGACAAGTAGTTATAATTACCATAATGTATGGTCAATAATTAAATTTAATTTTAAAAATTCAATGATAATATAGAAATTAAAGCAAAGCAGAATAACAGTATTGTTTTACTTATATTTTTCTTAAGTTTATTACATTATAGAAAAGATATCATCAACAATAATACTGATTACAAACTTAATGTAATAGGTCTTCCACTCTGTGACTCACTTTAGTTACCTTAAGTAAAAATATTAATTTTTTAATTTTATCTATTTGTGAACTTATATCACATTTCAAAATAAATGTTGTTACATTTTTCTTTAGAAAAAAAAATGTGCTTATAAACTAAAATGTCTGTACAGATTACATAAGGAAACTACTTCATTAAACATCCTTAAATACACAACAGAGACACATGACTAGAGTAATCCCAAAATGATATAAAAATACACAAGTAAAGAGTTCAAAAATGGTTGCCTTATGTCAGACCTGAATCATTTACAATCAATATTAATGATGTTAAAGAAAATAACGATATCCAAAGCATTAAAATTTCTTTTAAATGACACACATTACTCAAGTCTATACCCTTAGATTATAATTATCAACAGCCCTTATTCACACCAGGTTTTATCTGTGAAATGATAAACTCATTTTATAATCAATAAGTGGACCAAGTTCAATTTATTAATAATTATTTATACACTATCTTATCGAGATTGTGGCTATTTAAACAATTTTTTCACATCAAATTTGTGTCAAATTAAAGTCAAGAAAGAGTATGTTACCCTGACACACATTTTAAGAGAATAAATTTTGTGAAGCATAATATTTGAACTAAAGATTTAAAGATGTTTCAGAAGTTAAAATTTTTCAGTATATAACTATATATTATTTATACACATGTTAACAGTAGTTACTCCAATAAGTTTGATAATATACAATGGTGTATTTCAAATACACTACATCTTCAGTAATTGACCCCAGTAACAAAATAAATTATACTTTCATACTCAAAGATCTGTCTTTTAATATCACAATAAATAGATAACATCACAATCCTGTATATAAATTATAAATAAACTAATAATTAATCTTTTTATATATGTTACATGAAGGTTAAATAGCACTTATAAATAGCAGATTTTAAAAGTTAAAGAATGGAAAATTACTCTGATATGAAAAATTGATACAAGTCATATTATAAATGTTCATAGATCAAGAGGTTTCATACATCATGTTGATGTGAATACATGTAATGATGCGTAAATGACAATGCACTAGTCAACTGAAATCCCAAAATCTCACCCCTGGAGGATGCTATGGGATAGTGACTTTAGTGATGGGAAAGAGTTAACCAATCTTACTACAATTTTCACATACAATGCAATATATGCAGTGATAAGGGGGGGGGGGGGGGGGAGGGCCCGGGCAGAGCAGGACAGTAAATTACATAAATTTAAACATTTAATATTGATAAAATCTTATTGTTTGTGTTGTATTCAGTAGGAAAATATCTGCTATCCTTTAGGTTGTTGACCAGTACCGGCAAAATTAATTGTCCGTATTGCCCGGCAAGGTTGTCCAACAGCCTGTACGAACAAGTGAAAGTTTTCAAAACATCATACGGGCAAGATAAAAAATGCTTCACATAAAAACGGAAAAGTAAGTCAAAATCTGATTTTGCTGGCCCTGTCGACTAGTGCATATGTGGCGGTAAAAAAATATAAATGAAAGCCAAAATTTTTAAATCTCAATTTGAAATCTGAGATCTATTCTAAGATTTACAACACAATATTACGCCCTTGAATTTCAAATTCACTTCAAATCAAATAAATATACTGTATGTACATTATAAAATAGAATCATACAACACTTACAATCATTCAACCTCAAAAAGTCCTAATCCTATATAATATATTTCAAGACTGAATAATGAACTTTCATAATCTAGCACAGTGTTTAGTCATTGGCACTCAGTTTGTCCTGTGACAACAACAAAATTCCATCAATAATTTACGATCTGATAAATAGACTAATGAGGGTTAATTTATCTATGTTTTGATAATAAATATTGTCAAATGGCTTAATCAATTAAAACTCACTCATAAGACTGTATGAATATAACTAAAAATAATGGAATCCATGTGTTAGCAACACGATAAACATTAATTCAGGGGAGACAATTCGGAACGATATTTCAAAATCAAAATATTGGAGAAAACACGCCGCGGTCATTTTCTATAAATAACAAAATATTGTTATTTCTGATTTGACAACACCATTCCAATGCCTGAAAACTTATATTACAGACTAATTACCGTATCAACTTACACTTTGTACAAGTAATACAAAAGAAATTAGACCAACCGGCTTCTGACAGTTTCGTTCAGCCCCGCCCATGCATGAACTGTATTAAAACGGGAATTTCCGACATTAAGGCGCATATCAGAATACGAATATAGCGTGCAACCTACCAGATAAATTTGTCTCAAAGCCTGAGTAATCTTCCGTATACGATCATAACGGGTACGTGCACTAATAAACAAAAATTAATTTTGAGATAAATTATCTGTGCCAACAGCAGCCATTTTCATGTCAAGGCCAAAGGTCATGCCCTATCACGCAATTTTTGATTGGTTAGACTCATGGCATGAGCGTTCGGACCATCCCGTAACTATTACGGAATAAGCCGGAATTTTTACTGCTATTCTCTGTCTTTAAACGTAACGGACCATAAACCGTATATCGGAACGGACAATTTTTGTGCAAATATTGTTTTTGCATAATCCAATTAAAAGTATTTTTGATAGTTCTACATAATTTATTGGACACTTAAAGATTAAAAAAAGTATAAAGTTATTGTTTAAGATAGAGCTCTATATTTCTATTAAACGGTTGACTCTTTTTATATATTATCTCCCTTGCATACAAATTGTACGATGGAAAAAAAACTAGCTGACTAAAGATAACTTGCACATCACCTGCGAGTCTGTTGTTCTGTACAGGTGATCGCCAGTGTCTTAAAGCAGCACGCCTCCAGGTTGCGGCTAATTTTCATGAAAATTTTGAAAATGTATTAAAAAGTAAAATATTGTGAAGTGAACAAAGAAATTTATTTTCATATTGCAAATGGAACTTATGACCAATATAAATTACCACAAATAGGTCAACATATGCAAAAATGGTCCTAACTGCGTTAGTAACGCATAAGAAATTTGGTGATAAATACTGCAAAATCAGTCATTAATCGTGCATAGCATGTACATTTTACTTAAATCACGGATACATTTATGTCAATTAAAGTCCGTGCTTAAATCTTGGATTTTTTTTACTTTTTTTAGAATTATAGTACATTTTGCTGAAGTTTGATTTTCTTGATATATTTTGGTTCATCTGGAGGCATGCAGGTTTAAAATGAATGGAAGGATATGTAAGACAGTCTCCGTCGAAGGAGTATAGGCACTGTTGGACTGGTACACGGCAGATATTCTAGAATATCTCTGATAACTTGTCATGTTTTCTTCAGACAATGACGGAAAAGATCAGTTATGATTGTTGTTCATTTGTGACAAAAGTAAAGTATCTATACATTTGACCACAGATATTCTATATTAAGCTCCATGACTTGACGAAACCATTTATACACGTAGCACAAACGCATATTTCAGGGTCTTCAGATATATTTTAATGTATTAAATTAAGATCAGCTGTGCAATAAACTTTACAAAATGAATTAACTCTCGGTTAAAATTTCTGAATATAGAAGAAAAGCAACTTAACAAAATGAAATGAACATTTGCAAATTTTAACTGTGCCTTCCCAGTCATTCATGATTGATCAGTGCACCATGAGTCCTTCAGCAACACAATATCTCAACAACATGGTATATGTTGAGGTTCGTAGCTAGGGCATAGTTCTACGAACACTCAAATGCGCAAGAGATCAAGGGCATTGTGCAAGCCCCTTCCTGAAGGTCAAGGGCAGAGCCATGGACCCGAAAGCTCCACGTACGCATTTAGAAGGATGCTAATTATGCATTTTCAGGACAATAAATTGTCACAAAAAGAAAATATTCAAAACATATAAAGTGTAATATAGTACACAAATATCAAGTCGACATTTGACAATTGAAACACAGTTAAATACCCAATATACGTTATATGTACGTCTTTTCAAATTTTGCTTTAGGCTGCTACGTATTGTTCTTTTAGTTGCCCGAAATCCTAATAATATCTGAAAGTTGCTTACGCAGTGGAATAATTGTTCTGTTTATTAGAAAATGCAATATTAATTAAAGGCTTCTTGTATATAAATTTCTCCATTCGGTTGGCCGATGTATTGTGCTCAAAATATACGGTTTGTCTTGTAAGAGGCATTCCACAACTATGCATACCTATGTAAAACCCTATAATGCAGCTTGAGCATGCTGAAACTTTGCATATAAACTGAAGGCCCTGGAAATGAAATATTAACACAATATATACGTTGTTACTTGCTAGTTTTGGTGGAAAAAAACACAGCTTTTATTTTGTTTCTTGTACCTTTGATCGACTTGAATGTAGTAAATGATACGATTTTAGAGACTGTATAAACTCACTTAGAGGAGCTATAAGCAACCCCTCGATGTTTCAATTTGTGTAAATGTAAATTCTCTGCGAGTTTGAGAAGTTTCTATTCTATTTATCAATGGAAAATTCAGTAATATTATGATTGCACGTGGAAATTTTATACGTACGTACATATTGTGCGCAATGGACTCAAAAATGTCTTCACCAAAAGCATCCAAAAAGTAAGCTGCGCAGGTCCAATTATGAAATTTCGCAGATTGAGTGTTGATTTTTGTAAATGTATCATTCCTGTAAATTATCATTACAGGTCCCATAAATAGTAATGAATACTGCAAGCAATTAAGTCAAACTGTTTTCACGATTGACAGTGTTTAAATGGTTTGAAAACTGTTTAACGTCCGGTATCGGACATGGACATTATTTGAATATACATGTATAGTCAAATTGTATACTTTAAAATAATTTTTGCCAACCTACATAGCTCAATGGGTTAGAGCGCAAGTCTTGTAATCTCGACATTGTGGGTTCGATTCCCAGGCTGGCCAACTAAAATCAGTCTCTCGGATGAGATATAAATAAAGGTCTCGTGTATATACGTGCTTTAACACTTTGCACGCTAAAGAAACATGAGGAGCTTCTGGAATTGGGGAATCTTTCTGTATCTTCATCTTGCACTATCCTCTAAAATCGGAAATGGCTGATACTCTTTTGGAGGAATCGCCCATATGAATAAACTAAGAAAACCTAGTGCTTTTAAATCTAGGACTAAATTTCAGATCGGTAATAAAGACCTATGGGAATAAACTTTGAATTCTAAGATACAAAAAAGTATATGACATGGTGGAGATTTAATAATAATAATAATAATAATAATAATAATAATAATAATAATAATAATAATAATAATAATAATAATATAATAATAATAATAATAATAATAAATAATATAATAATAATAATAATAATAATAATTAATAATAAAAATCAAAGGCATTATGCCCACAAAATGATTTAAATTCTATTTGTCAAAAGTGTTTTATTTTTCTGTATTTTTTGTATTATAGTTTTTCAGAAAATTACTAATTATCTGAACCATCTTTTTCTGTGTTGCCTTTTGGCAATAGTGATTGGGTATTTTGTTTGGAAGTCAAAATACTACTTTGTTTACATTTTGCTACATATATGACAAGTTATAACACATTCAGTGCTACTTTTTGTTACTTAAATTAAACGTTATAAAATTCATGTTTGGCATTTCTGAAGAGGTTAACATTTATTCGTTCATTCGGCATAATGTGCCTTTATCTAGGGTAGCTTATATTAAAACATTACACCAAAGCATCATAAATAATGATAATAAAGGAAGTGGAGATATTGACGATGATTGTTGATGATGATGTTGATGATGATGATGATGGTGATAAAAAGTAGACACGTTTACAAAATTTTAAGGACGTGCATGTACTAATTAAACACAAAACTTTAGTTTTTAAGGGACTTTTAGGTTCAAAGGGCCATTTTTTTAGCTTAAAAAAAAGAAGAAAAAACAAAACAACAACGACGACAACAACAACTCAAATGTTGAATATCTGCTTAAGCCGGTGCCAGGGGGGCGTGGTCAGTAACTGGCACTTCCAGTTCTGTTCATGAACATACTCAATCAAACCGAGCCTGCAACATTTTCAATTTTGTCGTGCTGGGCTTTCTTTATGGATTCTATTTTTCTCTATTTCATATATAAACGCATTAAATCACATCTCCTGGACCCTTTCGATAAGAACTATGATTATTCAATTCAATTCAATTCAAAGCTTATTGCATAAAGCATGTTAATACATTGCCCGTATCACAATATAACATTTTATGAATAATAATAATATTAATAATAGCCAAGGAGTAACAATTGAGAATATGCCCTGTCGGAATGCATTTCCGGTAAGTCATTATAAATAAACAAAACACATCACCAACAAAATTTATTTCTTTAAAGATATATAAAATATAAAAAAAACATATGTAGCACGATAACGATATATATATGGAGTTACAAAGAAAACAAAATAAAACATTAAATAAATATATCAATAAATGTCAATGAATTAATTACTTGATACCATCCTTAATGATCAACATTATTTTTTGTCCAATCACATTGTAGTATTTTTCAAATTTCTACTTTGTCTAACTTTGGTTAATGTGTACTTTTTTATTTTATTTTTTATTCATTTATTTATTTAAGTCTCAATAACATATATGTACATATCAATCAATATAAAATACAGGATAAAACAAATGGCATACATATATGAAACCAATCAAATGTTTGATTTGCTAGAGACTATTTAAAAACTATACATTTTCACATTCTTAAAAACTCTATCACATATTTTAATGACAACTCACTTAATGTACATATACAGAAAAAGAAATGAAATGAAATGTCATCTGAGTTTGTTCTTAATCATAACTTTGTCAATTCAAAGATCTTGGCAAGTATTCATATTTGAGTAAAGTTAAAATTAAAACTACTCTGTCTATCCCATAGAAAAAAGGCTGAAAAATTTAATCATAAACAAAATAGTTCAGAAAACTGTAATGTGCTAAACTGTATGAAGACCCAAATATTCATGTTCTATAACAACAGTGGTTGTGTCAAAATTATGACTTGGCATTGATTTGTATAACCAAAAACAAACCCTCCTTATTTTTCGGTTCTAAACTATACTAATTTCTTTACCATATATATACACATATTCTAAATGCTATGACCTAGAAAACTCTTCTTAATGATAATCTGTCGTTATTTTTTGTTGTTTTTTTTTTAAATTTAAACCCAGAATATCTTTAAAAGGAATAGTTTATAAAGCTCAACATTACAAAATGGTCTAAACAGTAAAAGCACAGGACTGATCTAATCAGACATATGAATTATTAAAAAGGTTTTCTAGAGCAAGATAAAACAATGTTCATATACTAAAACAATGTTCATATACTAAAACAATGTTCATATACTAAAACAATGTTTATATACAATAAAAAAAATATAGTACAGTTTAATATTATCCAGTATACAAACTATCACGACGCTTTTCTAACATTTGAAAGCAGGTTTTGGCACAGCAATTAACAATGGCCTCCTCATTCAGAAGTATCCTTATCTTTTCAACATCATCTACACTATCAAAATTAGCAAAATGTTGACAAGCCTTAAAATAAAGCTGTTGTCTTAAATCAATATACAAAGGACAGTGTAGTAACACGTGCATCTCATCCTCAATTACATTAATTCCAATATTGTGACAAAAAGAACATTTTCTATTCTCTAACAAGACATTATTATATCTTCCAATCTTAACATTGATTGGGGCTGTTCCACTACGAAATTTTGCAAGTGCACCTCTATGTTATCTATTTAACACTAATTTACAGTATGGTTCAACATGAAAAGAGGTTTTGAATAATCGGTAGAACCTAAGTTTATTTCTACCATTTCCTCTCTGTGCATTAACACGATTAACATCGGCATGCCATGACATGACATATTCTTCATATACATGTAATTTTGGAACAAGTTTTCCACATATTTCATGCTTAGACGCAAACCTGCTAATATGTACATGTTCATTTAAATCATACTTCAAAAACATGTTAACAACTTTAAAATTCCAATTTTTACAGTTTCTATTACTTGCATTATTTGACCAAACAAACACTTTTCTGTTTAGTCTTTCACTTGACATATTAACTAATCTAGACCATAAATGTACAACTGTTTTTTTAACCTTACAAATCATTGGTTGCCACCCAATATCACCATTTACAGCAGCATTTGAAGTATATTTACCAACGTTCAAAAAATATCTTGCTGCTCTATGCTGAATTGCATTAATACATTTAAAGTCTTCAGTTGCCCATATACCAGAGCCATATGTAATAATTGGTACAATAGAAGAATCATAAAGTTTGGTAAATGCTTGATATGGAAATCCACCAACTGAGCGTTCCCTCGCTATAAGCAAACCCAAGGCCCTTCCGGCAGATTTAGCAACGCATTTCGCTGTGACCGAATAATCTAAATGTTCAGTCAAAACAAGACCTAAGTACTTGTACTGAGAGGCATACTCAATTTCTGAATCTCCACATCGAAATACAAAATCACTTTTTCTTACAGACGGGTTTCTAAATTGAACAATCTTGGATTTGTCAATATTAATACACATTTTATTTTCAGCACACCAAGTATTAAAAACATTCAAAAGACACTGTAAATTTTCAGGTTTATCGGTGTACTAACTAAATAAAATTCACTTAATCTGTCGTCTAACCGCAGTCTAACAAATTTCAATAATGCATTATATTAGGGAGGAGTTAGAGGTATTGTTGTAAAATGTCAAAGTTAGCAAAACAATGCCAACATAAAAAAATTAGTAGAGGTCAGGTGGATACAATCAACTGATTTATTACATAGATAATACATGTTGGGTACGCAGAGACAAATGATTGCATATTAACTTTTTTATATCCTTTGAACTCTAAGAAAAATGACTGTTATAAATTGCTGACTGTTTTAAACTTTATATTGTATAGAAAAGTAACCAAAACATTATTTTCTTTCACTTGATAGGAATAAACTGCATTAACAGTCATTGATATCAAGAATACAATGATTACATTTTTTGGCTGGAAAACTCATTGAAAATGGACCCCCTTCACACAGAAAAAATGAACTGTTTTTCAAATGAGCAAATCAATAGGGATTTTAAATGTTAGTGAATAACTTGAAGCTAATAACGAATTTGTATCAATGAATAATCTGTAATGTATTTTTTCTCACATTTTCCATTTATTTTAAAAGGATGTACACATTTCATTAACTCCATTGTTTTCACCTAATTGCATCGTTTTCCTCGCTGGTTTTTTCCAGATATATTATAAACATGATAGTCTTACTGTAGATAAAGGTATAAATTCTGTGACATTTCAGTAGAAAATGTGCCTGGGCCATTTTTTTAGCTTATCTAAATGTGACATGTTAGCAACTTGACAAGGTGTAGACATGTTGTAGAGCGAAAGGGCGGAGCTTTCGGTGATTTACAGAAATGCCTTGTTGTTAGTTGAAAAAAATAATGTTGATCATTAAATAGGTTAATGTTTAATAATATGCATTAACAAAAATAATTGGTCGCCTGCCTGCGGCAGGCTTGACCAATTATTTTTGTTAATGCATATTATTAAACACTAACCTATACATAATGCATGTTTTACCACTTGTTGTATTTCATACATTTTTATTGTATTTATTTGTGCACGTGTTGTAGACATTTTATTCTGGCACTGACTTGATTTGACATTTGTCACGTGTTAATTTATTCCGACTTTTGTAAATGCCATGTTGACAAAAGCAACTGATAGCCGCAGATATGCATGTACATTTATACAGTCATTTTCACTGTATCGTGGATCATCGCAAATTAAAAAAAAACAATGTTATACATGACAATGGGAAAAAGTTACAACACAATGCATACATACATATGCAATCAATTAACACTGCAAACAACACATATGATATGTTAAAGACTAAATCATATCATATCGTCCACATTGGAGTTAGAAAGTTCCATATGAAAAAAAATATAATGATGGAAATAAAATGTAAAAGTACTTCAATCTCAACTTTCGGAGGAGTCCGGTGGAAAATACTATGTGGAATATCTCGCAGATTACCATTCAACATTCCTTTACCGAAGTATGACGGAATGGACCGAAATGTTTCGATTGCGCAATAGGGAAGAAGTTCCAAAAGAAATAAAGTTTCCTTTTAAAAGGAAAGGCTTGCACAGTTGTGCCATCATCCCAACCCTTTAAAATTGTTTTTTTTTTGGTTTCAATTTATTATCACATTTTTTTTTAATTACTGTATTTGTATATCATAAAGGCTGCAAGCCAAAAAGACAAAATTCATATTTTACACATAATATATGTTTACATATATATTTCATGCTTATTGATGGCCCCAGCTAGGTGTATGGAATATTGTATCCTGTTTTTTTCTGATGGAACACGGCAGTTTCAACAATGCACTAGCGATATCAAGGTACATACATGTATGTAATACATATCTGGGACGTCACAGTACATATATATTTGCATGCCTGGTGTGGTATAGCTTCCAGCTTATAGTCCGCTGTTAAAACCTGCTATTTCATTGATCATTGATATTCATACACCAATTATTAAAGGTAAAATGCATTTAATTGCTCGACGACTTTTGACTTTGCACATCTTACCATTAGCACCAGCTTTTCACGTTAACAAAAGTCGCATATTTTTTCATTGTTTTTGACACGTATACTATACAGTTGACTGAAGAGGGCACGTAGTGGTCAGGATATCTTCCGTCTTCACGTACGTATTTCCGTGCTGCTGAATAATAATTTCTCTGTCCTCGGCTGAAAGCAAAAAAATAGTAGTCAATATATCTGGGTAAAATTACAAATGCTTTATATTTCATTCATTGTATAAAACACATGAAACAGGACCATTTTTGATTTCACTTTAAAATAGATTTTGGCTTAGTTTCAAATCTTTAACTGTTTTTATTATTCGAATTGAAGAAAGGTTGTTGTCAAAATAAAAGTTAAAAATTTTATGTTATTTTTTGGTAATATATAAATGAGCCAGCCAACAGGCGTTTAGTGAGTTTGGACATTGACAAAATAAAAAAAAAATAAAAAAAAATAAATCTATTGGCAAATAACAATGATATTTATAACATAAACGAAACACATTATACACCAAACTAAATAAATCTTCTAAAACACATTTTCTTTGAGTTAAGTAAAAGTCACACTGGCATAATGTACTATAGTCAATTACAACACTTCCTATCTCAACAGACACCCAAGGGAAAAGCGGGTACTTTAATTTTTATGGCCATCGATTGTCTGATAAAAAAACTTCGCGGTGTGAGGAATATTAGATCGATGTATAAATTTCCACTAATTACATGTACATATATATTTATGAATTATTCCCGTTCTATTTTTGTGCGAAAATAAAGCCAAAGCATTAACCTAGAATTGCGAGGATATTCGAAATGTAAACCCGCTTCACCTGCTAATCACTGCAACCATGCACACGTGACATATATACATATATAAATGTTGACCTACTAGTAATTTATTTCTAGCACGTGCGGACACCTGCCTAACTCATCACTTCGGCAGAGATTTAAACTTTCAGTACACGGTTGATTATCATTTAAAATCAGTAACCCTAAACAGTGTGAGTCATAATAACACTGATATATACTTATAATATACATACCTATTTCTTGAATAGATCTTACACCTTCATCACGCCTGATATTGTACGGACATAATGTCAGTTTTTTCCATTGTGAATCTCTCCGACGACGTCGACGTAAAACGCACACTGTGACGACTACAATGACGCATGTGAATCCAACACCAATAAGAACGCCGGCCATTATGTTCTCTATTGTCTTCCATTTCTTCACTTCAGTTGAACTCCCATTGTCATTAAGCACAATATTATGTTTAGCATGACTTTTTATTTTGATATTTGTAGGATCAACTAAGTTTAATTGTGGACCGCATATCGTGTCACTGTCATTTGCGCACGGAATCCACGTGACTAGCTCTAATTTTATGTCACAAACCGTGCACGCGACACAACTTCCTGTTTCCGCTTGCAGAAACTCGTCTGCATTGCACGTGCTGCTAACTGACTTTGCTATGTGTACACTAATGCAGTTCAATGATACAAAAATAAACACTAATTGTCTATAGTCCGCCATTTTAAGTCAATGATTTTGTCTTTCGTTCTTCCTTCCTTGTCCAGTCCTCGAATTTATTTATGCATGTCTTCTAAAGTTCTGAAAGTAAAAAGGTATATTTGAGTTGTTCCGTAGCACACGGTAAAAATTGACTTATTCCGTAACATTTAACGTTTCATAATGTGTTTTCCCGGTTGTTTTCATAATATCTGCTCAATGGAAAATTAATTTACTATTTAATTTTGTTCCAAGTAAAATTCAAGAGCACTGAGGTGAAAAAAGTAGTCCGCAGATGATTTGATACACATGAGCAATGGAGCCATGTGCACGTGATCTTCACTTTATATTTTTAGGTCTCTTAGGCAATGTAGAAGTAATCATTTTCGTGAAGTTTCTTTGATATTTGACATTGTCATTAAGTCACGTGATAGAGATCAAAGTCAAAGCAAACGGTTTAATCAATACGGGAAATATTAGCAGAACATTTAAAAGATCATTCTACATGACACGCAAACTGCCACACCTAAATATAGATTCTAGAAATGGTAGATCTGAATTTTACAATGTCTGAGCAAAAAATTATATATATAATATCAATCTAAGGAAAGAATGTCATGCAAATTGGCTGAGATTAAGAATTCATTCAATTTTTTCGTGCCATTCAATCACGTGACCAAAATGCATTGATGATATAGGAAAATAACTAGACGGATACCATTTTCAATTTTGTACATTCGGATACCGTTTCACGTGTAAAATAAGTTAGAACTCGACAATCCACGACTTAATTTTAAGAAAAAGTTGAAATATTCATCAGACTATGAAAAATATATTACTGCATGTATAAGATCTAATATCAATAAGTATAAAATATGCAATTTTCTACTGTATATATCCACCTTCATTCAAATAACATTATTTTTTGCTCGAAACTTTCTTAAGACATTGTATTATCAATAATTTTTTATACATTGAATTATCTATTTGCGTATGTTTAACTTTGTTTGCGTATTTTAAAGGCAACGAGGAATAGTACCATTCAAACTTTTACAGTTACCTTCGGTAAATAAGCTTCTGCTTTCGGTCAAAATCTATAATTATTGTTATGTTGTTACTTACATATGTACAAATATTCTAAATAAAATATGTTTAAACCAAAATAAATATATTTCTTTATAATGTAAAATTTACCTCAACTAGTATCTGTTTTTGTCATGAAAGGATTATAAATAAATGTTAATCAGTCCAAAGTTTAACTACATGTACATTTACGGTTTTCACAATAAAGTAAAGAATTAAATTATTAAAGTGCCTTTATATTTAAATGCAGACATTTTAAAATCATTGATCTATTGTAGTTTTAAAAGATAACAAATAATAAGATAATATAATTATATTAAAATATTATAAATAACATATAATCCTGAATAATAATAATCCTGAATAATAATAATAATAATAATAATAATAATAATAATAATAATAATAATAATAATAATAATAATAATGATAATAATAATAATAATAATAATAATAATAATGATAATAATAATGATAATAATAATAATAATAATAATAATAATAATAATAATAATAATAATAATAATAATACATGCAATAATAATTTCTACGTGCCCGCGAGGGGTTTGACATTAGCGGAATATAAATAATAATGTTACGAAATCTTCTTGAATTGTGAAAAGCTTTGTTTATTCACTTTTTTCGCTTAAAAGTAAACCATTTCTCTATGCTCACGGGGGAGGAAGTGTTACACGAAGGATGGAGTTCTTATGATAACTTGTTCAGGAGTTCTTGTGATAACTGTCACGGAGTTCGTCGGAAAACATCTGTATATACTACAAAAACTCCCGTCAAAAATGGTTATTTTCATCGTTCAATAATGAGTTTTAGGTGCTGAATTAAACTTTAATAATTAAGCTTGTCTTACGTCTTGTATTATGTGTCAAAAACTAATTCATAGGCCATTTTTCATCGCCTCTTGCTATAAATCTGGTAGTTTTGAGTAAAACTTCCAAATTATTTGCCAATTCACAAGTTTTGATCGGTTTATTTCTGGTCTTCATCCTTGCCATACATAATTACCTAATTATAATGCAAAATTATTGTAAACATAAAGCACAGGCTAACAGATTTATACCCGATTTTTCAAATGTCCCGGAGTTCTTGTGATAACTTTTGTTAAATATTTTTGCCAGTGTGTTTCTTGCGCTAAATCACGGCACGTTTTGGCGTTTATTGTCATTCAATAAGATTGTAAATCATTATGAAATGCAGTACGATCATCCTTTCACAAAAATGTGTCTGCAAAGTATGAATAGGTGATAGGCTATCATCTACAGTAAAAATTGAACCAGCGGCCACTGATATTCAGCAGTATAATGGCTTAAACCACAAAACAAAATGTCTCAAAACGTACACGTTGTTCTCAGTTTCACATGTTTTAAGCAACCACCTTTCTTAAGCAGAGAATATATAGGCATGCTTCTCTTACCTAAGGGCTAAGTAATTTGTATCATTTTATACCATAATAAATGAGTATATAACCAGGATAATTTCCACACCTATGTCTTTAAAAAGTACAATACATGATAAAAACTCAACTGCGGTTGGCTCTAACTACCGATCTCTCGAACACATTTGAATTGTCCCTCCAGGTTCGAGCGAACTAAGTTTGACTATATATTTTTGTTATCAATTACAGCAAAAGTAGCAGAGTGTCCTCCACTAAGATTACATAGGGGAAATACTCATCAAACATCGACAGAAAAATATGCATGAAAATACCATATTTGAGTATTTCAAAGCGCATATTATCACGTACATATAATTGCCCTATTGGTTTCATAGCAGTTCCCGGCCCCAAATCGCACTTTTTAACAAATAAAATAAAAATCTGTCTACCGAAGAGTGCAAACTTTGACAGAACAAAGTTAGGTACCTGTCCAGCATTACCATGTTTTAATGTTGCACATAAAGGCCTGAGATGTAACACCTTTGCTCACATTTATTCAAAATTTCATAGCAGTTTTTCGGACCTTTTTTATTTTGAATATAATTCAGTACCAATAAGCAATGTTAAGCTGAGTTTTTCAAAAAGATATAACTTCCCAAACTTTTCCGTGTCGTCTGCAAATATATTGTGTAAAAGTAGTGATTTACCTAGAATGGGATTTCAGTTATTGTGCATAGAATTCCCCATGCAGTTGTTGCTTGTAAGTGTCGCAAGTTCTCTAATGTAACTTAAAACAACAGACAAAACTTTGAAACATATTAATCGCTGTATTACAACTGCTGTTTTACATAGAAAACAAATGTTTTTCTGACTGATGCAGTAACATAGATGCTTAACTTAGAAGAAATAGTCTGTATGCCTGGATGAAAATGATAAAGGGCTAGAATACTGCTAGGAGCCGGAAACCAGTACAATGTCATAAATCCTTTTTCCAGTCAACGAAATCTGCGTCAAACAACAACAAAAAAACTATGAAAAAGAAACGGGGGTAAGAAATAATATCTTTTGAACTAAAATTCACTCAAAACCAACATTATATATGTTATTTTTTGCGCAAAGGATGAGCGTACTACATTTCATAATGATTTACAATCTCATTGAATAATAAAAAAACACTAAAACGTGCCGTGATTTAGCGCAAAAACACGCTGGCAATAACAAAAGTTATCATAAGAACTCTGTGACATCTTCAGTGTTATCACAAGAACTCCGGGACATTTGAAAAATCGGGTATAAATCTGTTAGCCTGTGCTTTATGTTTACAATTTTGCATTATAATTAGGTAATTATGTATGGCAAGGATGAAGACCAGAAATAAACCGATCAAAACTTGTGAATTGGCAAATAATTTGGAAATTTTACTGAAAACTACCAGATTTATAGCAAGAGGCGATTAAAAATGGCCTATGAATTAGTTTTTGACACATAATACAAGACGTAAGACAAGCTTAATTATTAAAGTTTAATTCAGCACCTAAAACTCATTATTGAACGATGAAAATAACCATTTTTAACGAGTGTTTTTGTAATACATACAGATGTTTTCAGACGAACTCCGTGACAGTTATCACAAGAACTCCTGAACAAGTTATCATAAGAACTCCATCCTTCGTGTAACACTTCCTCCCCCGTGATGCTGGTATAATGAACAAGTCCAGTCCAAGTGAAAGCAGGATTATATTTATTGCAGTAAATCAAAATAATGCATCATTTTATTTTCTATCAACAGTCAAAACCAAAGTAAAATTCTTAACAACTTCAACAAATACATTTCTTCAATTACTAACTAACTCAACTCAACCAACTCCAACTCACTCCAAAACTCCTCAAAAACTAACCCAGCTAGAAAAGTTCCCAGCTTATATACCCTTCTGTTTGCGCAGCTAGGGTGGTGTGCAAAAGTAGATTGTTGCGCGACCCACGTGCGCTAACCAGTTTTGCACACAACTCATTGCGCGACCTGAATGTTGTGCAACCTATTAAAAGTGCTGACAATGCCTTAACAATGTTCAAAATGGCCTGCAACTGGTTCAGGTATACAGACTGTTGTACAATACAAACATTAGTACAAAAATACATAATAGTTATATAAATTTACATGTTTGAACACTCAATAGGATAATAATTATCTGTCCAATAATGCATCTTAATAGTGCAAAATATACTTGCAGTAATAATAATTAAAGATATATGTACTATATATGGCTTATAAGACCAATACACTTACTACTGATTGACATTTCTATAAACTTATAATACTGACTGATAATTCATTAAACAACAGAAATATAATCTCTCCAGCTTTACAACATACAGCTCAACATTTGAACCAAGTAACCTGTACATAGATAAAGCTGTGAGTAAGGAATCCCATTCATAAAATCTGATATGACCAAATTATGTTTTGTTAACAACAATTGAGATGCTGATCGAAGGGCTAAAAATAACTTAAACCTTGTACTTTTAGACTGCGCGACCTCTTATTGCGCGACCTCTCCATATTTGGAACTAGCATGCCTGGGAAAGCTGATTCTGCGCGACCTTTCCTATTGCGCGACCTTAAGTGTCGCGCGACCTTTGTCTGCGCGACCTTTCCAAATTTGGAATGAGGTATGCTCATAATCTAAAAATTACGGAATGCCGTTAGGGCCATCGCCTATGAATGTGTTAATCTGAAACGCGAAAGTCGATAGTACGATGGTGAAAACACGAAATCACGAAACTACGATGGTGAAAACACGATAGTACGATGATGAAAACGCGATAGTACGATGAAAACGCGATAGTACGATGATGAAAACACGACGGTACGATGGTGAAAACGCGATAGTACGATGATGAAAACACGACAGTACGATGATGAAAACGCGATAGTACGATGGTGAAAACGCGATAGTACGATGATGAAAACACGACAGTACGATGATGAAACTCGAAATCACGAAATTACGATGGTGAAAACGCGACAGAACGATGGTGAAAACACGATTGTTTATCGCGTTTTCATCATCGTAGTATCGTACTGTCGCGTTTTCATCATCGTACTTTCGCGTTTTCATCATCGTACTTTCGCATTTTCACCATCGTAGTTTCGTGATTTCGCGTTTTCACCATCGTACTATCGACTATCGCGTTTCAGATCAACACATTCATAGGCAATGGCCCTAACGGCATTCCGTAAAAAATAACTGAGCTGTGCCAATATTCTGGATTGTTAATGACTCAATTGTTTTACAACAAAAATCAGTAAAAGTTAACATAAACATTTTAACCAGCTTAGAAATATTGTCCAGATTTACCATCCTAAAAGAATACTCTTCTAGTAAAAGATAAGTTTCAAATTTCATAACAGTAATAATAATAATAATAATAATAATAATAATAATAATAATAATAATAATAATAATATTTTCCATGTGTATGGCAAATAAATATTTGTTTTGGAAACTGTAACAAGGTACCAACAATAAAGATTGTAAGGAATAAAAATTATAGTATCAATGAGGCATAATGGGCCTTAATACATAACTATAATTTTTCAAAATGTCTCATTTCGTGAAGGGTTAGAGTATTGGTGACAAAACAGTTCATGTCATATTTTGCATAAAAACATTAAAAGTTTCACATGCATTTTGAACACTTTTAAATTGCAAACTTTTAATATAAATTACTTAAGTTTAATTCTGTTTGAATATTTTATTAACATACCCGTTTGTGTGTCGCTTTAAAGACGTTCGCTACATGTTTTAAACGGTAACCATCCTGCTAACGTAATCAAGGGAGGCAAATTTTACAAGGTACTTATTATCGCCTGCACAGTGAACTCCCTTGCATAAAATAATTTCAAAATATTCATCAATTTACCATTTACAAAATATCAAGCATGCTTTTCGTATTCTATATCGAGCTGACTGCCGACCACAATCTGTTTTGAAATATGTAAATAATAACGTTCTATTTTTGTTTGTTTGTTTGTTTATTGATTTTTTCTCTCTCAAGCGTCTAATAATATTAATCTTAAACCTACTAACAAGTGATCAACATCATCAGTATAAAGTCAGATCAGTCTGCCTGACAAGGCTCAATACAGTTGATGGCTCTATGTGAAATCCCTTCAGTATTAAATGGACTGTTCCAAGTTCAAAGGAAAAACAGATCAAACATGCAGCATGTGAAGGGTTAATTGAGTTTTCATAAATACATAAACGTGAGTGTTTCCATTTATTACGTGAAATATATTTTTTTGATAAATAATGTTTACTATGGTGTCTCGTTACGGCCATCGCGACACATTCAAATAACTCTAAACAACGAAAACATAAAAATACGATGCCATCGTAATTTCATTTTTTCAACATCGTTTTCTCGTTATTTCGTTTTTAACCGTAATATTTTGTCTCGATTGCCCTATCGGGACATTGTAGTTTTCACCATGTTACTTACGGATGGTCTTTCGCACGGAAAAAACGCTTTAAGGGGGCATTATACCCAAGAATTTTTTTTTTCGCTCAAAACCTTTTTATTTTTGGTGTCCTGTTTTAGTTTTGAAAACGTTACTCATTTCAGTCATTTGCAAATTACATACACAATATGTTTCACTTCTGTTGCTGTTTGGCATTTAGTACAAATATTGTGATTCAGTATTCTGTATGGAAACCAAAATACTGCTTTGTTAACATATTTTGCTACTTTTATGAAAGGCAATTTCACATTAAGCGCTACTTTTTCAGGTGATAAGTATCTAACATGCTCTTAAACCATTATTTAAACATTATTAAATTCATGTGTGTCATCTTAAAAGAAAAAATGATGAAAAAGATCACAAATCAACACAGTTTATCTAACATGTGAGTGTCGCTTTATCAGTTAATATAAAGGAAATATTTATTCGTTTCTGAGGCAAAATGTGCCTTTAAGTTTTTGACTAAGAAGCTAAAAATTTGATATCATAGGCCAGTCATGTAACTAAAAGAACACCTATATGCTAAACCTAAACAACATTACCCTGCTTTTTGTGAGTTATGGACACTTTTTTTAACTTAATCTTGGATATATGACAGGTTGTTTTCCAGAAATAAGGAAACGCTAAATAATCTATAATATCATCCTTGTAAAATATTTTCCTGTTGATAATCCTGTTGATACTTATTAAGACACTCGGCTATCAAACCAAACAAGCAAAGTTAGTTTTTCTTCTAATTTATGACATTTTTCAGAATAAATTTCCTTAATTGTAAAAAAACTGACTTCATTAAATGCCTTTTTATTGTTAAAATAACATTTCTACAACATTTAAATTTTTGGCAGCCAGGCCAATGTAAAAAAAGGAAAAAAAACAAAAACAACAAAACACGTACATACGCAATTATATATAAGCACGTACACACGGTCGAGAGTAACACAACAAACGCATTTGCGCGTTTTTATTTATCGTACTTTAAACTTACCGACAGTTTAGACTCATTCGTTATCAGCATGCTGTAAATTTTATCATTAAACAAAGCTTACAAGTAAAATGGTTTCCTGCGGGGAACATTTTTAATGATATGAAGATATTTCATTCAACATTGTTTGGGGGGAGGGGGTAAATAAACGTTTGTATCAGGAATATAGTTGACAATAAACGATCAATATAGTAAAAGGTCTTTGAAAACTGGTGACCGTTGAAGACCGGAGAAGGTCGAACATAAAACAATTATTTCTATTTAAGAAAATTATTAAATAGGCCTACCATTTTATAAATAATTCCGAGCAATAAAAAGTAAACCCACAAGTTTACGCAGAAAATATCTCTATTTATTATGGCAGATGCCACTACGTATATTTTAATATTGTAGATTTTCAGTATAAACAATTTATTGTTTGTAAAATTTGAAATAGATATTAAAAAATCATTAAAAATTTTCAAACACATCATTCAAGTTTTCCACCTTAAACGGTAAAATAATTATAGAAAATTAGAAATATCACGTAATAGTTTATTGTTCTTAATTAGGTGTAATTCGGACTAATTCCCTAGAGGTAAATCCGTAACGTACCGGCAACGGTATTTAGCTAGGTTTTCGAAAAGGTCAATTAACCAATCATGTCAGGTTTATAGATCACATGCTCCTCCATGTACCGAAAACAGGTCACGTGCTCCTCCATGCCTCAAAAGTTAAACGCGTACCAATACCCTGCGGTCTCCAGACCGCAGGGAATAATAGGCATGCGTTATCTAAATCAATATTATTATACATGTATATTTCAATAAAACAATTGATATATACACGTTATTAACAGAGACAAAAGGATATCATTTACACAGACAATATTTTCTTTATAAAGAAGGAACATTAAAAGGTAAAACTTATTTATTACATATCTTTAATCTTGTAAGATAGATTAGATTTAAAAAAAATTCCTCAACGAAATTAAGGGTCACATGATGTACAGTAAAATTGATTGGTCTATTATTGTTATGGAAGTTGTTGTTCTAAAGTCCTTTCCTCTGAAGAGCCATATACTGTACGACTCTGGATTGAAATAGTTTAAAAAATAGTTTGAAAATAAATTGAGGAAAAAGGACATCTTTTTGTATTTTAGGTAAGTCAAATATTTTAAGTTAATGTTAAGAGAATATTGTACTTTGTAATTTTTGGGTGTTATAACTTATGTTCTGACTTAAATGTATATGTAATTGTTTTAACTACATGTAGAAGTTATTTAATATATTACTTTCTTAGATAATAACTTAAGATTTGTTATTGGTAGCACTTGGCGTAATTGTTTAAACTTTTCGTTCAACTAGTCGTTTCGTTTAATTTGATCAGTTGGCATAATTTAATAGAAAAGTAAACATGGCGCTTTCTGTCAGTAGAATTTATTTCCGGAAGCTTTATATTGTTATTATTTGGTGAGAACTTAAGTTTTAATCTTTATTATATGTTAGAAGGCAAGATGATAATAAATGGGAATGAAAACATGTAATAGACTATGAAATCATCATCTTTTGTTTAATATAATCAAGTTAAAATGGCATGTTGAATGAAAATTATTGAATTCTACTTTCACTTTGTTTAGATAATTTGTATGTGTAATATAATTCTATTATAATTTCAATCTTTAATATCTGTTTATGTTATTCTATATATGGACATATAGATTGTATGACTCTGGGTTGAAATAGTTTAAAAAATAGTTTGAAAAATAAATTGAGGAAAAAGGACATCTTTTTGTATTTTAGTTGTACAAGAATTCCCCTAGTACCAAAGCAGAACACTTATGCGCTAAATTATAGGTTCTACTGAAGGTGGATTGTATCACAACACAATGTTCCGTTTTATATTTTAATGTTTCTTTCTTAGTGGAATACCACAGATAATATACTCGTATAACATATACACAGGTTATCCTGATGTTAACAAATTGATATTAAAAACAGTAACAATTATTTCTAGTGGAAAGCCACAATACAATTTGTTATCACTTGGAAATCCAAAATCTAACTCACCCTAAATTTTCTACATGTATCTTTACAATAATTCTAAAATTGATTTCGTTTTAACTGACCAATAGAATTTTAACATTTTTGTGTCTTAAATAACAAAATGACCAATCAGGTTTCAATACAAAATAATGTAACATAGCAACATAGAATTTATAACAACAATCATCACCTGGATATTTTATCAGTCATAAGGTTTAACAACATGATAAGTACAGACAGCTTTAATTGACCTTATCACCTATATATTATAAAACTTTTAGCACAGTTGATTGTACAAAGAGGAAAAGCCGCATTTTAATCTTCCAGTTACATAATTTTAAATTTGACATCTGTTATTGAAACATAAACAATTTGTAACTTAACGTATTTGAAATTTCACAAATTTTGTTTTGAAAATATGACCTTTTAGAAAATGATAATATATATAAATATTTGTGTTTAAAAGAAAATCATCATGCATATTTGTTCATTTTTTTTTTGTAAATGAATTTTATCATTTTTCGGCTGCACAACAATATGACATATTTCCTGTAACTATGTTTATTGAAATATCAACAATTTCCTTCCCATGAACTGTAGAACACAACATGTGAAGTGCATATAAAACTAGTGTTTAAAAGAATTATATATTTTACACGCTTCTTAAATACATGATTTTCGGAACGTGTTTCTGTTTTTGCAGTGAGACAAAATGAAAGAGTAAACTAGACAAAGCTTCAGTTGAAAAAATATTGTTTGAAGACAGAGACACACGGAGATAAATATGTCTGAGGAAGAGGAATTTTTAACCTTTATGGGTCCAAGCGAATTGGGGTCTGACGAAGTTTTCGAGATGTATTGTGAAACATGTTATAGAGATGGAAAACACGCTATTGCGTCGGCTTTTTGCACGGTTTGCATTTCACACCTTTGCTCAACATGCTTGAACTACCATGGGAAGTTCGTACCGGACCATATTTGCTTGTTTGGGGATAGCATACCACAAGATGTTTGTACTGAAAAATGTCCAATTCATTCCAAAGAAATTCTGAAGTTTCAATGTTTTTCGTGTGACACATTTGTATGCTCTACTTGCAAAAGGAATGACCATAAGGGCACTTGTGATTTGAAATATTTACCGGATATTGTCAAAGATTTAGAAAAAGGGAACGAATTTAAGCAACTTATATTTGAATGGAATAAGATTTCAAGGAAAATGGTCGATATTGATATAAAAAGTCAAGCACAACAAGAGCACATCAACAAAATAAGCACTACCTTGAAAAATGGAATAAAGAAAGCAAAGGATTCATTGTTTGACGAGTTTGAGAAGGAAGCTGAACAAATTGGGGAGAGAGCATGTTCAGTGATAGAATCAAACGAACAGGGAAAAAAATGTGTGAGAGATAAAATTGTATCTCTAAGCAAAGAAATAGGATGGCTTGACCTTGGTATTTCACAGATTTCTTCATCACCAACAAAAGAAAAGTACAAACTGTTTATCAAAATGAAAGATATAAGTCTAAAGATAACGCAAATTGTAAAAGACTTTGACATTTTAACAAAACATACCACCAAACACAATTCTTTTAAGAATGAGTTACAAAAACATGCAAATGATTTAAAGGAAAGAGTCGCTCTCTTTGGCAAAAAGGCCCGGGAGTTTAAGGTAAACACGAAAAATATAGTAGAAGAACCCAAGCGAAAAGTCGCACGCTTTATAGGTGATATCAACGTTAGTACATCATTCGACATCGGTTCTTGCCACATTGGCGACTGCTGTTTATTGTCCGAACAGTATCTTATAGCCAGTGACAAAACGAATTCCTCGGTGAAACTTATCGATACCAAAGTTGGAAATGTTATTTATGTACGAAGAATCAGAACTGTCCCCGAAGCTGCCGCAAAGATCACCGACACGGAATTTGCCCTTGTTCACCCATGCGACAACGACAAAGAGAAAAGTATAATTCAATTTTTGACAATGACAGACTCAAGATCTCTTGAGTTCCAAACAGGGTTTATTATAACACAAATGTATTGCACTAATATTGCTTACCGCGATAACGACACTTTCGTAATTTCTATGTGGGCTAATCATCAAGGTAAAGTGCAAATTGTAGACATGACAGGTCACGTACTGGCAGATATTGAGAACAACACAAAAGGCGAAAAACTGTTTAAATGTCCAAACTACCTTACCATAAATTCCTACGGCACAGTGTTGTATGTGTCAGACTGGTACCGTGATTGCATTACCGCCATTAATCTCGAAAACCTAGCAGTCAAGGAGTTACGCCATCGGTTTTGGCACCCAGAAGGAATAACGACTGACAAGGAAGGACTCCTTTACATCTGCGAATGCGGTACAAACCGCATTCACGTTTTCCATCCCGAAGATAACATTTCGCCACCAGATGTTTTACTGGAAGATACTTCTGCTAATTGGCAGCCTTTGGCTGTTTGCTATTCTTTGTCAGATAGAAAGTTATACGTAAGCCAGTACGGTTTGGATTTTATAAAGGTGTATGAAATTAATGACTGCGTAACTTCAAAGAACTGATCGAAACATTACTGCATGTCTGTGTGTAATTGAAAACTGCTGTAAAAGAGTAACCATAGCGTAAATAATAAAAAAAATGTCGTGTTTAGAAGAAAAAGAAAGTAAGAGAATTTCAAATATCCTACCTTAAATCCTAAGACATTAAAATAAACAATTGATGAAAGTTCCAGAAATGTGCCGCAATTATGTTTATGGTAATCATTTCCACGCTTTATAGTTGTAAGCAATTGTCATAACTTATATGTATATATTATGTGATTATTCTTGTTTATGTATGTTTGAATATATACCAATTTAATTGTTTCACAACAAGAACATGGTTTTGTTCTCATTGTCAAAAATAAGAAAGACAGATCTATAGAGGCAGAAGAAAACTTTGTATTTTAATTATATGATTAAGCTAGACTTACCTGTAAGGTGAAGGTTAATCATGATTTCATCCACATAAAACTCACTAAAGGCTCACACAGAGAGAAGACGCAGCTATCAGCAGTCAGTGGTCATATTTTAGAGTAAGTAATGTCGAATAATATCGCAAAAATAGCAGTTTAAACGGGGAGGTAGCGGGTTGGGTGTGTGAGCCCTTAATGAGTTTTATGTGGATGAAATCATGATTAACCTTCACCTTACAGGTAAGTCTAGCTTAATCATAAAATTTCATCCTACATATAAACTCACTAATGGGCCCCACAGAGATTTTAGAGTCCTTTTTGCGATATTTTGGAAAGGACATTACGTGCCGTCCTACGCCATAGTAAATATTTATCTTCCATAACAACGATTTAATTTCAAGACATAAAGGTCTTTTTTGTATTTAGCAATTCGGTAAAAACACATGTTTTTCATAATTTTACAGAATGTAAATGCCATGCACAACTATATAGAAAGTAATAAAATACAACTATAATTATTATTATTACTACATTTTTTTTGGTCCCATTATTCATAGCTTCGAATATACACTCAAATTAGCAATATCTATGATAGCCTGCATAGATTTTCCATTGGTATTTGATATTGGTTTATCATAATATTTAGCGAATGTCTTTGCATTGCTCCATCCCGCTGATTCAATTATCGTCTGTAACGGGACTCCACGCATGTGTGCGATTGAAGACGCAGCAGCGCGCATGCTATGTGGTTTGAATGATTTTTGCACCCCAGCTCTGTGCATAATTAGCTTAATCCAGCGACAAATTGTTTGTTTAGAAGCGGCCCATGAGGCTTGACCGTTGCTATCAGTAATTTATTGGTATTTCTGAGGTCTTTCGATCTCTGTAAATACTCACTAATGACGCTGACAATACACAAGCGTTTATATAGGGTTAACGCACGTTTTTCCGTGTTATAACGTCTGCAGAGTCCCGAGGAACGGTTGGTGCCCGAGCCCGGTAGGGCGAGGGCTCCAACAGTTCCGAGGGACTCTGCAGACTTTATAACACGAAATAAACGTGCGTTGACGCTATTATAGCATAAAATTTTCAAACAGATTCGTGATGCATAGTTTAAACAAAACACAATTACATTAAATTCTTGTGCCTGGACGGTATTTATCCAATTCTATGTTTTACGTATGCGTTTCATTTTTCCGGGGCCAACAACTTGGAAAATTTTCGGAACCGATCGAAATTTTGAATTTTAATTGATTTAACAAAGCTTGGCCTTTGGAGATTTATTATCTCAAGAAAAAAAAACCGTTACATTACTCTACCCTCTACCCAAGACAAAACATGACCCTCAGAAATTCCTAGAGTGATTTCAGATTGACGATAGAAAAAAGATCAGTGACATCATCTGTAATCGTTTTTTTTTTCTCAAGCAAACAAGTTTATAAAATAAATCAGGCACTAAGCATTATTCTCTCAAAGAAATATAAAGAGCATTTATCAACATTAACATAAATAAAAAACATTTTCTCATATTAATTTTGTGTTATCTAGTTTTGTAAGTTAATCGGAGTGTTAAACTGAATGACAGGTAGATTCTACTGTATTTGTTTACATTGACAACTGTCCGTTTCTTAGAAAGGGCGACAACCAAGATTAGCATCGCTGTCTATACGCCGTTTTTCCGGCATAGTAAGTGGAATATGCGGCTGAGGCCCTCGAATCAATAAATTTCAATATAACAAGAACGCATGTCTCTTCGGCAAACAGGCCAAATCGTCATTTTTTGTTTGTTTGTTTACTGGGCCCTGTATGTATTGCGCATAGGTGAAACCGGGCTATAACAAGGTGCACCCTATAACAAGAGCGCGTGACTATGTTAACACATGGTTTTGGTCCCGTTATAACATGGGCAAAAGAGGGAAAAATAGCTGATTTTATGCTATAATCTGATTTAAAACAGTTTGGCTCCGGAAGCGGTTACAAAAATAGACAACAATCAATTAGCAATTGTTCATGCTTATGACGAAGATGAAAAAAGATGTAAGATCAAATTTTTAACTCTGACGGACAGGAAAAAGCTCGTTTTCCAAAAGAAACCTATACTTACAGAAATGTTTTTTGCTACGCCATAGCTTATATCAAAAACGGTATATTGATGATTTCAATGTATTTTGATAATGAAAGTAAAGTCCAACTTCTTGATATGGACGGACGAATTTTAATTGATATTAAAACAGATAGTGACGGAGTAAGCATGTTCAGAAATCCTTACTGTTTAACTATAGACACAAAAGGCAAGTACGTATACGTTAGTGACTGGTATAGAGACGAGATAATTAAAATTGATCTCGATAGTTATCTAACCAAAGCAGTGGCCTATGAGGTATAACAATTGACGAAGAGGGATTGTGTATGTTATTGAGACCGGTTCTAATAAATTTTTTACCTTCATCCACATTGTGAGTATTCTGAAAAGATTGAGTTATTGCAAACACTTCCTACTGATTGGGAGCCTTTTGAAATTAGCTTCAACTCAGCCAGAAGGAAGTTGTACGTTGGCCAGGCAGAGCGTGATACTATCAAGGTGTTTAAAATTGATGGATAAAACTGGTAGTGACGGTGGTTATGTTTGTTTTGAAATGCATACAGATATCCCGAATAACGTCATAGAATCAACATGTAATGCAGTGTATTAAAATACCGGAATATATTCATTGAAATATTAATCATTCATGTGTGTATTATGTAATAATGTTCATCATCAATGCTTATATAACAAAACATTATTCTTACATTTCTGCAGGGGCGGATACAGAACATGGTTTCCTGGGGGGCTGACATATGGGTGGAAGATTTTGACAAAAATAATGCAACAGACGAAAATTGTGCATGTTTGAATATAGGGTCAATATCTTGTTAATGTGACAAAAAATTGTAATTGATGTGTTTTATAGGTCATCTTATGAGTGTCAATTAATGTATTTTTGCTTTAGATATGTGTACACTAATGTTTTTGCAAACGTTTAGATGATATGGAATTAAGAAAATATATGTAATTGGGGTGGGCTTGGGAGGGGTGTCCGCTCCCAAAGAGTGAGAAAATTTTGAAATATGAGGTTGAAAAAGGTGTTATTTCCTTGACTTTCTAGTGCTGTTGATGGTACCTTTTGGATGGTTTTACAGGTCAGTGTCTGCAGGGTATTTCAAATAGAATTCCCCTGGTGTTAAGTATTAAGCATTTACAAAATAAAAGCACACTAACCAATGTATGTGCGACTGTTGATAAAAATAATTTCAAACACTTGATCAATGTACTCATCTGAATAATAGACAATTTTCAAAAGTAAAGTGATATTAAAATACATGAACTGCCTTTCAATCGTACAAAAATAATTTCAAACACTAATATTCAATCAGAATATTTTCCATCGATGAATCCATTTAGATACTAAAGCGGTCAGTTCAATTTAAACTTTACTTAAAAAAATATAACTGCTATAAAATAAGTTATTAAAAGCAAATGACCAATCAGTTCATCTGAATAAAAATCTTAGAAAATACAGTTTTTAAAACTCGATTCATTTAATATAATCTTTATAAAACTAGCCATCTTTTTAATTAACAAATAATAATTTTCAGTTTCATAATCAAAGAAAATTGAAAATCAATGTTATTAAAATATGATGTACAATGTAACACATCTATTTGTCACTATCTTTGACTATTAATGCAGTTTAAACATTGAAGTCATTCAAGCATGTTGATAGATAAAGATCTCTTCCAAGCCCCCAGGCAGGAGATTAACAACTGGATGACAGCAATTAATGTTTTGATAAGGGAATACACTACAGCCAATAAAGTTTGAAACTGACAAAAATATTTTCCAGCCCAGCTGGTAAACGTATCTTTGGGCCAAGCTGGGGGGGCTGCAGCCCTGAAGCCCGGGCCTGAATCCGCCACTGTAAATTCTGATGTCGGTTTGAATTCAAATGTGAAAAAAATCTCAAGGTCAGAAGAGGATTTTCATAATGTATCTGTAATTTATTTGAATAAATTTATACCTGTATCTTTTGAAACAAATTTGGGTATAACGAACCACTATACTTGCTAGTCAAAATTGTTAAATATAAAATAAACATTTGAAAATATTGGTTTTCTTTGAGACCTTTTCATACGGTGCTCTGATTATATCAAACTATGTTATATTCAACTCACTTTTTGTTCACGTGTTCGGATAATTAATGCTCATATAATTTATGAAAATTGTGATTCATTTAAAATTCAAATAAATTCTTTATATTGTCTGAAATGAGACATCTATTGAGGCCCAACACAATTCCCCTTGTTAATCGATCACGACCTTTTTTGATACCATAAGTACACACTCAATTTAACTGTTTGACTAAAATGTGATTTATGACAACTGTGAATTATTTTGTAAAAAAAAAATAAAACGGTGTATGCCCGTTTATTAAACAAATTAATACCCCAATTAATGCCAAAAAATTGATAACCTCCGTGTCTTCAAAATATAACAGAAGGGGCGATGTGCAAATAAGCGTCATAAACGGAGTAAAAGATATTTTGCTTATTTTGTCATCTGTTAATTTATGTGGATTGCAAGTGCTGTTTTACAATTTATGTAAATTATTTTCTTTCTTTTTCAGTTGACAATGTCTTTAGAAAAATTCATAAAATTAGACCAAAGCATGCTTCTTTAAAGAACTGTAAAACAAATGATGCGGAAATTAACGATCATATATGGAATGAAAGGAAGAAAACTTTATGAAGATATTATGGATAAACGTACATACACACGACCATATTTGCCCTTGTGCATTATCGTAATTTTATCTTTACTGACAGTGTAAATATAAACTTTGTACCCATTGTTTATCAGCGTGGTGTTTATCACTAAACAGTAAACATAGCTATGCGTTATCGTTAACAATATAATTAAACATTTCAATTAAAAAGCACACAAACGATATATATGATGTTAACATAGATAATAATTAACAGTGACTATATTTTCATTATAAAGAAGGAACATAAAAAGGTAAAACTAATTTATTACATATATTTAATCTTGAAACTTAAATCCTTAACAATCTTAAATATTTCTTGTAACTGAGTACATTTACTTGTCCTCAAGTTAAGATTTCACGAGGGTTAACCAAAACACCTCCTCTACTTAGGTGTAAGCACCGGTTTCTTTCGGAATACAAATAAGCGAGGTGCAGAAAACCGATGAAAAATCTCATAAATGTGCTTTGTTTCACGGACATTATAATGATTTATGTTCAATATTTTCATTTGTATCGTTGATATAAGTATGCATTAAATCGACAATAAAGAAAAGAAAAAGGCATGTGTAGTTCCTCAGCGAATGAAATCCGTAAAATACAACGTGGTTTTTTAATGATAAAGTACTGTTAATCTAAAATTTCTATTTGCCCTTACTATAAAACAACACACTCATACATCTGTCACGTTTCATAATAAATTCAAAAAACACAGTTATAAGAAATAATGCCGTAAAAAGGGAGCGAAGGGACCACGGATAATATCCGAGTACATTTGTATTTAGTTTACACTGAAATGAATGGTATCGGCTAAAATACGGACAGGCACCGGAATATGCGCGTTGATTTTAAATACTTAAAATGTGTGTTTCTGGTCTGATGTAAATTGAAAAGAAAACAATAAAGAACGTTAAAACTATGGTTACATAATGCCTGAGACATAATCTTCAATTTTTATGAAGAAGTGTAGATTTTTATAAGAAAAAAAGGAAAAGTAGACAAGCGATCGGCTTTTTTCACGCCAGTAAATGTGTGACGACTGAAAAACTCATCCCAGTTCAGTGTTACAATTTACAGACTATTACATTAAGAAACCATAAAAATTAATGCAAAGTTTGTGGCATTTTTTTCAGTGGGTCTGCAAACAGGGCAAAGAAAATTCCTTTTACGCACTAGTGTAGTGACTGGCAAATACAACATAAGCTTTTACGAGCATTTTTGACCGACTGCATATAATACAACCTTTTTCATACCTTATAAAATATAACCAATTCACTTTCAGCATTTGTACCACTTAATGTTCCAAAAGAAATCCATATCACACCCCTTATAGCCTCGTTTTCATTTCAAAAGTCTAAAAGGTCTAAAATCCATAACTCACCCTATATAGCATCGTATTCATTTCTAGCGTCCAAACATTTCAAATCCATATCGTACCCCATATAGCCGCGTTTTTGTTTTTGAGGGTCTAATATTCATATCACATTGTGTTTTTTTTTAAATTAAAATTACAAAGTTCTGTCAAATGTCAAAAATGGTGGTGTGAAATAAAAAGGTCAATAAACATGGTAAAAAACAATAATGATTCTATTGTACACAGCTGTAAAACCTGTATCAGACTCGGCTTGCGCCTCGTCCAATATAGTTTTGACAGATGTGTACCCGTCCAATAGAATACAGTATTTTACTAAACAATATAGAAAAAGCTCATAGTATTAAATCAGCAATGGTAAAACCAGCTGCAAAAATATTGCTTATAATTGCACAGTAAACTATAACTGTCATATAAGTTAACATTTCACACATTGAAAATATTTAAAACGTACAAGGGTTTCCTCTTTTCTTCAGAAATGTTCATATCTTAAAGAAAGTGAAAACTCGTCAATTCTTTTACATATTTACAAATTATTTAATCGGCAAGAACAAGATTTATTGCATTCTAAAAATGCACTTTTGTACATGTATAACAAATGCAGTGTATATTTTGAATATACTTTCATATTTTAGTTTTCGTAAATAAAGATAGCCAACACTCGACAAATATCGCTACATATCTGGTGCCATGATAGTATTTTACCAGTAGCCTTAAAAATATTTACTTTACACTTCATTGGGTATATTTGAACTCTATACTTAATTTTGTCGGCAAATATCGGTAGAATGAGGGTCATGTATATCAGAAAACAATCTAAGTTATATTTAGGTAGTTATATTTCACTCATCATTCTGAATATTTACAGACAGAAGCTTCATAATTTTGCGTTAATACGCATTCTTTATGCACAACTTCGGATTGTTCATGTTTCACTTGGAAAATAATGAAATGTTCCGTGAAATACTTAAAACAAATTAATACTTATTAATGTAGAAATGCAAATTTGTAAGACTCCCGATATCTTTCCTACAACACTTACTGTGTTAATGTATGTATGGAAACCGGACACAATTTGTAAAGAAGCAAGAGAACGAATAATATGACCGTATAGAAGCCGTTTTGGTTAACAATTGTGAATCTCTATCCCATGAAGTATAGAACACGACATAATTATTAAGCGAAAATAAAACTAGTGTTTGAAAGACTTTTTCATTATCGTTACATAACAATCTTTGGAACATTCTTTTGTATTTGCAGTGTAAAAAGATGATATAGTTACATAAAAAAAGCTTCTGTTGATAAATTATTGCCTAAAGAAGGAGACACACGGAGATAAATATGTCTGAGAAAGAGGAACCTTTAACCTTTTTGGGTCCAAGCGAATTGGGGTCTGACGAAGTCTTCGAGATGTATTGTGAAACATGTTATAGAGATGGAAAACACGCTATTGCGTCGGCTTTTTGCACGGTTTGCATTTCATATCTTTGCTCCACATGCTTGGACTACATGGGAAGTTCCTACCGGAACATATTTGCTTGTTTGGGGATAGCATACCACAAGAATGTTTGTACTGAAAAATGTCCAATTCATTCCAAAGAAATTCTGAAGTTTCAATGTTTAACGTGTGACACATTTGTATGCTCTACTTGCAAAAGGAATGACCATAAGGGCACTTGTGATTTAAAATATTTACCGGATATTGTCAAAGATTTAGAAAAAGGCAACGAATTAAAGCAACTTATATCTGAATGGAATGAGATTTCAAGGAAAATGGCCGATATTGATATAAAAAGCAAACCTCAACAAGAGCAGATCGACAAAATAAGCACTAATTTGAAAATCGGAATAAAAAAGGAAAAGGATTCATTGTTCGAAGAGTTTGAGAAGGAAGCTGAACAAATTGAGGAGGGAGCACGTTCAGTGATTAAATCTAACGAAGAGATGAAAAAATATGTGAGAGATAAAATTGTATCTTTAAGCCAAGAAATCGGATGCCTTGACCATGGTATTTCTCAGATTTCTTCATCACCAACAAAAGAAAAGTACAAACTGTTTATCAAAATGAAGGATATAAGTCCAAAGCTAACGGAAATTGTAAAAGACATTGACATTTTAACAAAACATACCACCAAAGACAATTCTTTTAGGAATGAGTTGCAGAAACATGCAAATGACTTAAAGGAAAGAGTCGTTCATTTTGGCAAAAACGCCCGGGAGTTTAATATACATAAGAAAAAAATAATAGTAGAACCAAAACGAAAAGTCGCACGCTTTGTATGTGATATCAACGTTAGTTCATTATTCGACAACGGTTCTTGTCACATTGGCGACTGCTGTTTATTGTCCGAGCAGTATCTTATAGCCTGTGACAAAACGAATTCCTCGGTGAAACTCATCGATACAAAAATTGGAAAGGTAATATATGTACGAAGAATCAGAACTGTCCCCGAAGCTGCCGCAAAGGTCACCGACACGGAATTTGCCCTTGTTCACCCATGCGACAACGACAAAGAGAAAAGTATAATTCAATTTTTGACAGTGACAGACTCAAGATCTCTTGAGTTCCAGACAGGGTTTATGATAACACAAATGTATTGTACTAATATTGTTTACCACGATAACGACACTTTCATAATTTCTATGTGGGCTAACCATCAAGGTAAAGTGCAAATTGTAGATATGACAGGTCACGTACTGGCAGATATTGAGAACAACACAAAAGGCGAAAAACTGTTCAAATGTCCAAACTACCTTACCATAAATTCCGACGGTACAATGTTGTATGTGTCGGACTGGTACCGTAATTGCATTACCGCCATAAATTTGGAAAACCGAGCAGTCAAGGAGTTACGCCATCGGTTTTGGCACCCAGAAGGAATATCGACTGACAAGGAAGGACTCCTTTACATCTGCGAAAACGGTACAAACCGCATTCACGTTTTCCATCCCGAAGATAACATTTCACCTCCAGATGTTTTACTGGAAGACACTTCTGCTAATTGGCAGCCTTTGGCTGTTTGCTATTCTTTGTCAGATAGAAAGTTGTACGTAAGCCAGTACGGTCTGAACTTTATAAAAGTGTATGAAATTAATGATTGCGTAACTTTATAGAACTGAAAACATGACCGTATGTCTGTGGGTAATTGAAAACTGCTGTAGAAGAGTTCCCATAGCGTAAATAATAAAAAAAAAGTGTGTGTAGAAGAAAAAGAAAGTTAGAGAATTTCAAATATCCTACCTAAATTCCTGAGACATTAAAACAAACAATAGATGAAAACTTTAGAAATGTGCCGCGTAATCATATCCACGCTTTAAAGTTGTAATCAATGTTTTTAACAAAATGTATATACATGTATTATGTGATAATTCTTGTTTATGCGTGTATGAATATATACCAATTCAATAGTTTCACAACAAGAACATGGTTTTGTTCTCATTCTCAAAAAGTGAGAAAGATAGAAATAGAGAGAAAGAAGAAGAAACTTTGTATTTTAATAATAGTACATTTTGATGCACCGCATTTTACTTTTTAATTAGCCTTTCTATACTTATTTTCTAGTTAAATATAATTGTTATGTTATAAAAATGCTAAATTCTACTGATTGTCAATGTATTTTTTTTGATAGCGTATCCTTACGCATAATTCGAAATTTTACTGTTTCCTGTAACCCGGACGTGTTTATTGTTTGCCATGTTGGTAATGGAAGATATGATGACGTCGTCATATTAATTTTAATTTACCAAATGACGGTTCTTATGGAAGTGTTAAGTTATGCATACGGAAATAATATGTTTCATATAAGTTGCCGATCCATTTTTACTGTGTATTATACTAATTATTTTTGTATAAGATATGTCAATTTTATTTGCGTGACTTTTAACTCCTATTGTATTATCTGTTAGCAGTGATAGTAGTGTTAGCAACTCTTCCTGCCATTTTCCTTGGTATTTTGTTAGCAACTCACAAGTTTCAAATTTTGATAGGAAACCGTTAGCAAACTATCAGCAATTCACGAATAAAAGAATAAAAGGCTGAGTTTCGTTAGCAGCAAGGACTCCGCAACTGAAAACCTCTGAGTTCATAAGAGAGTAAAGTATTATTTAACATTGAAAAGTAATTTAATTTTATTTTAGTAACGAGAAAATTTACTTTAAAAAACTTTTGTTTAAATCTTGTAATTAATTTACCCTTACAGTAGATTTAATATCTGTAAAAAGACTGAAGTCGAGATTCCTTTTACGGAAAGGTTCTGCCTTAATAGTTTGCATATTTTCCTGGATGAATTATATTAAAAAGGATGTAAACATTTTAACAATTTCCATTTTAAAATTTGAGTATTATTTATTACGTTTTATTTATTGTTTATTACACAAGCACCAATCCCGATCTTAATCATATGTTAATAATAATGTTTGTAAGCACGGCCGTATATTGAAATTCGAGATATTTTTCGTGTTGTTGTCGGGTGTTTCAATTGCGCAAGGTTGATTGTTAAGGGCTTACATTAATAAATTTAGTTAAAATCAAACATTCTTATGCTATTTGTTTTGTTCACTGATATATCATAACGTTATTTAATTTACTGCAGAGTCCATAAGAATATCGTCTGATGTTCGTCAATCCGTCTTTCTAAATCAGATCAAAAGCATAAAAACTTGAAGACTTATAATTGGTACCTGGTAAACAAGTCTTGCAAACATCAATTTATATATTAGTGCTTTATTGATAAGCATTGGTTTGCGGTCGTATGTATCTGATTATCAAGTGTCATTTAAAGTAGATATTTATAATAAATGCCTTTGATACAGCATCTATCTGTGCCTGTGGTGTAAATTTTTATACATATTGCATCAGCGAAATAACAAAGTTTCGAGCCTAGGTTGTTACAAAGCAGATTTTTATTAATCCAAAGTACATGAACAGACAACATAGCAAAGCGGGCTTAGTTAATAGAACATGTAACAGTCAACAACTGTTATTAAATTGATATCAACACGGGACGCTACAATATAGCAAAACAACCATTTTTACGAGTTTTGACTGCAATGTCACTTATTTTTAAAAGCCAGAAACACAGTCTCCTTTCTTTCAATAACCACATAAACCCAAATTAAAGAAACATTACTCGTGTATGCTTACTGTCAGTGCTAATTCATTCCCCTTAGCCAATATCATTATCTAAACATATAAGCAACGAGAAAATGCATTGTGGGAAAAGATATCATATCACAAATATTTGAAAAGAGATAACGTATTAAGAATTCAATGAATATACATGTCGCTGTTTTATGCTAGCTATTGTGAAAAGAAATTCTCGGGTTAAGTTTTGTTTTTCATTATCGCTGTTCTTTACGGATATTTCATGCCATATCGTTTCTATATAAATAATCTTTTTGTAGACTTTTACTGGTTTTAAATATATCTGACACTTTAAGCCAGTTTGTGATATACGTGTTAACAAATATGGCTGAATCTACATTTAATTTAGATTTCAATGGCGGCCAAAAAAATGGCGTTATTTTGAAAACTGGAAGTGTGGCACAGCCAGTATCTAGGACTTTTGATGATTCAGATGAAATCTTTGAAATGGTCTGTGAAACTTGTATGAGGGATGGAATACATAGAACGGCATGTGCTTTTTGCGGCTCTTGTATAGCATATTATTGTTCAACATGCCTTAAACACCATGGAAAGTTTTTTCGGAAGCACAAGTATGTAGTGGGAGATGACGTTTATTCGGATAAATGTTTTGAAAAATGTAAAACCCATACCAAAGAGATAGTTAAGTTTTATTGTTACACGTGTACAAATTTCGTTTGTACTATTTGTAAAGAAGATTTACATACAGATGCATGTTGTCTGAAATATTTACCTGAATTATTGAAAGATCAGAATTTTGGAAAAGAAATAAACTTGATACACTCACATTATAAGACACTAACAGATAAATTGTCAGACACTCAAGAAACTTTTGCAACCAAACACGAGCATTTGAGCAAAATTGCTACAGAGACACGGTGTGTAATCAAACAAGAAAAAGAAAACATTTTTGAGAAGTTTGACAAAGAGGCCAATGAAATTGAAAATATGATTCAGACCACAAAAGAACAGGAGTGCAAGGTAATTAACTCTTTTAAAGATACACATGATCATTTAGCTCTTGAAATAGATAAATTGTCGAGAAATATAAGTAATCTAACATCAACACCTGAAAATAAAAAATATAAGATATTCATTGATTAAAAACAAATAGGTGAACAAATTAAGCAAGAAGAAGATTCCATTGACAAGATATGTCCTTGCAGTCCTGAATATCATCTAGAAGACAGAGCGAAACATTTTTGTAAAGAAGTTAAAGCATTTGGTAGTTTGTTGCAGCGGAGTATTTCGCTGGAGGTCCAAAACGAAGCCAAGACAAAACAAAAAAGGAATGCTCATGCTTTGGATGATATATATGTGAAAGCTGACGGAGATGAAAAAGTGTGTCACATAATTGATTGTTGTATGATATCTGAACAATATCTTGTCCTTTGTGATAAAAATAATTGTTCGCTAAAGTTAATTGATGTTCAACTTAATATACCGGTACTTGTGCACAGAAAGTTGGTCAGTTTGGCTCCGGAAGCGGTTACAAAAATAGACAACAATCAATTAGCATTTGTTCATGCTTATGATGAAGATGAAAAAAGAAGTAAGATCAAATTTTTAACCCTGACGGACAGGAAAAAGCTCGTTTTCCAAAAGAAACCCATACTTACGGAAATGTTTTGCTACGCCATTGCTTACATTTAAAGTGTATAAATTGATACATGTGTCTAGTTAAATAAGGGTCTATCCGCCCTTTCAGGCACTGAGAGGACCAACCCCGACACGTCACCAATCATTTCCTTAAATAGTATTAAATAGTATTGCCAAAAGGTGACCTATTAATTTTGATTCAAGTAATTCACTGATTGCGACTAAATATTGTGTTTTTTTTCTTTTCTATTCGATGTACAATACACATGACTAAGTGATGCAAAGGAGGCCAAAGAGACCATTAATTGCATCTCGCTAAAATGCAAAATGTTGATGAAGTTACCAAAATAAAAACATAAGTATACCGAACTGTGTAAGTTCATATCGGACTATCAAGTTAGATTTTTTTAATTAAGAAACTCAACAATAACTGAAAAAAGATTAAGAAACTATATACAAGTATAACTAAATTTTATTTAACATGCATAAGTAGGAACCATGCGTTTGATGAATGAAAACAAACAAACAAAACAAAACTATTTAAAACAAAACAAAACTATTTGGTAAACCGTGTTCCGAAATTGTGCTGCTCTGTTAACTTCGGAACACCATGCCGATTATTTCTAATTGGAACTTATCCAAAGGAAATAGACATAAATTTATTCTGCCTATTCATTAAACATAAGTACTAAACAAATATTCCACAACTGCAAAACGACCACTCGCATATTTTTAAAAACAAGTAGGATATCAATGTTTTGGCAATTCTACGGTGGCATAGAGGTGACATTTGCAGTTTTATTTTATCTCGTGGCCACGACTTATTATCTTGAGGCCTCAAGATATTATCTCGTTGCCACGACTTATTATCTCGTGGCCACGACTTATTATCTTGTGGCCTCAAGATATTATCTCGTGGCCACGAGTTATTATCTTGTGGCCACGACTTATTATCTCGTGGCCTCAAGATATTATCTCGTGGACACGACTTATTATCTCGGGGCCACGACTTATTATCTCGTGGCCTCAAGATATTATCTCGTGGCCACGACTTATTATCTCGTGGCCACGAGTTATTATCTTGTGGCCTCAAGATATTATCTTGTGGCCTCAAGATATTATCTCGTGGCCACGAGTTATTATCTTGTGGCCACGACTTATTATATTGAGGCCACGACTTATTTTCTCGTGGCCACGAGTTATTATCTTGTGGCCACGACTTATTTTAGCCAATGAAAATGGTCGTTTCATCTTGAACAAAATTTAATATCACACTGGCAATAGCAGTCACAGGAGGGGCGTGTCAATCACCACCATATATTTACTTAAGTTCACGCATTTTCCCAGAGACGTGCTGAATTTCAGTAAGGCTTATCAGCTAGTATATCACTATTAACTGTATTGACCACATTAACACGTCCACTGAGTAGAGTCTTGTCATCACTAATTGGCCCTCTGTATTCTTATCTTATGGTCCTAACGTTTAAGGATCAAGTTTCTATAGATGCAGTTTTTCATAAAATACACTCACTTTTATAAGTGGTCATCACCAGTAGGAAGTTAGCAGTAGCATTGAGCAGTAGCAGTAACAAAATTATAAAACATGAAGTTGGCAGTAGCAGTAGCACAGAAGTAGCAGTGAGAAAATTATAAAACGTGAAATTGGCAGTAGCAATAGCACAGCATAAGCAGTACCAATCAAAGAGGAGATCTTAAAAGAATTGACATATGTCTTTGAAACTTGTATACTATTATGTCAGTTTTTATAATAAAAAAGAAAAAGATTCAGATAACCCGTCAAAGTTAGTCATTTATCATTGTGACATTGTAGTATATCTTCAATAATAACTATCTAGATACAAGTCTTTAAAATGTCTCTTGATAATGAAGGTAAAGTATGGACGGACAAACTTTAATTGATATTAAAACAGATAGTGACGGAGTGAGCATGTTCAGAAATCCTTACTGCTTAACTATAGACACAAAAGGCAAGTACACATACGTTAGTGACTGGTATAGAAACGAGATAATTAAAATTGATCTCGATAGTTATGAAACCAAAGCAGTGGCCTATATGTGGCATCCAGAAGGTATAACAATTGACGAAGAGGGATTTGTGTATGTCGTTGAAACCGGTACTAATAAACTGTTCTACCTTCATCCACATTGTGAGTATTCCGAGAAGGTTATATTGTTGCATACGCTTCCTGGTGATTGGGAGCCTTTTGGAATTTGCTTCAACTCAGCCGGAAGGAAGTTATACGTTGGCCAGGCAGAGCGTGATACGATCAAGGTGTTTAAAGTTGATGAATAAAACTCATCGTAGTGACGGTGTTTGTTTTGATATGCATACAGATATCCCGAATAACGTCATAGGAAGAGTATCAAAAATACCAGAGATTCTCCACAAAACTAAGCTTGACACATTAATCATTCACTTGTGCATTATGTAACAATTTTCATCATCAGTGCTTATAGAAACAAAACATTATTCTTACATTTCTGATGTCGGTTTGAAATCAAATGTGAAAAAAATCTCAAGGTCAGAAGAGGATTTTCATAATGTATCTGTAATTTATTTGAATAAATTTATACCTGTATCTTTTACAACAAATTTGGGTTAAACGAACCACTACTGTTAAATATAAAATAAACATTTGAAAATACTGGATATATGTTTTCTTTGAGACCTTTTCATATGGTGCTCTGATTATATCAAACTATGGTATATTCAACTCTTCTTTTGTTCATATGTTCGGATAATACTGTGAAAATGGTGATTACTTTTGAATTCAAATAAATTCCTAATATTGTCTGAAATGAGACATCTATTGAGGCCCAACAAAATCCCTCGTGTTGAATCGGCCACGATTTTTTTTAACATCATAAATTTACACTCAGTGCAACTGTTTGATTAAAAACCGTGAATTATTTTGTAGAAAAAATTAAACGGTATGTCCGTTATTAAACAAATCGATACGCCAGTTATTGCCAAAACATTGAAAAACCCCTTGTCTTCAAATTGTAACAGAGGTGGCGGTGTGCAAATAAGCGTTAATAACACAGTCAGCTTTTGTTGACATTTGTTAATTTATGTGGATTACAAGTGCTGTTTACAATGTGTAAATTATTCTCTTTTTCAGTTGTTTTTCTTTTAAACAGATTTTTTTAAATTTTCATGAAAATTAGCACCAAACCTTCTTTAAAGAAACCATAAAGACAAATGATGCGGAAATTAACGATTTTATATGCAATGTAAGGGAAATAATTATGAATATATTATGGATAAACATACATACACAATAATAAGTACGCGTACGCACGACCACATGTGACCTTGTGCATTATCGTTATTTTAACTGTACCTAAACTTTGTACCCATTGTTTATCAGCGTGTTGTAGTTTGCTAATTAAAGGCATGCGTTATCGTTATCATTTATTTGTATCATAGTTTGGGGACCTTTCTGATGCAAATGTGTCAGAGTTAAATCGTATACATATACATGCACAGTGCGTTAACTGGACTGCAGGACTATTAGTTACCTGCAATCCAGAGCATGCCCATTGCTTGGCTCATTTTTGCTGAGGTTTACTTATTGTGACGGAAGAGAAAGGGAAAGCGACAGAAATGTCATATTCAGATGCTCGTTCATTGGTTCTTTTCCCCGAGATTTCATATTGTGACAACAGGGAACGTGTTTTTATGTTTGACTATGATACAAAAGAGAAAGAACATCAAAACACTCGGCAATCCGATTAATACTCGGGGACTGGGCCCCCTCGTAAAAATCAGATAGCCTCGTGTTTCGATGCTCTTTCTATTACAAGTTACACGTGTTCGTCCTTACGACAACGACAAAGAGAAAAGTATAATTTAATTTTTGACAATGACAGACTCAAGATCTCTTGAGTTCCAAACAGGATTTATGATAACACAAATGTATTGTACTGATATTGCTTACCTAGATAACGACACTTTCATAATTTCTATGTGGGCTAACCATCAAGGTAAAGTGCAAGTTTTAGACATGACAGGTCACGTACTGGCAGATATATAGATCAACGCAAATGGCGACCTGTTAAAAACCTGAAAAATGTCCAAATTACCTGACCATAAGGAATAACGACTGACAAGAAAGGACTCATTTACATCTGCGAATGCGGTACAAACCGCATTCACGTTTTCCATCATGAAGATGACAATTCATCAACAGATGTTTTTTTTCTGGCAGACGTTTCCGTTTATTGACAGCTTTTGGCTGTTTGCTATTGTTTTAGTTATACATCAGCCAGTACGGTCTGAATTTGATAAAAGTGTATGGCATTAATGACTGCGTAACTTCAAAGAACTATAATCCTGATGGCGTATCTACAAAAATTGTTTAACTGCTATAAAAGAGCGTTCATGGCACATTAAATATTATTCAAACCTTGACTGAGTGCGAAGAATTGAAAAGTTATGTAATTCAAAAAATTATACTAAGTTTCCTTTAAATTGAACATTGAAAGCTAAAGAACTGCATTGCAATTATGATGATATTTATAATTTCTGCTCTTTATTTGTAAAATCAATTTTCATGATACATTTTATTATTTGATCATTTTTATTTATTAATGTTTGAACATATATCAGTTTCAATTGAAAAAGGACATGTTCTTTTTTGTATACATCATTCTCAAAAAGAAGAAAAAAAATAACAAAGGTAAAAAAAAGAATTTTTGAAATTATCCTTTATACATAAATAATGAATCTAAATAAGGAACTGTTCAAATTTACAGTTATCACATATCCCACCTTAAGAAACACTACTCGTGTATGCTTACCATAATTTCAATTTAATTCGCCTTAGCCTACTTAATTACATTCACGTTCACGTTCAATTTTAGTGATCTATATTGAACGAGCTAATGCATTATGGGGAAATATCATATTACAAATTGCTGATCCGCTTTTGAACAAGTAGTTACAAGCTAAAAATTCAATGAATGCGAATGGATATAGAACGATCTTTAAATTCTTTAAATAAAATGCTTTATAAGTCGCATGTTTATGCTGGCTTTGTGAAAACAAATTTTGAAGTTGAGATTTTGTATTCTTTTTTCTTTAAGGATACTTTATGGCACGTCATGTTCTGTAGAGATTAGTTTTTACTGTTTTTAAGCTGTTCATCTCATCAACTTTTTTGTAGTATGCGCGTTAACAAACATGGCTGAGCGTAAAAGTTACTTAGATTGTGAGAATCGTCATAAAATTGATGGTATGAATAAAAACATTATAAGTTCTAAACAGTCAGTTGAAAGTTCGATAAAGGCAACTGAAAGCTCGACACAGCAAATTGAAGGTTCGACAAAGCCAGATGAAGGTTTGATACAGCTAGATGAAAGTTCGACTCAGCCAATAGAAGGTTCGACACAGCCAGTTAAAAGTTCGATACAACCAGTTGTATGTCTTATTCAGCCAGTTGACAGTTCGACAAAGACAGATGGAAGTTTGAAACAGTCGGCAGAAAGTACGACAAAGCCATGTGAAAGTTCGACACAACCAGTTGAAAGTTTAACACAGCCAGAAGGAAATAGTAGAACAAATGGTTCGGATGAAATCTTTGAAATGTTTTGTGAAGTTTGCATGAGAGACGGAATACACGCGTCGGCGTATGCTTTCTGCACTTCTTGCGTGGCGTACTTTTGCTCAGCATGCCTTAAACACCACGGGAAATTTTTGCGAAAGCATAAGTATATAATCGGAGACGACATGTATTTGGATTTATGTTCTGAAAAATGTAAAACCCATACCAACGAGATAGTAAAGTTTCATTGTGATACGTGTGGAGACTTTGTTTGTACAATTTGTAAAGAAGATTTGCATACAGATTCATGCAGTCTACAATATTTACCCGACTTACTGAAAGGTCAAGATTTTGAAAAAGAATTTGAATCGGTACACTCACATCATAAAACATTTAGAAACAGAGTTTCAGACACAGAAGAAGCTGTTGCTACAAAACTTGATCATTTGAACAAAATTTCTTCAGAAACACATAGTGTAATTAAGCGAGAAAAGGATAGTGGTTTTGAAGAGTTTGACAAACAAGCTGAGGATATTGAATCTATGATCCAGATGATCAAGAATCATGATTGCACGATTGTTGATTCTCTGAAAGAAACAAATGAATCGTTGACTCTAAAAATCGATAAGCTGTCATTAAGTATCAAAACGCTAGCATCAATTCCTGGCCACAAAAAATATCAGGTGTTCATAGAATTAGAACAGCTTAAATGTACAATTAAGAAAGCAGAAGATTGGATTGAAAAAATAAGTATCTGTAGTCCTGAATCAGATTTAGAAGACAAAGTTAAAAGAATATCTAAAGAAGTTGGAGACTTTGGAACTTTGTTGCGACAGAGTATTCCACTAATAGTAACAAAGGAAGCCGAGGCAAAACAAAGAAAGAAAGCATGTGCTTTGGATGATATAAACGTGGAAGCCGATACAGATGAGGAAAAATGCAACATAATTGACTGCTGTTTGTTGTCTGAACAATTCCTTGTCCTGTGTGATAAGAGTAATTGTTCGCTCAAGTTATTTGATGTAAAACTTAATCAAATCGTTCACGTAAGGTCTGTTGACTTTGCACCAGAAACTGTTACAAAAATAGATGATCATCAAATTGCCTTTGTCCGAGGCAGTTATATGTGTACCAGTAAGATACAGTTTTTAACTTTAACGAAGTTCCATAAACTGAAATTCCAAAAGCGATACATAACTACAGAAATGACTTGTTATACTGCTGTTTACCTGAAATATGACAGATTCATAATTTCAATGTGTCAGGACAATGAAGGAAAAGTTCAAATTATTGATATGGATGGTGATGTATTGGTTAATATTGAAACAGACAGTGATGAAGAAGACATATTCAAAAATCCATACTGTATAACGGTAAACGACAATGAAACGTATGCATATGTTAGTGACTGGTATAGAGACAAGGTAATTGAAATTGATCTCCGAAGTTATAAAACCAGACCAGTGGCCTATATGTGGCACCCAGAAGGTATAACAATTGATGATGAGGGATTTTTGTACATCATTGAAGCTGGTTCTGGGAAAATAGTCTACTTTCATCCACACCGTGACGAATCCGAGAAGGTTGCGTTATTGCAAACACGTCCAAACTATTGGAATCCATCTGGCATTTGCTTCAGCTCAGCCGAGAAGAAGTTGTACGTTGGCCAGACAGGTTATGATGCAATCAAAGTGTTTAAAATTACATGATAGTGTGGTTGAATGAAATTTATCAAAGTGTCGATGGTAATTCCATGTTAAATATGTAATAGGTATCCAACACACAACATAGAAACGTAAGAATAATGGATAGAAATATTGGTGAATTATTCACTTTAAAATTCGCATGTATGAATGAAAATAACAAGAAAAAGAGTTCCTAGTATAAAAAATATTTTTGCAGTTTCATTGTCGGGTTGAAGTTCAATATTTTTTATATTTAAAGAGACTGTTATCAGACATGAATACTTATCTCTTAAATTGAAATAAAAAAAAAGTTGAATGAAAACATTTCCTGTTGGTTTGCTTGTTTTGAATTTTACGCCGATTTAAAGGCATTTTTGTCATATCTCGGCGATCGATTTGCCTAACATGATAACTTACGTTTAAATCTAACACATAATAGCTTTGATATCTTATAAGAAGTGACAATTACGCTTGATTTATTGAAAACATGATTTAAGATTGAAATCACTTTAGAAGCCTTTAGAAAAACAGTCGATGTGTTTCCGGTACAGTATTCAGTATTGTCAATTACATTGTGTATAAAATATATACAGCAGAATGTTTTTGTCATTTTGTCTTGCATTGTTGACTGTAAATTGAAATGAACACTCGTCAAATACTAGTAGCTGTCAATGGGTAATTTATTGAGGATTAAGAGAATACAGTTAAAGTTGACTTTACAGTTGACCACGAAAGTTTTGTAAAATAAAATATAATAAATAAATTATCAAACTTATAAATATGCCAAGTGTACAATTGTTCAATTGCCAAAACATTGATATCCTACTTTTTTTAAAAAAAATATGCGAGTGGTCGTTTTGCAGTTGTGGAATATTTGTTTAGTACGTATGTTTAATGAATAGGCAGAATAAATTTATGGCTATTTCCTTTGGATAAGTTCCAATTAGGAATAATCGGCATGGTGTTCCTAAGTTAACGGAGCAGCACAATTTCGGAGCACGGTTCACTAAATAGTTTTGTTTTGTTTGTTTGTTTTCATTCAGGAAACGCATGGTTCCTACTTATGCATGTTAAATAAAAAAAAGTTTAGTTGTACTTGTATATAGTTTCTTTATAAAAAAAATCTGACATGATAGTCCGATATGAACTTACAGAGTCGGGTATACTTAGCTTATTATTTTGGTAACTTCATCAACATTTTACATTTTAGCTTGATGCAATTAATGGTGTCATTGGACTCCCTTGCATCACTTAGTCATGTGTATTATACATCGAATAGAAAAAACAACAACACATATTAAGTCGCAATCAGTGAATTACTGGAATCAAAATTAATAGGTCACCTTTTGGCAATACAATTTAATACTATTTAAGGACATGCTTGGTGACGTGTCCGGGGTTTTACCTCTCAGTGCCTGAAAGGACGGATAAACCCTTATTAAACTTAGAAGACACATGTATCAATTTATACGCTTTAATTGAGTTCTAAATGTTAGATCTAACGTAAATGATATTATCCGATTTTTCCATTTATCGATTTGTTCACCTCGATGCTAAGTTTGCATGCATATAACGATATTATGTTTTGTTTTGTTTTTTATTGACCGGTTCTTATGATTTTAGGTTTTAATGAGATTATTAATTTCAATTTATTCTCAAAGTGCCGCGAGCATTCATTCTAAACTCCGTGGAGAGGTCATACGTAAGATTCCTAGACATGACCTCTCCAATCAAGTAACCCTTATAAGTGACCAATACGGAATGCGGCTAAGTTGACAAAACTCAAAGTGTTTCAGATTCCTTGACAGGTTTTTATAAATGATTAGTAAATGTAACCAAAAAAAAACGATGATGGAATAAAAATTCGTTTTAGAAAATGAAATAAAACTGCATGTAAACGATAAACATGATGTAAACGTATCTAAAATAGTGTACCTTTCTTGTTTACGTTGTCTAGCATATCTACCTTATTTTTGCTCTAGTATACTTCATTTTATGGTTAAATCTATATAAACAGATCAACATGTTATTCATGGCTACTTTCAATATTGTTCCAAGTGATTCTGTCACATTTGTATTTATTCTTATTATAAATATTTTATAGGAAATACATAATTAATGTCAGGCCACTACGGACCATGAATGAATGTATGTAAAGGGGGGATTCGTGAGCAGGAAAAAAATACAGAAAACTCACACTATTTCCACATGTTCTTCATCATGACACGGTGTGTCGCGCACAATATCTAACCCGGAAGCTTTAAATTGAAGGAAGTTCGAAAACATAAAGGCAGGTGATATAGAAACTCTTCTTTTTGCGTCCATTTATCTACTTGTCAAATAGATCGGTACATCGCAGGCAATAGCATAAAGCTAAAGGCCATATACAGAAGTAAAATATAATAAATGCATGGTCCGGTCCTTAACTAATTCTTTGATGGATTTTGTAATCACCTGGCACTTATGTTAACCTATGTGAGATCTAGTGAAAGACTCATTAAGACCTAGATCCGTATAATTAAGGCGATGCTACGTACACGTCAGGTCTAAATATAAATATCATTTGCGTCCGTCCCTAAATTTTGTCATTTTTGCACGATATTTTAGAATTGCTTGGTTGGCACAAATGTTCACCATTCAAACTCTAATTAAATTCCATTGTCAACTGTAATCTTCGTTATCATACATATTTCACATATCTTGTTATTCATTACATGATTTTCCTTTTGAGAGGAAAAAGATATTTTTTTCATTTTCTTACAATGAAAAACTTTAAAAAATATCGAAGTCTTATTCGTCTTTCTCATGAATTGTGGTTAATTTAAACTCTGTTCCTTGTGTCACAAGAAATAAAGTCACATTTTTTTATATTCAATTACTTAGATCTATGCATGCTATCGGTCTTTATGTTTCGTTCATCGACCATAATTCTTTTGATAACACTTGTCATTACCCATAAACTTTACCAATTCTTTACCCGATTCAGTTGATAGCAATCAATACACCTCAACAAATTTTAAGTCTTTTTTAAGTTCCTATGTGGGTTTTTGTATAGTTATCAGAGGAAATGACATTGATTTTGTATCGTTATTTACACCATTTTAATAACTGACACGTGAAAATTAAACTGATTGAACTTATGTTTAGCTAAATAGTTACTTAGCATGATTAATATATCGACAGTTTTCATAAACTTTAACCCAGATAGAACTAGTTGGACTTTTGTTTTGAAATGAAGGATTATATAATCAGATCAGATAAAGGCCTTGTGTAAACAAATGGACAGTGAAATCCAAATGGGACAAGTTATGCTCAATGACATAAAGACTCTGCTGTTCAACATATACACATGTATATGTCCTATGTAAATAAGTGTAAACGACATAGAAAAATAATGAAATTTAAGGTAATTTCACTTATTATCAATATACTGTATGCTTTAATATTAATGTAGATCTACAAGCACATTTCGCTATTGATGAAAGTTATCTAGGAAGTTTATAAGTTTATAAATTTTAGCATCAAAACCACTCAGACCAATATTATTTCGATTCTAACATAAGGGATATAGGATTTCACATAAATAATATCCTAATTTTATTTTTTACATAAGGGATTTCACTAATGCTATTATTTTTCGGCCGGAGTCGAGTTTCTGGCTCCCTAAAGTATTGTTGCTAAAGTAATAAAGAAAAGAAAATAACAAATTAAATTATCTATATCTTTTTTCTAATAAAAATATTCTAACAATATTAACATATGTACCAGATTGGATAGTATATGTGTACATCGTTACTAAATCAATCCATGTAAGGTAATGACGTCATTCTGACGCCTTTTATGAATAAGTTGCATATTTTATGACGTCATATCGCTGCTTATGACTGTCTAATATTTGTTACAACATAGTAAAATCTTTTTACTTAGAACATTAACTACATTTCCATTGGTTGGTAGTATGATAGTAGGGCCTAATTAAAAGCTACTCTTAAATCCTACAACAGTGTAATAATAACTTTTTGCTCACCGATTCACTCTTTTATAATTTACATTATAAACTATTTTGAATACCCTGGCACAAACAGACCTCGAATTCTGTAAAATAAACTGTAGAAAGAAATGGTCTTGGTAGTAGTAATGCTGTTTCAAATCAAATGTAAATACTTTCATCAAGAATGTTGTAAAATACTTTTATCCTTAATCAATTGTACAAATTAATTGCTTGTTAGTGACAGTGACAGTGTTTTTCCCATATGGAAAAAAGGCATCCTCCATACCCTAAAACTTTATGAAAAATTGTGCTGGGTAACGTTTTAGATAGTTTCAATAACAAACACTCCAACGATCGGGAGCATTTTCAATAACAAACACTTCTAATTTTCCCATTGGGAAAGATCTTAGACTGTTAAAGCTTTGTGTTAGTCTGAAATTCTTAACGTTTAGTTTGAATAAGTTTTATATTTTTGAACGGTACATATTTTAAAACCACAACGATTTTTAACATTTGTATTGCTTACCATTTGCAGCATAAATTGATTGCAATTAAAACAAAACAGTACATTTACAGTTGTTGTTTATTTCATGTTTGTTTCAAATTAAATTTTTTTATCAACGCCATATCTACATGTATTTTTAAGAATTTCTTCAGTTATTGTTCACTTTATTTTATTCGTCTCAAATAAGGATGTATAAGAAAAGGACGCTAGCAACGATGGCCAAGTCAAAAACATTACACGAAACAGAAATCAAGGGCTCCGAAGACGTTTTCGAAATGTACTGCGAACCTTGTCATAGAGAAGGACAACAAAAGATAGCCTGTGCATTTTGTTCTGTTTGTGTGACCTACTTTTGTTTGATTTGTCTGAAATGTCATGGTAGGTTTTTCCCTGGTCATAAACCTCTGGAAGGAGTAAACATGCCCCAAGACTTGTGTATTGAAAAATGTAAGACACATAACAAGGAGATTTTGAAGTATTTTTGTACTACTTGCAATAAATTTGTTTGTTGTATATGTAAACCGGAGCTACACAAAGATACCTGTAACTTGAGATATTTACCAGATTATGTTACGGATACTAAAGTGACAGAGGAACTGAAAGATATAAAAGCTTATAATAGTAACATTGCTAAACGTTTGTCAGATTTCAAAGGAAACATAGATGTAAAATATGAGAGCGTTTCTGCTTTTGCAACAGAAGCTAAATCTTTGATACAAAGAATGAAAGAGGATATATTTGCACCATTCGACGAAGAAATCTCAAATTTAGAGAAAACTATACAAACAGCGAAGAAAAAAGATGTTTTGAACATTGATCGAGCGAAACAAAAGTGTGCAGTGCTGCACAATGAAACCGATAAACTATCAGAGAACATCAAAACAATACAACAATTCCCAAAAGGTCGAAAGTACACGTTATTTCTGAAAATGAAGCAAATGAGCGGAGATTTGACACAACTGAATGATATTGTGCGTAATCTGAAAAAGGATTCATTAAAGATAGACACACAATTTGAGGATGTAATGAAAAAGGAATTGAATGATTTGATCAGCAGAGTTAAAACGTTTGGACGATGCGTTGAAACATCTCAAAAATATCTAGACAAAAGAACGGGAAAGACAGCGTACATTGTTGCAGATATAAATGTAAAGGATAAGATGGATCAGGAAGACTGTCGTACATTCGATTTATGTTTATTGGCCGAACAATATCTCGTTATGTCTGACAGAAGTAATTGTTGCCTGAAGTTAGTCGATGTTAAAAGCAAGAAGTTGTTGTATCGCCGATCTGTGATAACAACACCAGAAGCTCTAACTAAGATTACAGACTCTGAGATGGCTATGGCTCGGTTATATGAGAAAGATGAGAGCCGGTGTGTTATTCAGTTTGTGAAACTAACAAATGCTAAACAACTCTTTTTTATGCCGCACTTTATATTGACAGAAATGTATTGCGCCGATATTGCGTACATTGGTGATGAAAAGTTGGTCATTGAAATGACGGCTGATAATCGTGGTAAAGTACAGATAATGAACTTCAGCGGACGTGTTATTCACACAATTGATAAAGATGAAAAGGGAGAGTCTCTTTTTCAATGTCCTTACTATTTAAATACTAATATGGTGGAAAGGGTGTTTTACGTCAGTGACTGGTTGAATGACAGTTTTTACAAAGTGGACATTGACACATTAAGTACATATCAGTATTCGCCACGCATCTGGCATCCTTTTGGGATAACGACCGATGGGGATAGCTTCATTTATGTCTGTGAATCCGGGACTGATAGTATACATGTTTATCATACCGATGACACTAAAAATACGGATAAGGAAGTTTTGTTAAAGTTCAACGATTATAACCCTCAAGCGTTGCTTTTTTCTGCTTCGATGTCGAAGCTATACGTTAGTTTTGACGGTTCTGATCGCCTAAAGGTATACAATATTACCTCTTAGAACTGCTAAACTTCGAGTTCGACGAATGTAGATCATGAATTAACATGTATTTATTTGACTTTGTGTGATCGGGGATGAGAAAGCTATCCGCCGTTCTAAGTTAAAGAAATGTTAAAATTGCCGGTTGGATCTACACATGATGTGTCGATTTGATATAGAACATAACAGTTGAAATTCACGGTGATTCAATTAAAGAGATATAACCATTATTTGATGAATAAGACCTATTCGGATAAATCTCCAATAAAATCTTTGTCATGATATACAGTGGGTGACAAGAACGTTATACTGAAAAGGTATAAAGCGGCAAACTTTTGTGTAATACAGATCGACACAGGCTCGTTTCACAGAATCAAAGGGAGATAGCATTATTAAAAAAAAAGGAACTGTCCTCAACACAATGCTGATAATGTTTACATGAGGGTGTGATCGCAACGATGATCGAAACAACATTTAAAGAATACAATTTTATGTTTTGAGTACGTAATACATATTCACTCAAAAGTCACTTTTTGATTGACTTAAACTTGTAAATATTCTACAAAAACTTAGTGATATTGAATACATGTATTGTTTTATGGACATTTCATTCTTATCATTCAAAGAGTTTAATGTTGATTTTTTTTACTCGTTTAATCGTATTAAGCAACCTTGTAGAACTTAGTGATAATTCTTTTAGAGACACTTGGCTTAAGATTCTTTTATATAGTTATGCACAATTTATATAGAAATTGGTTCTACGTCCTCTTACTCTGGCCTTTAAACTTAGTGGAATAGAATTTGTTGATTAAGCATCCGCATATGTTTATAAATATCATTAGTTTCTAAGTGGTATTTTGATTCTTTTAATTACTTTGTAGAACTTTGTTATTATTGTTATCTTTTGTAGAAAATGTTAATGTTTTTTTCTTAAACTTTTCCATGAATCACAATATATTATAAGAATAGTTATGCAAAGAAATTATAATCCTAAAGCATTTATTAAGTAAATTCTGATAAGCAGTAAATTGCAGACCAATCAGATGAGTTGCTACACACAGTGCCACCTGTATGTAAATGATAGCCCCCCTCTAGGACACAAAATTTTATTAAACCAGACATCTCAGGGAGTTTTGTTTTTCTGCTGCTATTTTTTAAAGAATTACATCTCTTAAAGCTCTCTAAAGTTTACTAACTAATTATAGAATTTATTTTAGGCACTTTGGTATTAAGTAAACCTTAGAAATTATCTTAATTCCTCGAAACATTTTTGATAAATTTGTAAGTAATTTTAGTAATTTCTTTTATTTCCGAAGTAATTAAGATCAATTAATTTTTTTCTTTGTTTTTTAAAAATTTTGGCCATTTATAAATATTAGGTTTTCATTCTTGGTGGTACAACTTTGAAACAGGGGTTGCTACTCTTTATTTGTCAGTTAAATAGCACAGAATCATTAAGGTTATTTTTCATACTTTCAGATAATTTTTACATAATGACACTTCTTTTTAACGGTTTCAAATCCCTAATTCAAAATCATTGTTTGATATATTTAGATTAGATAAGAACAGTTAATACTAGAGTGCATATTGTAAAACTGTTACCTTTAAGTAACTTTTTGTTAACTGTAAATAAAAAGTTAGTTCATAATATATTTTTTTGATTGAAACTTATTCAGTATTTGTGTTTTATTTCCCTTTGCATTCAAAAGGTGGTATTACCTTGGCGATTAGCTTTTACCTCCAATATAAGATCATCTTAATCACTACTCCTGAGCAAACTATTAAAGAACATTACATAACAAGAAAGTGGGTGCCTCTAAACCTACTTGTAGAAACACTTACTATTTTAACACCATAACAGTTTATTGCTATTCTTATTGTGTTTCTTTGAGTTTATTTATTCCTATACATTTGTTTTGATGATTGAATTACAAATCAAAAGCTGGTGCTGCCTCAAAAAAAAGTATGTAGGTTGATAGTAAACATAGACCTCGTGGAAGTTTGTTCTGATGATTCAATAACACAACAGAAGCCGTGCTGCCTGAGACGGGTATCTTGGCCAATGAGGAACAGATCCATAAGAAAACTCGAGTATGAAGGTGTAATACCTTTGACCAATGTAAACATCGGCTGCATGGAAATACCTGGAAATACCAGTACTGTGAGCTTTGTTAATAAATTATTAAAGTCAAACATAAATATAAGAAAGAAATTGATGAGACGTATTTGAGCATGTATCAATCGCATCTTTTCGGCCCCTTCCGTCAAACTACAGATTTTGACCTCGAATACATAGAACGAATTTTGTATTACGGTCTTACATCCGCTAAGAAACTAAACATGCAAACAAATAGTAAGTGATTACTGGGAGATATAAAATTATATTGGGGTTGCGTTCATTGAACGCAGCCTTTCGTTGTTGATCTTGTTTATCATATTTTTTGTTGACTAGGTTTATTCCAATATATAGAGTAAAAGTCTGCCTAAATTATATATATATGTATTCATTCTGTGTTTACCTATAGTGAGTAAATGACGTCACGTTGTATTATTATTTGGCGCGCTTTTCATTCAGTATTAGATTTAATATCTTTTTAAAACGTTTTTTTGCATATAATAAAAATGAAATTTAACTAGTTTAGTGTAAGATCGACATATATTTCACCTTGTGAACACCGAAAGTTCATAGTTCACTCGTGGCTGCGCCACTCGTGAAATATACCGTTTGGTGCTCACTCCTTGAAATATATTTCGATCTTACACTGAACTAAACAAATATCTTCTATATAACAATTTATCACATTATCATAAACCATAAACTTTAACATTTCTCGAAAGCAATCGGTACACCCCGACGAAGTCGCCGGAGAAAGCCGAGAAGTTACGATTGCAACAGTAATAGCTGGTGCATTGTGGGAAGATCATACTAGACGGTTACAACTGCTGTTACTTTTAACCCTTTGATATAGTTATCAGATGAAATGTCATTGATTTCGTTTCGTTATAAATTTACTCATTTTTATTATCTGTCACGTGAAAATTTAACTGATTGGACTTATGTTCATCCCAGTATGGTTTTAATTCCGACAGAAAATTAAATACAGACTTTGAATGTTTTGCGGAGTTAGGATGTGGGATTTTAATCAGATAAAGGCCTTATCAGTAATGTACTGATCCACACCGGACATGTTCTCTTCAACGACATAACGTTTTTACTGTTCAACATATAGACATGCACATATCCTGTGTAAATAGCGATGAACGACATAGAAAGATAACAGCATGTAAAGGTAATTTGTTTTATTATCAAGATAAGATTTAATATTCTTATCAGTAGACATGTATACACATAGTTCGCTATTGGTTAAACCTGACTAGGAAGTTTGTAAAGGCCCGTTATGCCCCATAAAGGTTTTTATTTTATTTCACAAACAATTGTTTATATTTGATATTCTGTTATAGGTTTCAAACACTGAAACACTTACTTATTTACCAATTAACTGAATCATATTTCGCCTGATTTGCTTTCTGGAAATAAGCACAGTTATACTGATTTAGAATTTTGTATCGAAGTCAAATTTTACTTTGTATTTTGGCTAAATTTTATGACAAATACTTTCACATTCAGCACTACTTTTTCATGATCAAAGCCTCAAACATGCTAGATAAACCACTATTTAAAGATGATTAACTCATGTTTGTCTTTTTTAAAGAAGCATTTTTTTTTTGGTTTTCGCATCAAAAGGACAAATCTTTTAAGTTGCCGTTGAACATCGCTCAGATCAATTTTTATTATAATTTTAACAAGAAAAAACGGGAGCTGTTTTTCAAGCGGATACTATATCAACTATCGATTATCATATATTGCTGTTCTATTCACTTATAGTATTGTAAATATCTTTATTTTGTCAATGATTATTCTAATAGTTAACTAAGTATCAGTCTATATTGTATAGTGTATACATCAGTACTTGGTAAATAATCTTAAATGACGTCATTCTGTCGCTTTTTATGAATGTGTCGCGTGCTGGATTCTTATAATGGTGTAAGATTCATCATTGAAAATAAAGAAGTGTTCAACATAATTTGCTGACCAATAAAATCACTCCTATTTTCTTAAAAAATTAATCGTATAGACAGGCAAATTGTGTCATTTATTAAGTCAAATACTTAATAATTTTAAGTTTGAAAAGAAGTGTGCATGTATAAACTGAATGTAACACAATGACGTGAAATTCTACCGATTTTAGGGATCTTAATTGTTAAAATTTCATTTAAGTAAACACTAACATATACTTACAACATAACCTACATTTCTAAAGTAAAGGTAAATCTATATACGATATGATAGTACATGTAATTATCTACGCTTAAACCCTAAGACGTTGTAACAGTAACGTTTTTCTTAGTGACCAAATAAAAGCCGTTTTGGTAAACCACTTAGGTTTTATGTCTCATGTTTTGAATTTTGAACTTCCAAAAAAAAACTTACAGAAACATACCTTAAATTTAGAAAATAAACTGAAGAAAAAATGCACTGCTGGTGAAAGTTTAAAAAATTACTCCATCATCTATAAATTGTATAAATTACTTGCTTGATCGGGAAAGTTTATTTCCAAAACGTGAAAACATATCTTCAGTATATTCGAAATTTTTACTTAGATATCTGGAAAAAAGATGGTGTTTTTAATTAATTGTGCTTAGTAGAATTCAAGATAATCGTTCTAATATTGGATAAAACAAGCAGCATTAATTTGACATGTACTTTGTGAATCCAGTTGCCCAAACACCAATGTAGATGAATATGTGCATTGCTTTACCTGATCAGAAAAGTGAAAAGGGGAATCCCCCCATATTCCCATTTTGGAAAAACTCTCCTGTTCAAGTTTTGACCAATAAAATATGATAAACAAGATCAACAAGGAAAGGCGGCGTTATAGAGTTGTAAAATGTTGAACAATACATAATTTATCACTATGTTTTACGATATTTAAAGTGTGTCAATCGCCAGAAGAACATTGATAACAATTAAAGGTTTAAAATATAATCTTACATTATCTAATGTTGTCTTTTGTTTCAAGTTTATTTATTTTTACACAAGCAATATTTACGTGTCTTTTTGGCTCATTCTAATTAATTATTGCTCACGCTTTATTTTTCTTTTCAAATTTAGTTTTACTAGAAAATGATGCATGAATGCCTGGTAACGATGGCAGAATCAAAATCAAGTCACGAAACAGAAAGCAAAGGTTCTGAAGACGTTTTTGAAATGTACTGCGAAGCTTGTCATAGGGAAGGGCAACATGAGATAGCCTGTGCATTTTGTTCTGCTTGTGTGACCTACTTCTGTTCAACATGTCTGAAATACCATGGGAAGTTTTATCCTTTTCATAAACCCCTGGAAGGGAATAACATGCCCCAAGATATATGCTTGGAAAAATGTGAGTCACACACTAAGGAGGTTTTAAAATATTTTTGTACTACTTGCAAAACGTTTGTTTGTTGTATTTGTAAATCGGAGCTACACAAAGAGACGTGCAACATGAACTATTTACCCGATTTCGTTACGGACACTAAATGTGAGGAAGAACTTAAAGGGTTAATGACACACAAGGATGATTTTGCTAAACATCTAACAGATTTCACAGGGGAAATTGATGCAAGATATGAAAGTATTTTTGTTGATACGGAAGAAGCTAGAACTGTAATAAAAAAGGAGAAGGAATTAATGTTTGTAAAGTTCGAAGAGGAAATTTCATCACTAGAAGAAACAATACAGACAAAAAGAGGAACTGATACTTTGAGCATTGATAAATCAAAGAAAAAGCTTGAATTGCTGCAAAAAGAAACTGATCAATTATCAATCAACGTTAAAACAATAAAACAACTTCCAAAAGGTCGCAAGTACACGTTATTTCTCAAAATGAAACAGTTGAGCGGAAATTTGACTGAAATGAATCAAGTCTTGGGAGATTTGACACAAGCTTCGTCACAAATAGACAATGACTTCGAGGATGAAGCGAAAAAGAAAGCAAATAATGTGATTAAAAGAGCTAAAGAATTTGGACAATACATCGCTACATCTCAAGAATGTAATGACAAAGGGATAAAAAAGACCGCGTGCTATGTTGAAGATATAATTGTCAAGGACATCTCTGATCAGGCAGACTGTTGCATATTCGACTTATGTAAACTTTCCGAACAATATCTTCTCTTGGTTGATTGTAGTAACTGTTGTCTGAAATTAGTAAATTTGAAAAGTAAAAAATTATTGGATCGACTGTCTGTGAAAAGGACTCCGAACGGTATTACTAAAATTACGGACTCGAGGATTGCTATGGTTCTGTCATATGAGAAAGATGAGAGCCGCAGTATAATTCAGTTCTTGAAACTGACAAATGCTAAACAACTCGTTTTTGAAAAGCGCTTTATATTGACAGAAATATATTGCGCCAATATTGCATACATTGGTGATGATAAGTTGGTCATTGCAATGACTGCTGATTATCATGGTAAAGTACAGATAATGGACTTCAGCGGGCGTGTTATTCACACAATTGATAAAGATGAAAAGGGAGTGTCTTTTTTTCTACGTCCCTACTACTTAAATGCTGATAACATGGGAAATCATTTTTACGTCACAGATTGGTTAAATGACAACTTTCATAAAGTGGACATTGACACATTAAATGGATATCAGTATTCGCCTCGCATCTGGCATCCGCTAGGGATAACGACTGATGAGGATGGCTTCATTTATGTCTGTGAATCCGGAACTAGTAGTATACATGTTTATCATACCGATGACACTAAAAATACGGATAAGCAAGTTTTGTTAAAATACGACGATTTTTGCCCACAAGCTTTACTTTTTTCTGCTTCGTTGTCGAAGCTATACGTTAGTTTTAACGGTGCTGATCGCCTGAAGGTTTACAATATAATTAACTCTTAGAATTGCTTAACTTCGGGTCTGACACAAAGAATTGTATTGTAGAATGACAATATTTTTCTTTGTATGTTCAGGGGTGTGAAAGCTACCCGCTGTTCTACGTTAAAGGAGACTCTTTTACGCCAGGATGTGTCGATTTCACGTGTCGATTACAGGAACGTAACGACTTAAGTTCGCAATGATTATATCATAAATCAAATAAACATTTACAGTATTTGAAGAATAAGACACATTCATGAATGAAACTCCAATACGTTCTTTTTATGACATACTGTAGGTTAAATAGAGTAAATTGGGCAGACTTTGACAAAAACTTCTTTCTTTGTGTTATACGGATCAATAGTTGCTAGTTTGTTCCAAGTTTTATAAAATCAACGGGAGTTAACATTATTAAACATTACAAAAATATGTAAGTTCAGTAAGTTGCTGTCCTCGAAACACTACTGAAAATGCTGAGTGTGTTAAACACAACACTGATTGAAACAAACTGTGAAGAAAACAAATTTATGTTTTGTGTACATAATAATATACTTACTCAAAATAGTCACTTTTTGGTTGACTTACAGCTGTAAATGTTTTGAAACTTAATGATATTGAATACGCCTTCTTTTATGGACATTTCATTCTTATCATTCATCAGTTTAATGTTGGTTATTTTACTAAGTTTGATTGTATTGAGCAACTTTGTGGAACGAATTGATACATTTCTTTACAGCCACTGAGGATAGCCAAAGATTCTATATATAGTTATGTACAATATATTTGTGTATGGAAAATGGTTATACTTCCATTTACTCTAGGCTTTAAAGTTATAGTGAAATACATGTTTATCATTTACATATGTTTATAAATATCTTAAGTTTCTGAGAAGTATTTTTGTTCTGATCTTTGTAGTTATTATTATCTTTTGTAGAAAATGTTAATGTTGTTTCTTAAACATTTCCATTAATCATAATCTATTATTACAATATTTATGTAAAGAAATTATAAGCCTTAAGCATTTGTTAAGTAAATTCTGATAAGCAGTAAGTTGCAGACCATTCAAATGAGTTGTTACATATAGTGCCACCTGTATGTGAATGCTGTCTCCGTCTGGGATACAGAAGTTCATTTAACCAGTCAGCTCAGGGACTTTTGTTATACTGCTGCTAATTTTTAAAGAAGTGCCATCTCTAAAAGTTCTTTAATGTTTGTTAAAGAACTATAGAATTTATTTTTGGCAATTTTGTATTAGGTAAACTTTAGAGATGATCTTTATTCACTGAACAATTTTTGATGAATTTGTAAGTAATTTTAGTAATTTCTTTTTTCCAAAATAATTAAGATTAATTAATATATTTTCTTTGTTTGTTTGTTGTTTAGTTTTGGGCGCCTGTTAAAGGGTAACCCCATTCATTTTTCCCGTCATTGGCATGATAGGGTCGAGGAGCATCATGCTCATGCATCATAAATTGTATAATTCTATTAGGAAGCGATATATCAATCAATATTACGTAATAAACCCAAATATGTATAAAACTGCAGAACTGTTTAACTCTCATTCAGTACAAATTGTAAGAAATTTAGCAATGATTGTCTATAAAGCTTTCGAGATTAGAAAAGAATCTACATTGCAATCTTAGAGAGTAATAAATATTTACATACTGTAAGATTCTAAAGTTCCTTTCTGAATTTTCATATGTTCCCTTTACATGTAAATATATTTTCCTATTTTCAAACTTTATTTGATACCTTTTAAATGTTAAATATGTTGTATCATGTTCGTTATTCTTTTTTTTTTGTTCTTTTCATTGTTTTTTATTATTATTTTGTTAAATTAATTCATGTTACAATTTTATTATAGTAAAAAAACTAAAGGTAAATTAATCTTGATTATCGTTTACATTATAATCGACATGGTTATTTCCCTTGTAGGCGTCATACTCGTTTTGTACTTTCGGTTTCGATGCAAGGCAATTTGTCACATACTAAAATGCATATTTGTATGTGTGTCTAAATCTGACATATCCATATCTGGCATGAAAACATGTCATGCTTTAGAGTTTTAGTTGTAAAAATAATGGTCTTGTAATTTCATTTTCAATACAAGGCATTATGTTACATTATATGTTTTTGTATACATTTGTAGGAGGTTAGTAATACAAAACATTATATATATTTATATATGAGCATATTATGATAAAACAAGTAAACATTTATAACCATTGATGTTTAGTAAAAATACCACATACAGAACAAGGTAATGAGCCAAATAATTAAAGAGATAAATATGTATGAAATTATAATAGATATGAATTAAAACGTAACTGACATCATATAGTTCTGATAATGTATGAATGTAACAATATGTTGAAAGTGAGTAATCTTATTATTCAATGTCTGTCATTGTATTGTAATGTTTTGTGTAATGTTTGTATTACTGAGAATGTTGTAATTTTATTTTATGTCAGGTCAAGGGCTTATTAGCCTTAACCAGACGGTTGTTGTTTACATATTGATTTTGAAATAAAAATTATTCTTCTTCTTCATGCTATAAGCCTTCTCAAAGAAAAGCGTTTTTTTTAATTCAGTACCAAACTTTTTGATAAAATTCTGCAGTGAGGTCGTCGTCACCGGGGGATTTTGTGAGTTTAAAACCAAAAATAACCTTTTCAACTTCTTCCTCCCGAAAACCTGAATCAAAAGCGAATTTCTCATCATTATTTACACTAGTAGTAATATTAGAAACCACTTTTTTTGCCGAACATAGATCAATTCCTTCAGAAGAAAAAAGTTTCTTGTAAAATGCACATTGTTCTATTGTTCTTTTAAAATGAATTTATGTCGTTTTAATGTTTTCCGGATTCGGATTTTATTTGCGTCCATAATTTTTGATTGCCCTTCTTTTTTCTAAGTCGAAGAAATACTTCGAAGAGTACATCAGCAATGTGTTTGGCTTTTGATCTAATTTAAGCGCTTCGAGCTCTTTCTGATAATAGAAACTCAATTCCTCTGATAATATTTTGATGTCAGTTTGGGCCTGGGCTGACTTGGTTTCTCTAAGCTTTGTGTTTTTTCTTCTACATGTATTACTTTAGTTCGCCTGTGTGTTTTTGAAATGTGTGTTGTATATTCAATTGAAAGCGTTTTAATTTTATCTTTTGTCGTATCCCATCACTTGCGTTTTGAGTTAAAATTTACTTTATTTTCTTTGTTTTAAAATATGACAGGTATCTATAATTATTAGATTTTCATTCTTGTTACAGGGATTGCTACTACTTAGATCAATCAGTTAAATGGAATAATTACATAGAATTATTAAGGTTATTTTTTATACTTTCAGATTCTTATTACATTTTGACACTTAACGGTTTCATATCATTAATTCAATATTAATGCTTGCAATTATGTATTTAGATTAAATCAAAAGAGTACATATTGTAAACTTGTTTAGCTTTAAGTATTTTTTGTTAAGTGTAAATTAAACGTTAGTTCATTATATATTTGGTTGATTTAAACTTATTCAGTATTTGTATTTTATTTTCCTTTGCATTCAAATGTTGATATCACCTTGGCGATTAGATTTTTCTTCCAATATAAAATCATTTTAATCACTACTCCTGAGCCAACTATTAAAGATCATTACATAATACAAGAAAATGGGTACCTCTAAACCTACTTTTAGAAACACTTACTATTTTTACGCCATAAATAACAGTTCATTGCTATTCTTATTATGTTTCTTTGAGTTTATTTATTCCTATACATTTGTTCTGATGATTTAATTCCAAAACAGAAGCCGGTGCTGCTATTTTTGTAAACAGTAATAGGTATTCGAAACATCGACTTATGGTGGTTTACTTTGAACAATGTAAACATAGGCCTCATGGAAGTATTTGTTCTGATGATTCAATAACACAACAGAAGCCGTGCTGCTTGAGACGGGGATCTGAGGCAGCATAAGAAAACTTGAGTATGAAAGTGTATTAAATTTGACCAATGTAAACATTGGCTACATGGAAATACACCAGTCCTGTGAGATTATTCAACATATTATTGAAGTCAAATATATATATATAAGAAATACATTCACGAGATGTATATGGCGCTTCTTCTTGGCCTCTTATGTCAAACTTTTGGACAGGGTACCCGAACAGAATTGTAAGAATACATTCTGCATTACGGTCTTTCCTACCCTAAAAAACTAAACATGCAAACAAAAAGTAAGTAATTGCTGAGAGTTGTTGACTAAGTTTATTCCAAAATATCGAGTAAAGGTAAAAATGTTTGATATCATAGATATTAAAGTAAATGCGGCATTTATACAATGATTATGTTGGCTGTAGATTTGTTTTAAATTGTATATCAGTGGGGATTTTTGTATAGACATTTTTTTCAAAAACAGTTTTACCGAAACAGACTTTTTTCTTTTACATGCACTGCATGTAAAATATAAACGTTCGTTATACATTATGCGAAGTACACCCTCTGTTTTTTTTGTTTCATTCTAAAACCACCAGCCGATGAGTGCCGATTAGACTGTGTATATCACAGATAGAAATAGTAACAAACAATTTAAGGACGAATGTTATATAAGTAATATAATCAATATCACAATGCTTGCATTAAAAGGGCCTGTTAAAGTTGTTTTTTATGCTGCTTTTGAGCATTCTTAACATTATTTTAAGATTTATCACTTAATTATATACTATGCTCATAAATGCAGAAATTGATTGAAATTTATTCACGAAAATTCTCACTGAAAATGTCTAATTTGGGTAAGATAATGTACTGTTTTCTTTTGTTTGTTTGGAGCTGCATTATCTGCCAAGTTAATTTGGCCCTGTCAGTTTCTTTTATGATGTATTCATACTGTGTATACCTATAATGTGCAGAGTTTCAAAGTTAAAGTATCTTCTCTGTTTGTATTCAAAAGATTACAATTTTCATTTTAAGGAGACTGTATAGCAATAATCAGTATTTTCAAATATGAAATTTAATTCTGCATAATAAATCTTTAAAGAGGAGGCTAACAAATAACTTAGCTGATAAAACAGTTAGTGTTTCACTTTGAGTGTTAGATTGTCCGTATGCAATGAATGTCGATCAAAATTATAGTGTTTTAAAGTGGCTTCAGGTCATTGATAAGATTCGATTTTCTAGACTTTCACAAGAAGGATTAAATCCAACATTTCTCAAGATATTTTTTTCTAATATTGAAATCGCAAGCGCCTTATCGTTGTATAAATAGAATTCATCATCGTAAAAGAAATATTTGATAAGTCAATCCTGGAGTTATGTGACCTGCTATGTTCTATTGATTATCAGAATACAAGATATAATTAAGAATTTACTTTCAATGGTTCCATTGTATAACATTGTATCAATTAAAACATGTAGACAAATTTGTTTACAGTTGAATTATTAAATCGGTATAATATGAGGTCTATCAAGTTCAAGGAATCATTTCTTTCTCTGAAAAGAGTTTTCAAAAGTGTAAGAGGATAGCAAAAATGTTTTAGCCATTATTGAAAGTATTTCAACAGCGCATTTCTTAAGGCCAGCCCTAATGTTTACCCCCCCCCCCCCCGATCCATGCACGTTTGAATTGGGTAGGTAGGTAGATATAAAAACTTTTTTATTCATAATATTTTTTATTATCTAAAATTATATGGAATTAAAACAAATTGTGAATGTTTAGCATTTGTTGAAAGTTTAGAATCAGAGTTTCAAACAAATCTTCTTGTTTGTATATCTACAATTCAAAAACATGAGATAGAAATGAAAATGCTATGCGATACATTTTTGGATAACTGTAATTTTCCTAGGTAGAAAGCAGGAGGGGAATCAAACAATATAGTGTGCGAAACAAAAGGCAAGGGCTCTGAGGACGTTAGAAAAAAACTCATGAGATTATAACGACAATGACCGAGCCAAAAACATTACACGAAACAGAAATCAAGGGCTCCGATACGTTTTCGAAATGTACTGCGAACCTTCATAATCAAAGGGAAGGACATAGAGATAGTCTGCGCATTCTATTCTGCTTGTGTGACCTTCTTTTGTTCAACTTGTCTTACATTCCACAATGAAAAAAGTATATCAAGTCTTATCTACCTTTCCAGTTGGATTGTGGTTAAATTCATTGTAAACGTTTTATATTCATTTATTCTTTTGATAACACTTTATCACGTTATCATAAATCATCATTATCATTATCATTTCGCGATAGCAATCGGTACACCCCGACAAAGTCGTCGGAGAAAGCCGAGAAGTTACGATTGCAACAGTAATAGCTGGTGCATTGTGGGAAAATTATAACAGAAAGAGTTAGATATGGTTAAACAGCTGTTACTTTTAAACCATTTTAAGATTCTCTATTTGGTATTGTTATTAGGTGAAATGGCATTGATTTCGTATCGTTATTTACTCATTTTTATTATCTGTCCCGTGAAAATTTAACTGATTGGATTTATGTTCATCCAAGTATGGTTTGAATTCTGACAGAAAATTAAATACAGACTTTGGATGTTTTGCGGAGTTAGGATGTGGGATTTTAATCAGACGGAGGCCTTATATGTAATGTACTCATCCACACTGGACATGTTCTTTTCAATGACATAACGTTATTACTGTTCAACATATAGACATGTATATATCCTGTGTAAATAGTTATGAACGACATAGAAACAACATATAAAGGTAATTTTATTTATAAACAAGATACGATTTAATATTCTTATCAGTTGACATCTACAAACATAGTTCGCTATTGGTGAAACCTTACTAGGAAGTTTCTAAAGACCTATAATGTTCCATAAAGGTTTTTGTTTTATTTCTCAAAATTTGTTTATATTTGATGTTTTGTTATAGTTTTCAAACACTGAAACACTTACTTATTTACCAATTAACTGAGTCATATTTCGCCTGAGTTACTTTCTAGGAATAAGTACAGTTATACTGTTTTAGTATTTTGTATTGAAGTCAAATTGTACTTTGTTTTGTTTTGGCTACTTTTATGCCAACTAATTTCACATTCAGCACTACTTTTTCATGATGTAAGCCTCTAACATGCTAGACAAACCACTATTTAAAGATGATTAACACATGTTTGTCTTTTATAAAGAAGCATTTTTATTTCGCATCAGAAGAACAAAGAGGAATTAAGTTGCCGTTTAACATCGCTCAGATCATTTTTTATTTAAATTATAACAAGACAAAAACGGGAGCTGTATTTCAAGCAGATGATATTCTAAAAGTATAAACTTAAGTGTCAGAATATTTGTTTAGTGTATGAGAATACATACATACAAAAACATACCTTGGAATTAACAAAAAAACAAACTGAAGAGAGAATGTACTGTACTACATCCTCTATAAATGCCTGAGTATTTTCACAAATCTTATCATTCACAAGTGTATTATGTAACAATCTTTATCATTAGTGCTTATAATACAAAACATTATTTATATCTATGATATCAAAAATGTCTAGGGCAGAAAGGACTTGCTTAATGTGTCTGTGATTTATTTGAACTACCTGTATCTTTTGAAAAAAAAAATGTGTAAAACAAACCACATATATTTCTTGACAAAACTGTTAAATATGAAATATGAAACACTGAACATGTTTTCTTTGATACTTTATACGGTGCTCTGATTATATCAAACTATGGTAAACATGTATTCAACTCACTTTTTGTTCATGTTTTCGGATATTAATGCTTATATGATTTATGAAAATGGTGATTACTTTAGAATTCAAAGAAATTCTTAATATTGTTTGAAATGAGACATCTATTGAGGCCCAACAAAATTCCTCATGTGAAATCGACCACGATCTTTTTTTTTATATCAAAATTTCACATTTAGTACAACTGTTTGATTAAAATATGATTCATGACCACTTTGATTTATTTGTAAAAATAAAAACAAATAACTAATTATATTCTGCAACGATGTATGCCCGTTTAATACAAATCAATACGCCAAAATATTGCCAACATATTGATAACCTTCGTGTCTTCAGAAGATAAAAGAAGTGGCAGTATGCCAATAAGCAATAATATCAAGTCAACTACGCGCTTTTAGATACACGTATTTACACGGAAAGTACCTGTAAATGCATTCAAATCAATGCAGTCTAAAAATGGAAATACAGGGGATAATTTATGAGCTTTCTATTAATTCAGTATAAGCATTTATTGACACAATACACGGATGGCCCGGTTGATATTGACAGGGAGATTAGCCGCGTAATAAATACTGCTTCGTTAAAACTGAACAAGGTAATACAACAATAAATTGTTACTTTGTAGTCGAAAACATTTAGAAAGATTCCGAAATTTTATAATGTTTAATCTGTTCATATTATAATCAAATGCCAACAATGTTATTGTACTTTTATTTTTTCAGTCTTTCTTTTCTCATTTAAATGGAAAATATCATCAACAAATTGTATCAACCGAGACTTGACATAATAAAACTACTTTAATTTCAATTATACGAAAAATTACGTAAAAATAAGCAGCTCTTAAAGGCAACACATCTTATTTCTGTTCTCCGTACTCACCGAAATTAGAAACAAATTTTTTTGGATAAGCATGTTTTATTAATGTTTAAAATATTGCATGACGTATGAACTGGACAACTATCTATTTTGAAACTAATTAAATGTCGATATAATATCTTATTAATGTGATGCGATAAATTGATTTAAACAAAAATGCATATATTTACATTCTTTCAATTTCATTTTTTGTACGCATGCGTTTTAAATTATTTATTAAATTTCTTGTGAAGCAAATTAACAATTGTAATCTCATTATTCTGTTCTAAGCCCGTCATTACAATTTGCTGTTTCAAATTGCTATTTTCTTTTAAATAGTAGATGAATTAAGCTGATTTCCAATTTTGATATTTTTAAACAAAAGCATTACTACAATAAATACATTTATGTTAATAAATCTTGCTTTTTAAATTTCACGTCAAAGATTTTTCAATTGGCCCAAATTTATGTTTTATTAAATGGGAAGTTGATTATCCGTTTCTTTAACATTTTACTGAAAGTGATACAAAACACGTAAGAATAAAAACGTATATTATATATCTTATTTAACTTTCATATAAATTCGCAAACCGTCGCAAAATGATTTTAATTTGATAATATTTATATTACTTATAAAGGAAATATGTAAGGAATACATTATGTAATACAACTGTTTGTGTAAGATCTAAAAACAAAACTCATGGTAGAAGATTATATTCAGATTTCACAATAAATAGTTACAAAGATATACTGTTACTATTAGTCGAAATAGCTTTTCAAAAACAAAAAATCAATTTATACAGATTAAAGGATTATTACTTGAATGAATCACTGCTCGTAGTGTTAACGTGCATGTAAATGATATTTTCCGATTTTTCCTTTTAACGATTTGTCCACCTCGATGCTAATTTATCCTTTCAGCAAAGTCGTATTTTCAAGCGGAGCGTGCGCATAACAATGTTTGTACACTGGTTCTAATGATTTTAGGCTGTAAATGATGTAAACTCATTAACTACAATTTGATAAGCCAAAATCGATGTCGTTGTATAGCGCAGTTCATTGCGTCATTCGTCATTGATCAACACTATGGGACACTACTCTTATAGATTATTCTGATGCGATTAATCCGCCCTAGTCACCTGAATGAGGATAATGAGGATTGTGGAAAGACCATACTTGAAAAAAAGCTGAACGTGCTAAAGTATTTTAACTGATAAAGTTGATTTTAAACAATACTAAGTTCGTTTGTTTATAGAGGATATGCAATTAGAGCGATCTAATTTCTTAACGCATTTTTACTCGCTTTTAAATTCCAACACGTTTAAAAAACTGTTTATTTAGAGAAATATGTTAACACTTATTGAACATATGTGTTAATCTATGGTTATCAATAGTTTATATTTCGACAGCAATTCTAACTCAAATCATGATGTTTTCAGGATTTTGTATGTTTGCGGAGGTGCATTGTTGGCGTCCGCGCCGAAGCGCGGCGCTCTTATGGAATGAGATCAGATTTTGTGAAAGGGCGACAGCAACTTCTCGAGCCTTTTAGTCGGTCATAATAAAAGCCGAAAATTCCGATCGGTATGAGGGTGCTTGATTATTAAATAAGAATGAAATGTCGCGATATGTTACAATGAATTTTCGCAATGCAAACATTTACAAATGAAATAACCTTTCCCGTCAATAAATCGCGCTCTTCGGGGTTTTTTATTTATCATTTTGTAGTACACAGTCGGTTATCATGTCATGTATCCTAGAATGATCAGTTGATGACCTAAATATTCCAAAAACCTATTTATAGATATATCTTTTTATCACTCCTATCGGTAAATGCCGGTCTCTCCCGGTCTATTTTGACCAGGATTTACTAGTGACCGGCGAATAGTACCACACGTTTATTGTCCGGTCTCTCCCGGTTTTGGAGTAGATGTTTGATATCGTTACAATTAGAAAAAAACAACAATAGCATGTTTCATTTTATCTATATGAGATAAAAACAATAAATATGTACACGGATTTATATGTAATATAAATCCGTGATATGTACAATAATTGAGAAAAAGGTACATTTTTTATGGTATTAAAATGACATTATCAACTTTGAAACATTTTATTTAATTATTCAATTTGTTATCCGTGTTTAGTTAAGATGCCGAGGAATTATTCAAAGTTACAAATTAGATTTTATGAATTATTCAATTGATCGATAATTTAAAAAAATGATAAAGAAAAATACAATGTACATGTACATGGTTTAAGAATAAACAATATTATATATTGAAAGATAAACCATAATTTACTGACTTTTTCCAGTTAAGCTTTGACTTATAATCGTCGGTCAATATGACAATTGAATTCTTAAAAATTGTTTTACAATTTTAATAAAAAAGAGTAGTAAAAACTCAGTATTAAAATAGCACATAAAACACAAAAAGAATAAAAGAAAACAATATTCATAAAATTTGTATTTTTTTTAATTAAAATTAATAGATATTACAATTATTGTATAATAAACAATTATGCTCAACATGATCAACATGGTAATATAACAGTGTCATATTTTTACTAACTTAAAGTGTGAACAGATACCTTAAGGGGGTCTTTGCTAATAGCGATAACATGCACATAATAAGGGACAAATGTGTGGTACGTGTTGATCATGCGTTACACATATGGATTATAAATGATTGCATACATGTATATCCGTTGCTATTAATAACCACGATCATAAAGAAATAACAAGTAATATTCTAATCTCTAGCATGCCAATCAAAGTTCATAATGAACAATGTCTTTCGTCCGCTCATTCATAAGTGGTATACATTTCTGGTAGTTTATAAGAATATCTTGTCATCATATGTGTACTAGTTCATCTTCACTTGCTGCATTTCTTGCTTGGACGCCCTTTGATGCTTTGCATCAATGCTTTTCTTGTAGGATATTCATACGGGCCAGGTTATACACGAGAAGTTTCTGCTTTTCCACGTATACGCTACATGTGTAGAACGACATACTTAGATAACGAAATGAAATGGTAGTTTATTTTCTCATTAATAAGATTTCAATTATTTCAATAACTCATGTCTATATACAACATGCTTGTTACATATATGACGCTCTGAGTAAATGAATTTGAAGTTTTTCAAATGGATTCATATATTTAGATAATACAGTTATATGACAATAGGTTTTTTTTAAAGAATGTGATGCAAATCGGACTGAATACCAAAATTCATTTTAATAATCGGGTATCTTTTCTGCAAGGGATACCATTGTCACTGTCCGCATTAAAAACAGCAACAACAACTACAACAACAACAACAACAACAAAAACAAAAGCACAACAAATACACACCACAAACAAAGCCCCATCCCGATCGGGAAAAGAGACGCTTACTTAATTGACACCATGGTCTACGGGTTTCAAGGCAGACATCTAGGACATAGATTGCTTTAATGTTATTTTCAATGACATCTTACAGAAATTTACCATACACAAATAATTAAAACACACTCATTTCTGAGGTATCCGAGCATAAAGTTGAAGGCTTTTAAGAAATAATCGCTATTTTTAAGTTTATCTAGTTTTGGAAATATTTTTTCTTGAACAAGCAAATATTCTATACAATGGGTAATTTATATTTTTTTAAAACACCTTGTTACAGATAAAACATAACTATTTAATATATTTTGTTTATTACGAGTTCTCAATGATCTGGTGCTTTTGCGTCGACGCAAATTGGATGCTTAAATGCCAACTATGAAATGTGAAATTATTCTTAATCGATATCTTGTATGACAAATTTTTGTTCAGTGAAATTTATTATTAATTGAATGTCCTTATGAATATTTGTAATATAAAACTTTGAGTAAAATTTCTATTTCATTTTATATTTTAAATGAAAATTATATTGCGTAAATGTGTTCCATAGACAAAAACAAGAATTTTTTTAAATTTTCTTTTTCCTGTTCATTTTTGACGGGGATATGCTTTATAAAGGGAAAGCTTCTTCTTCAAAAATTTTTAGGAAGTTTACTATCAAATTTTAAACTTTTTAAAAGGTCAGTTTGTGTAAAAAAAAATTGTATATGTATATGATATTTTTATCAAATTGTTGAATATGATTGGGGAAATTTTTTGGGTTGTAAAATTTTGCAGTTTTTACTCAAAAATTAAAGCAATGAACAACTAAGGCGGGGGTATAATTTGGTTATAATTTAAAATAACCCCAAAACAACAAGAAATTTAATATAATATATGGGCAGTTAAAAAGACACGAAACGGGTTATGTGGTTCTGGGGAAAAACAAAATAGGGAGAGCCCAAAGGGTGAACATGAAGTAAAATTTATTCCCTATGACTTTATAGAAAAAATCTTTCTGAAATTTTTTTTGTTAGATAACTTTATGCACTGTTCCCTTTTTTAAAACTTTTAAACTGTTTAAATTGAAAACTTAACTCGAATATTGAAAAAAAAACTGTAGAAAAAAATACTTTGGCCTTTTAATATGTTTTTGGTAAAATTTAAAAGTAAATCTTAATTAAGAAAATTTTGAAAAACCCCTTCCTTATGTTTTTGGATTCTTGTTGTCAAAGAAAGTGTATTTCCCAAAGGTCAATATCCTTACACGTTATGCTCGGATATCTGTAAAACATGTATTTTGCTTTTCTTATAAGATAATTGTTTAAAAGTTATCTGATCATGTACTGTTCTTGCATTTTGTGAATCCCATAGCCCAAAAATTAATATATAATGTTTGCGTTTCTTTATCAGATCGGGGGAAAATTTTAAAAGCATTTGATTATCAGGAAAGAGAAAAGCAGTATCTCCTAATTATCCATTTGGAAAAGACGTCCGGTTATTTAAGCTTTGACTAATTCGTCATTACATTAGTACAATGTTGACTATAATATTTTATAACAACTTACAATTACTTTTTGCGTGGATATTACTACTTTAAGTAAAAAAATGATAAAAGTTTATTTTCTTTTGATGTCCATGTTTGTTTTAACCAAAGCCGGTTTTGTTTTCTTTTTTGTCAATTTGTAATAATGATTATTTAGTTGTATTCCTTTTTAGATACATTATTAGAAAGGACAAATGAGTTCTTAGCGACAATGGCAGAATCAAAAGCATTACACAAAACAAAAGTCAATGGCTCTGAAGGCGTTTTTGAAATGTACTGTGAACCTTGTCATAGGGAAGGGAAACGTGAGATAGCATGCGCTTTCTGTTCTGTTTGTGTGACCTACTTTTGTTTGATTTGTCTGAAATGTCATGGTAGGTTTTTTCCAGGTCATAAACCCCTGGCAGGAGTAAACATGCCTCAAGACTTGTGTATTGAAAAATGTAAGACACATTACCAGGAGATTTTGAAGTATTTTTGTACTACTTGCAATAAATTTGTTTGTTGTATATGTAAACCGGAGCTCCACAAAGATACCTGTAACTTGAGATATTTACCAGATTATGTTACGGATACTAAAGTGACAGAGGAACTGAAAGATATAAAAACTTATAATAGTAACATTGCTAAACGTTTGTCAGATTTCAAAGGGAACATAGATGTGAAATATGAGAGTATTTTTTCTTGTGCATCAGAAGCCAAAACTGTGATTCAAAGTAAGAAAGAGGATATATTTGCACCATTCGAGGAAGAAATCTCAAACTTAGAGAAAACTGTACACACAGCAAAGACAAAGGATATGTTGAACATTGATCGAGCGAAAGAAATGCTTGAAGTGCTGCACAATGAAACCGATAAACTATCGGAGAACATCAAAATAGTACAACAATTCCCAAAAAGTCGAAAGTACACGTCATTTCTGAAAATGAAGCAAATGAGCGGAGATTTGACACAACTGAATGAAATTGTGCGTAATCTGACAAAAGATTCATTAAAGACAGACAATCATTTTGGGGATGAAGTGAAAAGGGAATTGAATGATTTGATCGACAGAGTTAAAGAGATTGGAAAATGCGTTGCAACATCTCAAGAATGTCAAGCTAAAGCGACGGGTAAGGCAGCTTACTTTGTTGAGGATTTAAATGTAAAGGATAAGAAGGATCAGAAAGACTGTCTTATATTCGATTTATGTTTAATAACCGATCAATATCTAGTTTTGTCTGACAGAAGTAATTGTTGCCTGAAGTTAGTCGATGTCAAAAGCAAGAAGTTGTTGTATCGGCGATCTGTGATAACAGCCCCAGAAGCTGTTACTAAGATTACAGAGTCGGAGATGGCTATGGCTCGGTTATATGAGAAAGATGAGAGCCGCTGTATAATTCAGTTTTTGAAACTGACAAATGCTAAACAACTCGTTTTTATGAAGCGCTTTATATTGACAGAAATGTTTTGCACCAATATAACATACATTGGTAATGACAAGTTGGTAATTGCAATGACGGCTAACTATCATGGTAAAGTGCAGATAGTTGACTTCAGCGGTCGTGTTATACACACAATTGATAAAGATGAAAATGGAGAGTCTCTTTTTCAATGTCCCTACTATTTAAATACTAATATGGCGGAAAAGGTTGTTTACATCAGTGATTGGTTGAATGACAGTTTTTGCAAAGTGGACATTGACACATTAAGTACATATCAGTATTCGCCACGCATCTGGCATCCCTATGGGATAACGATTGACGAGGATTGTTGTATTTATGTCTGTGAATCTGGAACTGATAGTATACATGTTTATTATACCGACGACACTAAAAATTCGGATAAGCAAGTTTTGTTACAGTTCAGCGATGATAGCCCCCAAGCTTTACTTTTTTCTGCTTCATTGTCTAAGCTGTACGTTAGTTTCGACGGTTCTGAACACCTAAAGGTATACAATATTATCAACTCTTAGAACTGCTAAACTTCGAGTTCGACGAATGTTGATCATGAATTTACATATATTTATTTGACTTTGTGTCATCGAGGATGAGAAAGTTATCCGCTGTCTACGTTAAAGAAATGTTTAAACTGCCAGTTTGTTCTACCCATGATGTGTCGATTTGATATAGAACGTAACAGATGAAATTGGTGATGATTCAATTAAAGAGATAAACACATTATTTTAAGAATAAGACCTATGCGGATAAAACCACCTATGAAATCTATGTCATCATATACAGTAGGTTAAGTGATAGTTATCTTGAAAAGGTATAACGCGGGCAAACGTATGTGAAATACGGATCGACACTGGCTCTTTTCACAGAATCAAAGGGAGATAACATTATTAAACAGTTACTGTCCTTAACACACTGCTGATAATATTTACATGAGGGTGTGCACGTGATCACAACGATGATCGAAACAACATTTAAAGAATACAACTTTATGTTTTGAGTGCGTAATACATATTCATTCAAAAGTCACCTTTTTGATTGACTAAAACTTGTAAATATTCTAAAAAAATTAATGATAGTGAATATGTATTGTTTTATGGATATTTCATTCTTATCATTTACTATTTTATGTTGATTATTTTACTAAGTTTGACTATATTAAGCAACCTTGTAGAACTTTTAGAACATTCTTTTAGAGACGCTTACCATGGCTTAAGATTATTTTATATAGTAATGTATAATATATATATAGAAAATGGTTCTACTTCCACATACTCTGGCCTTTAAACTGAGTGGAATATAAGTTGTTGATTAAGCATTCGCATATGTTTATAAATATATTTAGTTTCTTAGTGGTATTTTTATTCTTTTAATAACTTTGTAGAACTTTGTTATTGTTATCTTTTGTAGAAAATGTTAATGTTTTTTTTAAATCTTTTCCATGAATCACAATATATTATTAGAATAGTTATGCAAAGAAATTATAAGCCTAAAGCATTTGTTAGGTAAATTCATGTAAGCAGAAATTTTCAGACCAATCAGATGTGTTGTTACATACAGTGCCACCTGTATGTAAATGCTAGCACCCTCACGGATGCAGAAGTTCATTTAACCAGTCATCTCGAGAGTTTTGTTATTCTGCTGCTAATTTATAAAGAAGCAACATCTAATGTTTATTAATCATTTAAAGAATTTATTTTAGGCACTTTGCCATTAAATTAAACTTAAAGATTATGTAAATTCACTGAACCATTTTTTGATAAATTTGTAAGTAATTTTAGTAATTTCTTTGTACCGGGGTAATTAAGATCGATTAATATCTTTTCTTTGTTTTTAAAAGTGGCAGCCATCTATTACTGTTAGATTTTCATACTTGTTAGTAAAACTTTGAAACATGGCTTGCTGCATGGAATTTAAGATTATTTTTCATACTTCCAGATGATTGTTTGACACTTGGTTTCAACGGATTTAAATCTTTTATTTAATATTATTTCTAAATATATTTTGGTTAAATACATATGGTAAAAAAAAAATTAAGTATGTAGGTTGAATGTAAACATAGACCTCGTGGAAGTTTGTTCTGACAACAGAAGCCGTGCTGCCTGAGATGGTGATCTTAGCCAGTGAGGAACAGAGCCATAAAAAACTGGAGTATGAAGGTGTATAAACTTTGACCAATGTAAACATCGGCTTCTTGGAATACCTGGAAAAAACAGTACTGTGAGCTTTTTTAATAAATTATTAAAGTAAAACATAAATATAAGAAAGACATTGATGAGACGTATTTGAGCATGTATCAATCGCATCTTTTCGGCCCCTTCCTTCATACTTTGAATAAGGACCTCGAACACAATAGTAAGAATACATAGAACGAATTCTGTATTACGGCCTTATCTCCGCTAAGAAACTAAACATGCAAACAAATAGTAAGAGATTGCTGAGAGATATAAAATTATATTTGGGTTGCGTTCATTGAACGCCGCCTTTCGTTGTTGATCTTGTTTATCATATTTGTGTTGACTAGGTTTATTCCAATATATAGAGTAAAAGTCTGCCTAAATTATATAATATTATTTATATATAAAGTAGTTGGTTGTAGAAACCGAAAAAACAAAATGTCTTTATTCGGATTTGTTTAAAATTGTACATTACTGAATATGTCTAATTTGAGTAAGAAAAAGCACTTACTATGTTTTTGGAGCTGCATCATCTGTCAAGGAATTTGATCCTGCCAGATAATTTTTTGAATGACACTATGTTTACCTATAATGTGTAAATCACGTCACGTTGTATTATTATTTGGCGCGCTTTTCATTCAGTATTAGGTTTAGTATCTTTTTAAAACGTTTCTTTGCATATAATAAAAATGAAAATTTATCTAGTTTAGTGTAAGATCGAAATATATTTCACCTTGTGAACACCAAAAGTTAATATTTCACTCGTGGCTGGGCCACTCGTGAAATATACCTTTTGGTGCTCACTCGGTGAAATATATTTCGATCTTACACTGAACTTAACAAATATCTTCTATATAACAATTTATCACATTATCATAAACCATAAACTTTAACATTTCTCGAAAGCAATCGGTACACCCCGACGAAGTCGCCGGAGAAAGCCGAGAAGTTACGATTGCAACAGTAAATAGCTGGTGCATTGTGGGAAGATCATACTAGACGGTTACAAAACTGCTGTTACTTTTAAAACCCTTTGATATAGTTTATCAGATGAAATGTCATTGATTTCGTTTCGTTATAAATTTACTGCATTTTTAAATTATCTGTCACGTGAAAATTTAACTGACTGGACTTATGTTTATCCCAGTAATGGTTTTTTAATTCCGACAGAAAATTTAAATACAAACTTTGAATTTTTGCGGAGTTATGATGTGGGGTTTTAATCAGATAAAGGCCTTATCAGTAATGTACTGATCCACACCGGACATGTTCTCTTCAACGACATAACGTTTTTACTGTTCAACATTTGGACATGTACATATCCTGTGTAAATAGTTATGAACGACATTGAAAGATATCACAGCATGTAAAGGTAATTTCTTTTATCAAGTTACGATTTAATATTCTTATCAGTAGACATGTACAGACATAGTTCGCCTTTGGTGAAACCTGTCTATGAAGTTTTGAAATCGGATCATGACCAATAAAGGTTTGTATTTTGTTTCTAAAAAGTTGTTTATATTTGATGTTTTTTATATAGTTTTCCAACACTTACTAATTTACCAATTAACTGAATCATATTTCGCCTGAGTTGCTTTCTGGGAATAAGCACAGTTATAGTGATTTAGTATTTTATATTGAAGTCAAATTTCATTCTATTTTTATTTTTACTACTTTTATGCCAACTATTTTCACATTCAGCACTACTCTTTCATGATGTAAGCCTCTAACATGCTAGATAAATCGTTCAGATCAATTTTTATTATAATTATAACAAGAAAAAACGGGAGCTGTTTTTCAAGCGTATCGATTATCATATATTGCTATTCTATTCACTTTAAGTATTGTATATATACGGTGGCACAAAGGTGACATGTGTGCATTTTTATTTATCTCGTGGCCACAAGATACTATGTCGAGGCCATGAGTTACTAAGTCGTGGCAACGACTTAGTAACACGTGGCAACGACATAGTATCTCGTGCGCACGAGATAAATAAAAACACACACATGTCACCTTTGTGCCACCGTATATATATCTTTATTTTTTTCAATGATTATTCTAATAGTTAACTAAGTATCAGTCTATATTGTATAGTGTATACAACAGTAGGTAAATAATCTTAAATGACGTCATTCTGTCGCTTTTTTAAAAAAAAAATAAAAAAAATTTTTAAATAATAAAAATTTTTTTTTTTTTAAATTTAAAAATAAAAAAAAAAAATATGAATGTGTCCGTGCTGGATTCTTATAATGGTGTAAGATTCATCAGTATTCTACATCATTTGCTGACCAATAAAATCACTCCTATTTTCAAAAAATCTTAATCGTATAGACAGGCAAATTGTGTCATTTATTAAGTCAAATACTTAATACAACGACGTGAAATTCTACCGGTTTCTTCCTTTAGGGGTCTTTATTGTTAAAATTTCACTTATACTTACAACATAACCTACATTTCTAAAGTAAAGGTAAATTCATGTACGATATTATAGTACATTTAATAATCTACTCTTATATCCTAAGACGTTGTTATAGCAACTTTCGCGTTTTGGTGAACCACCGTGGATTTTCTGTCTTTTTATTTTTAACTACAAAAACATACCTTGAAATTAACAAACAAAAACTGAAGAAGGAATGTACTATACTACATCCTCTATAGATTGTATGAATTACTTTCTTGATCGGAAAAGTTTATTTCCAAAACGAGAAAAACTATCTTCAGTACATTCGAAACTTAAACTTGGATATCCGAAAAAAAGTATAGTGTTTTTGATTAATTGTGCTCAGTAGAATTTCAGATAATCGCTCTAATATTGGGTAAAAACAAACAGCAATGTAGAGGAATATGTGCACTATTAGTGAAAAGAGCCCCTCCACCCCCCCCCCCCCCTCTATTCTCATTTTTGAAAAACTCTCCTGTTCAAGTGTTGACTAAGTCGGCGTTAGAGTTGTAAAATGTTGAACGATACATCATTTATCAATATAATGTTTTACGATTTTTAAAGTGTGTGAAGTGTCAGATGAACGTTGATAACAATTAAAGGTTTAAAGTAAAATCTTACATTTTCTAATGCTGTCCACTTTTGTTTCAAATTAATTTATTTTCCACAAGAAATATTTACGTGTCTTGTTGGCTCATTCTAATCAATTATTGCTCACCTGTATTTTACTTTAAAATTTAGTTTATTAGAAAAAGACGCATGAATTCCTGGTAACGATGGCGGAATCAAAAACAATTCAGGAAGCAGAAAGCAAAGGTTCTGACGATGTTTTTGACATGTACTGCGAAGCTTGTCATAGGGAAGGGCAACATGAGATAGCCTGTGCATTTTGTTCTGCTTGTGTGACCTACTTCTGTTCAACTTGTCTGAAATACCATGGAAAGTTTTATCCTTTTCATAAAACCCTGGAAGGAAATAAAATGCCCCAAGATTTGTGCTTGGAAAAATGTGAGACACATACAAAGGAGGTTGTAAAATATTTTTGTACTACTTGCAATAAATTTGTTTGTTGTATTTGTAAACCGGAGCTACACAAAGATACGTGTAACATGAGCTATCTCCCCGATTTCGTTACGGACACTAAATGTGAGGAAGAACTTAAAGGGTTAATGAAACACAAGGATGGTATTGTTAAACATCTTTCAGATTTCACAGGGGAAATTGATACAAGATATGAAAGTATTTTTGTTGATACAGCAGAAACGAGAACTGTAATTAAAAAGGAGAAGGAATTAATGTTTGCGAAGTTCGAAGAGGAAATTTCAACACTAGAAGAAACAATACAAACAAAAAAGGAAAGTGATACTTTGAGCATTGACAAAGCGAAGGAAAGGCTTGAATTGCTGCAAAAAGAAACTGATCAATTATCAAAGAACGTTAAAACAATAAAACAACTTCAAAAAAGTCGTAAGTACACGTTATTTATGAAAATAAAACAGCTGAGCGTAAATTTGACTGAAATGAATCAAATCTTGGGAGATTTGACACAAGATTCGTCAAAAATAGACAAGGACTTCAAGGATGAAGCGAGAAAGAAAACAAATGATTTGTTAAAAAGAGTTAAAGAATTTGGAACAAACATCGCTACATCTCAAGAATGTCATGGCAAAGGGATAAAAAAGACAGCGAACTTTGTCGAAGATATAATTGTCAAGGACATCTGTGATGAGGAAGACTGTTGCATATGCGACTTATGTAAACTGTCCGAACAATATCTTGTCTTGTCTGATCGTAGTAATTGTTGTCTGAAATTAGTCAATTTAAAAAGTAAGAATTTATTAGATCGGCTGGCTCTGAAAAGGACTCCAGAGGGTGTTACTAAGATTACGGACTCGAGAATTGCTATGGTTCAGTTATATGAAAAGAACGAAAAGAACGAGAGCCGTAGTATAATTCAGTTTTTAAAACTGACAAATGCTAAACAACTCGTTTTTATGAAGCGCTTTATATTGACAGAAATGTATTGTGCTGATATTGCGTACATTGGTGATGAAAAGTTGGTAATTGCAATGACTGCTGATTATCATGGCAAACTTCAGATAATGGACTTCAGTGGACGTGTTATTCGCACATTTGATATAGATGAAAAGGGAGAGTCTCCCTTTCAATGTCCCTATTACTTAAATACTGATATAATGGGAAATCAGTTTTACGTCACAGATTGGTTAAATGACAACATTTATAAAATGGACATTGACTTCTCATATGGATATTCTTATTCGCCACGCATCTGGCATCCTTTAGGTATAACGACTGATAAGGATGGCTTCATTTATGTCTGTGAATCCGGAACTGGTAGTATACATGTTTATCATACCGATGACACTAAAAATACGGACAAACAAGTTTTGTTGAAGTTCGACGATTTTTGCCCACAAGCTTTACTTTATTCTGCTTCGTTGTCGAAGCTGTACGTTAGTTTTGACGGTGCTGATCGCCTAAAGGTATACAATATCATTAATTTTTAGAACTGCTAAACTTCGAGTTCAACGAATGTAGATCATGAATTTAAATGTATTTATTTGTCTTTGTGTGATCGGGATTGGAAAGCTTTCCGCTGTTTACGTTAAAGAAATGTTATAAATTAAACTGCCATTTTCTTCTATCCATGATTTGTCGATTTGATATAGAACATGTAGAACGTAACAATTAAAATTCACGATGATTCAGTTAAAGAGATATAAACATTATTGAATTTAGAAGAATAAGACCTTTTCGGATAAAACTCTAATAAAATCTCTGTCACGATATACAGTAAGGTGAAGTGAACGTTATCTTGAAAAGGTGTAAAGCGAGCAAACTTTAATTTTGTGTAATACGGATCGACACTGGCTCTTTTCACATTATCAAAGAGAGATAACATTATTAAACAGTAAATGTCCTAAACACACTGCTGATAATGTTTACATGATGGTGTGATCACAACGACGATCGAAACAATATTTAAATAAAGAATACAATTTCATGTTTTGAGTACGTAATATATATTCACTCAAAAGACACCTTTTGATTGCCTTGCACTTGTAAATATTCTTAAAACTTAATGATATTGAATATGTATTGTTTTATGGACATTTCAGTCTTATCATTCACTAGTTTAATGTTGATTATTTTACTAAGTATTGATTGTAGAACTTATTGATACATTCTTTTAGAAACACTGAGCATGGCTTAGGATTATTTTATATAATTATGTACAATATATATAGAAAATGGTTCTATCTCTATTTACTCTGGCCTTTAATCTTAGTGGAATAGAAGTTGGTGATTAAGCATTTGCATGTGTTTATAAATAACTTTGTAGAACTTTGCTATTATTGTTATCTTTTGTAGAAAATGTTATGTTAATGTTGTTTCTTAAACTTTTCCATGAGTCATAATCTATTATTAGAATATATATGTAAAAAATATAAGCCTGAAGCATTTGTTGAGTAAATTCTGATAAGCAGTACATGTAATATGCAGAACAATCAGATGAGTTGTTACATACAGTGCCACCACTATGTAAATGCTAGCTCCCTCTGGGTACAGAAGTTCATTTAACCAGGAAGCTCAGGGACTTTTGTAATTCTGCTGCTAATTTATAAAGAAGTAACATCTCTAAAAGCTCTCTAATGTTTATTAAAGAACTATAGAATTTATGTTAGGCACTTTTGCATTGATTATCTTTATTCACTGAACAATATTTGATGAATTTGTAAGAAATTTAAGTTGTTTCTTTTTACCGAAGTAATTAAGATTATTTCAATAATTTTCTCTTTGTTTTTAAAAATGACAGTCATCTATATTTATGAGATTTTCGCTCTTGGTGGTATAACTTTAAAACAGGACTTGCTTCTATTTAGATTTATCTGTTAAATAGCACAGAATCAATTAGGTTATTTTTCATACTTTCAGATAATTATTACATTTTTGGCACTTGTTTGACGGGTTCAAATCTTTAATTCAATATTATTTCTTATAATAATATATTTTGGTTAATTAAGAACAGTTTATACAAGAGTGCATTTTGTAAACTTGTTTTGCTTTAAGTTACTTTTAGTTAAGTGTAAAAAAGTGAGTTTTTAAAGATTTGTTTGATTCAAAAGTATTCATTGTTCGTGGGTTATTTTCCTTTGCATTCAATGGCCGTTTTATCCTGACAATTAGATTTTTCCTCCATTATAAACTAAAATTCATCTCTATATAAAATTTCTAAACCTATTTTTAGCACCGTAACATTTCATTGATATTCTTATTATGTTTGTTTGAGTTTATTTATTCCTAACCATTTGTTAAGATGATTGAATTCCAAAACAGAAACCGGTGCTTTTACAGAAAATTTAGTAAACATTAATAGGTATATGAAACATAAAGGTGGTTTACTTTGAACAATGTAAACATAGGCCTCATGGAAGTATTTGTTCTGAAGATTCAATAACACAACAGAAGCCGTGCTGTCTGAGACGGGGATTTGAGGCAGCATCAGAAAACTTAAGTATGAAAGTGTATTAACTTTGACCAATGTAAACATCGGCTGCATGGAAATAAACCAGTCCTGTGAGATTTTTCAACATATTTTATAGTCCAAAATGTATATAAGAAAGACATTGATCAGATTACGCCAAACTTTGGATAAGGACCTCGAACACAAGAATAAGAATACATAAAACAAATTATGTATAAAGGTCTTACCTACGTTAAGAAACTAAACATGCAAACAAGTGGAAAATGAATGCTAGGAGATGTTGAGTTTATTCCAATATATGTAGTAAAAGTCCACTTAAATCATTTTAATATTATAGAAATAAAAGTAGTTTATAACATTATTATGATGGTTGTAGAAACCGAAAGTACAAAATATCTCATTTCGGATTTGTTTAAAATTGTACAGTAGTGAATATGTCTAATTTGGGTAAGAAAATGCACAAAACTATGGTTTTGGATCTGTATCATCTGTCAAGTTAATATTATAGCTATTAAAAAGATATACTGTGCTCAAATTTGTTATTAAAAATCTTGGCAATTGCTACACAGTGACTTTATTAATATAACATAAACATGTTATGACTGCACACAAAGTAGATATGTTATGTTTAAAATCCTACAAACTATATAGGTGGTCACAATATATATTGTCATTTAAAAAACCGTGACGTCAATAAAGTTTTAAATATACGGCTGCTGTAATTTATGAAGAAATCTGACATTTTCTCTAAAAAAAAGTTCCTTGCTGTTTTTTAAATTCGTTATAAACATTTTGACAGTTTATATGGCCATATATAAACGGTTGTTTGCAATATAATCCTCGCCTGGAGCCTCGCGTTATATTTCTAAACAACCGTTAATGTAGGGCTATATAACCTGTCAAAAATCTTTATAACTAATAATATATATGTAATGGTAAGTAATACATGGAAAATACACAAACCCTATATCTCAAGGATTCTTACTCATATATCATTATTGCCCATTAGCAAATCTTAAATCTTAAATATAAGAAAAATCTAATGAAGATATCAGGTTTCAAATATCTGATCAGCTTTTTGATAATAAAGCCACTCTTGAAATTCTTTCAACACCGTATTTTTTCAGGCAATCCTTATTTTTTTTTTTTCCCCTCTCGCGACCCTTGCAAGTTTGAGTAGGGTACGTAAGCAGAAAAATAAAATATTCAAAAATATGTTTTCTATCTAAAATTATATGGAATTCAAAACAAATTGTGAATGCTAAGCATCTGTTTTAAGTTTAGAATCAAAGTTTCAAAATTTTATTTAACATTTTTTCCAGTTTGTATATCTACAAAAACATGTGACATATATAAAATGTGATTTTCATTGACAGACTCCGATTCCATGTGTATATTTTCTATGCGATAAAATTCTTTGGGTAGCTGTAATTTATGTGGGTAGAAAGCGGGAGGGGAAACAAACAATATTTTATTTTAGGCCTTACGAATATCTCATTTCATTATTGATTCTGAACTATTTTGAAAAGGTATATCTTATTCAATATGCGTTTTGTGACGGATATGAATTAATCTTAAAACGATTTCAGTACTCGTCACAATAACAGACATATGCTGCGGTCGTTACGATAGCACAATGAAACGTTTCGTTTTCATCGATCGTTATCCTTTTGATTATGAGACTAGCAACAGTTGTTACGTAGATAACCAAACACTACCAATGTATTTTGGGAAAATTTGAATAGCTGAATTGAATGTATAATTGAGCATGTAAATGCATTATTAGAAAACGATATCAAACTACAAATACAAGGGGAAAAAAACACTTTTAAACCTGTTCACTTGTCAAAATAATATGCTGGGTACAGTTACCTACGTTTTTGCTAATTGTGATCAGAACAATGAGACTTCAAATATCGTTAATTGTGCGACGTTTTATGAAAGGTTGATTTCATAAAGTTCTATATATTTATAATGATTAACATTTCGAAAGTATTTGAAATATTGGTATTTTGGGACTCTTTTTAATGTTGGTTGAGAAATTATTTGGACATAGAATTAGATAAAGACTACAGTGTCCTTTGTGATCTTCAGACGGAACTGGTTACACACAATGACAGTTTATGCTGTTTATCTTATTGCAAATAATCATCAAGGTCATAGCAAAATGACAAAAGGAAAAGGGTATGTTAATCAGTTATTAAGATTAGCTTTTAATTATTCATGCATGTTAGTATGCAAACCAAGTTAGTCGTTAGTGAAAGTTTTTAATGTCTATGAGTCTCGCCTTAAGATATTTTTTATTTATGGTTAACAACAATATAAACGTATATAAACTGTGGTTCGTATACTATTTTTTGCTAATTCTCCAGGTATGATATAAATGAACGTAAGTGTTATATATATACTGGTATGCCACATCAAATATTCTTCACTTGTATTATTCCCTTCAAATTTAGATAGCTATTCGTAAAAAAAGTGGCTCGAGTTCCTAGCGACAATGGCAGAATCAACAACAGTTTGCGAAACAGAAAGCAAGGGCTCTGAAGACGTTTTCGAAATGTACTGCGAAGCTTGTCACAGAGAAGGACAGCATGAAATAGCCTGTGCATTCTGTTCTGCATGTGTGACCTACTTTTGCACAACTTGTTTGAAATATCACGGGAAGTTTTATCCAGTTCACAAACCCTTGGAAGGAGAAAACATGCCACAAGATATATGTATGGAAACATGTAAGACACACACCAAAGAGATTTTGAAATATTTTTGTACAACTTGCAATAAATTTGTTTGTTGTATTTGTAAACCTGAGCTACACAAAGAGACTTGTAACATGAAATATTTACCCGATTATGTTACGAACACTAAAGTTGCAGAGGAACTTAAAGGTTGTAAGACATTCAATGATGATATTGCCAAACGTTTCTCAGATTTCAAAAGAAAAAAAGATATTAAATATGAGAGTTTATCTGCTTTTGCAACAGAAGCTAAATCTTCGATACAAAGTGCAAATGAGTTAACATTTGCACAATTCAACGAGGAAATTACAAAAGTAGACGACAAAATACTTTCAGCAAAGACAAAAGATATGTTGAGCTTAGATAAAGCGAAAGAAAAAATTCAATTGCTGCAAAGAGAAACCGACAGACTATCGGAGAAAATCGAAGCAATAAAACAATTACCAAAAGGTTGCAGGTACACGATTTTTCTGGAAATGAAACGGCTGGGCGAAGATTTAACTAAAATGAATGAAATCTTAAGAGATTTAACAAAAGAATTATCAAAGTTAGACAATGATTTTGAATGTGAAGTGAAAAAGAAATCAAATGATTTGAGCAAAAGAGTTAAAGAGTTTGGACGATGCATCGCTACAGCTAAAAAACATTTTGGCAAAGAGAGGGAAAAGACAGCGTGCTTTATTGAGGATATAAATGTCAAGGACAGTTTTGATCAGAGAGACTATTTTATATCCCATTTATGTGTACTGTCCGAACAATATCTTGTTATGTCTGATCATAACAATTGTTGTTTGAAATTAGTCAATTTAAAAAGCAAAATGTTATTTGATCGCCTGTCTTTGAAAAGCAGCCCTGACGCTGTTACTAAGATTTTAGACTCGGAGATTGCCATTGTGCGATCATATGAAAATGATGAGAATCGCAGTATAATTCAGTTTTTGAAACTGACAAATGCTAAACAGCTCGTTTTCAAGAAACGTTATATACTGACAGGTATGCGTTGCTCTGATATTGCGTGCATTGGTGAGGAAAAGTTGTTAATTGCCATGACGGCTAATTATCATGGCAAACTTCAGATAAGGAACTTGACTGAACAAGGTATTCAAACAATTGATAAGGATGATAATGGAAAGTATCTTTGTAACTGTCCCTGCCATTTACATGTTGATAAAACAGAAAAGTCTTTTTACGTCACAGATTGGTTACGGGACAAATTTTACAAAGTGGACATTGACACTTTAGATATATAGCAGTATTCGCCTCGCATCTGGCATCCTTTAGGAATAACAACTGATGAGGACGGCTTCATTTATGTCTGTGAATCTGGAACTGGTAGTATACATGTTTATCATACCGATGACACTAAAAATACGGACAAAAAGGTTTTGTTGGAATACAACGAGTATGAACCACGCAATGTACATTTTTCCGTTTCGATGTCCAAATTGTACGTTAGTTTTAACGGTGCGAATTGTATAAAAGTATACAATGTAATTAACTCCTAAAAGTAACAGTACGGACCCAAGAATGGTTAACTAATAAAGAATGTTACAGTTATCCGCTAAAGTAAAGTCTTTTTTTTCAGGAGCTCCATTTAGTGCAAGATTTACTGCCGTCAATAAAAAACAAACATAGATTTCTTAAACAATTTGTCGATATAAAACGTGAACGAATGAAGTACATTGGGAATCAATCGCAAGAGATTTTCGCAGTTAAAACATAAAGAAAAAGACATATTTAAGTGACTTCATTGCTTTTTTATCAAAATATGAGGCGGACATTATTGTGAAGAAAAGTGAAAAGGTAATTATTTGTGTTGGTGATCGGTCTAGAGTTTTCACAATAAAAGGGAGATAAACGTTATATGAAACATAAGATTCAGTGCAGTGAGTAATTTTCCTTGACATTGTTAATGGCTAAATGTTGATGACAGAAATGATGATTTACTTCAAATACAATTTAATATTTTAAGTAGATATAAACTCACTTAAAATAACCCCTTTTTGATAGACATACATGTTGTAAATATTCGTGATGAAATGTTGTATGTATTCCTCCTCATTTATTTGTTTTGATGTTTCTGAACCACAGCAGAATCGGAATGCCTTTATGATCATATCTCTTTTGCATACTCCTTAATAATAACGCTTCTTCTGATAATAAAAAGAGGGGTAATTGCACCTTGTTCTCCGTTAATCTTTACCTGCGTGCGAATAATCAATCATTAACAAAGTGCATACATTCTTACAAATATATTTTAAGCCAGTTAGCTCATAAAGTGGTGTGTGTTTTTATTCAGTTGTTAGCTTGTACTTACAATATTTTATTCAAAATCTCTATATATAAAGAATTACATTCTATTGATGTTTTGATCAAACACTTTCGATTTTGATTTGACCACTTTTGGTCGCGACCACGTTGTGATTCGATTTTCTATTGTTCCAATTGAAGGGAAAACCTAAAATACGTGAAATATTCAACCTTCTCTATGCAAAGTTCATCTTAGTTGTTATTTCAACTATACAGGGAATTAAATGTATTTCATAAAATATTTCTCGCTTAATAATTTTTATTATGGTGTTTTTATTCTTGAACGTAACAATGCAGGGTTTCTCGTGATTTTGATTCCAGAACAGTGAATCATTTTAAACATGAAAACCAATTCATTACAGCTTAATTCTCAAAGAGAGACAATCAAATGAACGGAATCATATTTTCTCTTTAAAGGGTTTTCTGAAGTAAAGGAATGAAGCACTGTACAAAGTAATGAAAGCAATTCCGTCCTAAAAAATTAATGTAAAGATGAAGGACTTCTTACATGTATTCGATAAAACACAAAAAGGCGGGTTGCAGTTTTTCATATAAGTATAGTACATTAACTCAGCAATTCGTTTCTTATCTCTTTTTCTTCATAAATTTGTCAACTAATCTACCTTTTTTGCCTCTTTTATTTGTGTTAGCTATAATAAATACAGCTTCATGCTTTATAAGTACTTTTGTACAGTTTGTTCTTTTTTACCCGTGTTTGTGTAGAAGGTCACTTGATTTTAAAAACTTTAATGAAAAGCATTTTATGAAGAGTACGTGCAACGTGAATTTAATGCTAGAATTGAGTTTAATGCATCACAATGTTAATGCTTATCCCGGAAAAATAAACTAAGAAAAACAACTTATATAATTGCAGTATTTCAAATGAATCACAGCATATCTACTTTGGTAAACCGACTAAATTCAATCAGTCTAGTAAATCGAAAGTTTTATAAGAATAATTTCAAAACTAAACTGGGTTGTGTTTATTATATTAGTAAGCATTTACTAAATTTAATTGGTCATGACCAATTAATTTTGTAAATGCTTACTTATTAACAGTTACATATATAAAATTCAATAAAAAAGAGAATCAGCGTCGAGTGCTTGAATTGCTTCTAATAAAAAATATACTTTTTACACAACTTTTCAACAATACATGTAACGTACTATAATAGTATCTGAATGAGATGAACTATTCTAAAAAGGATTGCAATAAAATGTAAAATTGAATATCAAACGTGTGTTTTAAATATATTTATGTCATATAAGTTAAATCAATAAGTTTATATCAGACGTCTTATAGACAATTAGAAACCCCACATTGTATCTTTTTATATTACCATTTTACTGTAAATCATAGTGATACACACATTTTTCAAAGATTTATTTATTGTAAAAAACATTTATTTATTTTCTTCGCGTTAAACATGGGTCTGATGTTTTCACTTTAATGCAAGATCTAATTCCTGACAAAAAAAGTAAAATTTAAAAAATACAATAAAAGAAACAACATCAAAAATTAAAGAAATGTCTGAATATTCAAAATCTTTCAATGATTCACATGTCATATGCACAATGTCTTACCTCCTCTTACCTCGTATTTGGCGCAGTAATGGATATTTTGCATAAATTTGACATTATTTTACATGATTTTTCTTATTGAAAAATATTTCAATTGTCTTACATAGGCTAAATTTCTTTATTTGTTCACAATTTTTAAACTATTTAAAGCAGTTTTTTAACTTTAAATTTTCATGAATATAGAGACCTGCAGCTTTCACGATGTTAACATGAATTATCACATACCATCATTTGTGAAACACTATAAGCTATATTCCAAACATCAAACACCAGCGGGTATATCTGATCCTGCAGATGAAGCATAATTTAATTTGAATAGACTTGATTGATATTTGTCATCCCCACTTCCGTTAGTTTGTCCGCATTATACATTTTTACATTTGTAATGGGTCCGAGTTGATAGTATTCATTCAGAGACGGCGTTTAATAAAAGGTTTTAAATATAGTTCCAACGGCCATTTGGACGGCTAACTATAGAACTTGCTTTGAGCAATTATGGGCCAAATCAATAGGGTAAGTGGTTCAGCAGAAGAAGCATTGTTTAAACTTTATAGGTGTGCTGAAATAACACGAGAAGTATCTCAACCACTTTGTATAGAGTTCATATTAATGACTTCATTCCTCTCATGAATTATTTTCTCATGATGATTCGCTAATAGATTGTCTATATCAATTATCAGTGTTCTTCTGATCTTGGTAATTCTGTGGTCTTTTGAAGCAATTGTTTCGAAGGCCATTTTTTGCATTGCCCTGAACGGCCTAATAGCAACATTTGGAACTGTCAATGCTATTATATTACGAGCTTTACACGTGTATGTGGATAATTATTAAACATTTACGTTTTATGATTATGACTTTGACGAAAAAAATAAGACATTTCCTTCTTTCAAACAATCCGTGTATTTTAATTTTTATCGTACATTTACTGAATAGATCTTTATTTCGAGTGCGTTTTGGTATTAAATATTCGTAGCGCGGTTCTTTTTTATTAGATGTTAAGTTAAATACTCGTGATATAATAAGCATCTGAATAACATACCGAGTATCACAATGCACTCAAGTCAAGATTTTTTTCCACCCAACATGTCATGAAAGGGAAACATTTTGGCCATCACTCTCGTCCAATCTTGACAAAAACTGTGAATAAATTTACCATTGGCGCATATATTTTCAGAAGAAATCAAATAAGAAATCAAATTTTGAAAACGTTGTTATACAAACACTTATTATTTTAATCAAGTTGTTGATTATGTAAATTAGATAAGAGAAATCCTGATATCTACGACACGGGGAAGAACGGAGCATGTACATGGGAATAAGAAAGGAAAATGCGTTGTGGTGAAATAACACCCTTCCGGTTTTTTTACGATAAAAGGTCCCTAATTGTCCTTAAAATGATTTAAAGTAATTAGTGTCACAGACCTCCCGTTCTCCTCTTTACATGCACGTAATTGAGAGGCACAGGGAACCCACCGTGCATATCCAGTAACGCAGGAATGTGCAAGTAACGCAAAAGTTACAACGAATCTGTGCAACGCTATTGCCAAAACCAATAGCACAGTAAGTATACGAACCAAAATATTTGATTCTAAATGAAATTTAAAGAAACGAATAGCGCATACGGCTGCTACGACATTATACTTTAACCAGCATTACAATTTTTTTCAGGAGTATGTTTACTTCTTTAGATCATTCGTGAGAAATACAACCTGATTACCGTTTTGAAGGTGACTTTTGTGTTTTCGTCAAATAAATATGTACATTTAACACATTTAAAACATTATTTTTTCATATTATATATAGATCTACCTAAGACATTTGTCAAACTACAAGTGCGTATAACAATAGAAGGAAGCTGGTAAAATAAGATTTAGCTACTTTTTATGAGATAACCGGCGTTGCTTCAGTGCTTCATTCACGAATTCGGCGTTACCTCGTAAAAATGGTCACAATTACGTCAATTATCTGCTAAATTAACTGTAATATAACACGAGTAGACTGGAAAATGTCTCAGGTACAAGGCATATAAAAATCATAAAGTAACATGTACGTAATTGTATTTAAAGATATCAACGAAAATAAAAATTGCCATCAATACGCTAGTCAGGTCGTCATTTTCACGGATGATCTTGAAAAATTAACATGAAAATATTTTTGATGAGGTTTATAGTATAATGTCTCGAGAGCCATATGCGCTAATTCATTGTACTGTAAAAAATATTGGTCCATTTTCTTATCGCGGTGCTCGTTTTAGCCACTGATTCGCACCATTCTGTGTTATTTGCACATTCCTGCGTTACTGGATATACACGGTGGAACCGGTAGAAGATTTTTAGACCTTGCAACGACAATGTTCTGACTGAAGGCGATGGGAGATGTCCTACAAAGACAGGCACGACTAGGAAGGAAGCCTTTATTACAAAGACTCCTTGAAAGGCAGGCATTTAGCTCATAACAATTCTTATTGGGGCTATTTACCTCCTTTTTTATTGTTATAGGTTACGGTACGTTTAGGTTCCAATTAGCTTCTGTTCAGTGATATACAATGGGCTTAAAATTAATATATTTGGCTTTCACTCTGTGTAAAATTATACAGAGGTAACATCTCACTAATTTATGCTTCAAGATCAAACCCTTGAAAGAGAATAACAGTCCCGAGATGCGAACTCGATGACTTGATGGAGGATGAACCTTCATTAAACAGATTTACGTTACTATGATGTTACTGATATACTAGTATATGTTTATTATCATGATCAATTTCTTTTACATAAAAAAGACAAAACCGCATTTTTTTCAATTTGTTTATTTTACTGTTGTCTTCACACTATTCCAAAATTCAGATATACCATAAAAGTAATAAATAATTTAAGATAAAGCGATTACATGGTATTAAATAATAATAAGATAAAAATATACATCGATATAATTAAATTGACATTTTTGTGAAGCATTCACAATCTAATTTGATTTTTGGTCTTGTCAATGTTTGTCCCCTTAGCTCTTCTTTTAACATACATGTACATTTCGTTAAGAGATGTTTTATCCATCATAGAGTTTCTTTAAATTATATTGCATTGATGAAAGTGTAGCTCTTCTATGATCATAGCTGTGTCGATATTGTTGATTGTCGTCTAAGAACACGTACATTATTGTCAGCTCCAGGTCACATGATCTCAAAATAATTGTCAGAACTTGTTTTAGAGTTTTTAGTGAATTTTCTTAAAAATGTAGTTTATGACAGGACGGAGACGAACGCCGTTGAATCTGAAATAGAAAAGATTTAATTTTATACATTTACAGTGATTTTATAGTGACAAGTGTTTCTGAATAAGTAATTTGACAATATGTTGATATAATCCTAATTAACTTATTTCTTTTCTCCTGTAATATCATATTGTAATGTAATTCACCAATAAGATTACTTAATCTCACTTATTTTTTCATATCTTAGTAAAAGAAGAAAATCTAAATGAAAAATATTTGGTGAACCAACTCATTTAGCACTTACTTAATACCAACATTTTCTTCATCTGAATACAATATTTTCGTTCTAATACCTACTATTTATTGATTAACGAAATGCAAAACAAAATCTTATACTTGGTCGTACAAATAATATTTTTTATAAGTATGATAACCTCTAAGACCCCGTCGTTATGAATATTGGTCATCTCTTGCAGAAGAAAGTAAAATGTTTGATAATCTGTATTTCTGCTCATCACTTAGGCCATTAAACACCGAGTCCAGAGATCTTTTCTTGCGCTTGCCGCTAAAATGTACATAAGTGTTTCAATAAGATAAAGTATATATTGAAGATATGAAAGTATCAAAGTGATACAAAGGCGTTTTTAGTTATGATAATTCATAATTGTTTTGTTGGTTGACAAATATATACATAACTAAACAGCAAGAAGAAACCACGACATTGTTTCTTCATATACCACTAAATTATTTTGATATGAAATTGTATTTGATAGTATAAAATTGAAATTGTAAATGAACTTTAAAATGTTACCATCCTTTAGAAAACTTGAGAAAATTGGAAAATGAAAGGGAATAGGTGAAGAATCTTTCTCATATTGTGCATTTATAACGTGTTGAAATTTACTCACGTGTTCTTATAAAACATGATACTCTTAAATTGGATACATATGACGTTTCATTTATAATACATATTATTCATTTTAACATTTATTTTGTAAACGTAGACCAATGTATCATATATTTATCATTATTTCATATACATTACATATCATATATTTAATTCAGTGAATACAATATAAAGTCTTATAACATAAACAAGATTTGTAAAATAAAATCAGACACAAAATGTCCTTTAAAATTTTATTATGAAATTTGATGTGATAAAACTAATGATATACGGGTATATAAACATGCATAGGATTTAACATTCAACACATGCCATTCACGTAATTTGTATGTGTTTGAAATTGACAAATAAACAAAGTTATACGTTTTAAAAATTTGATGTGCTCGTGCAATAACGTATACATAAATTACAAATTATTAAAAATATTATATAAATAAAAAAATATTTAGCTTATTTGTAAACATAAATACACCGAATGTCAAGTTCTTACTTAATCTATTAATTTTGGATGAAAACAATGTAATTTAATGATGAAAACAATATGAGTGAATGTGTGAATGTGTGGGTGTTTGAATGGGTTGTTATACCTGAAACACTGTATCTTTAGTGAAATTAAAAAAAGGGGAAAAAAACACCGGTTCAGAAAATATCATTTTCATTGTTTACTATATATCTTTTTTGGTATTTGCTTTACTTGTTAAGGAGACCATCATCATTTTGGTCAATTATCTAAAATTATCAATAAATTTATCTCAAAATTTCTTTTTGCTCATAATACAATTATTGTTTTCCTGATTATATCATTTCTCACCCGTGTGATAAAGTGCACAAAGTGTTCAAGATACAAATTTAGCGTAGAAAATACCTATCTCAATTTTAACTACTGTTACTGTCTAAAGATTTTATTATCACGTGACATAGGAATTAATGAATTTCACAGACGCCTTAAGTGGTACTGTTGAAATTGGCATTCCTTAAACAGATACTGATACCAATATATATAAAATATTCAATTAAAAAAACCTAGAAATATGATTTAGTTTTGTATCGTAATAACTTCTTTATCGCCATTTCCTATATTGTTTTTATTTATTGCAGTGTTATCCGTTAAAATGAATCAATGTGTCACGGACAGATGGACCTATCTTTTTTTCAGACTTTCACGCATGGTGGCAATTATTCATACAGCATGATAATATTTTTTTCTTGTGTATAAAGGATTTCCGTGAAATTGGAGACGAAATTTTCCAGCTTGGTGGCAGGCAAGCTCTCAAGAATTCTTGTTAAGTTGTCGCAGTCTGTGTGGAAATTTGTACGGATTCTTGCCATTTATTTCTGGTGAAACACTAATTTTTGAAGACTTATGTTTGATAGTGGCCTAATTACAAATAAATAAAAATCACGTCTCTTGCAATTTAAATTTCTAGCTATAATAACGTGTGTATCTTCGATAACCTCGGATATAAAGTATTGGAACATGCTTTGCGTTTTAAGATAGAAAATGTTCTTATAAGTACCTATTCGTTCTTGAATACTAAACCACGTTTATAAGCTTAACAAGCTTACACTTGCGATATAACAAACACATCGGTTCATAAATCAGCAAAAAAGTTGTCTAGGGAAAAAAACACGTGATTGATACCTTTTCTAAAACAGTATATTGACTATATTCTAACATCGTAGACATATTAGTTTATACGTTACTGTGAGGGGATAAAAGTCCCTATCGTATTTGAATAGATGCAATTTTCCTTGCAGGTTTCAAATTACGTTACAAAAAATAAAGAAGGATGATTTGTTTCATCTTTCGCGTCAACCTCTACCAAATATGATAAGAAAAAAGTTATTTATAATATGAAAAATGACAATGTTTTATTATCCCATCCGTCAAGAGAGTCCTCATTTTGAAAAGGTTGAACCGATATTTTATGATGACGAAAGCAATTACTTATGGCGGGTACCTGCTGTGCGCATTATTCTCTGACATCATTTTTTTCCTAACCTATTTAATTATTCCTTACTTACTTTGAAAAATAAAATAATCATAATTATAATGTACATTATGTTAATTTGAAACACCGAAAAAGGAGTAAATGTGATTTCGAAGCAGACGACAATAAAATAATATCAAAGGAATCAAAACATTGTAAGACGCTATTACTGTATTTCATATTTTCACGTGTAGGATCTCTCTTTTGATTAAAATCAATTCTCTCCGTACTTAAATCATCTTAAAAGTGATAAAAAACAGCATATAGATCACAGTTAACTAAATGTCGAAACTGGCCAATTGAAACGTTATAAACATATGATGTCACTATATACGTACATATAATTCGGGTCAAATAGTCCGTGACCTACTGGTACACCTAGGCCTCTGTTGAGGGCAATAAGAGCCTGGATTTCGGCGATCCTCTGATCCGACATTGTCCGCTTCACCATACTTTTAAAATCAAAGGTTATATAACATGGTGGTTATATATATAATTATATTAAATAAATATATATGAAGGTCATAAACAAAACATAATATAAAGTATAATGCATTATACAAGTTTCATCTACTTCCGTTACAAAACTGCACAAAAAAGCATGCAAAAAAGTTAAATGGGTTTTATTCAGTAGCCTTGACCGTTTTCCTGTCATGAATGAAATAAAGAAAACGCATGCAAGAAACAATATATGTATTTATTTATATTGTGCCGTCGCCTTGGAGACAGCACGTTGATAAAGAAGAGACAAAAAGCTGTTCGCATCGCGCAGTGGGAGATTGTTCAACTTTTCCTGAAAAATTGGTTTATACTTTTATCATGTTTTAAGATATTTTCAGAGCATTAGACTGTAAAACTCAAATCTTTAAACGAATCTAGCTTTCTTATTCGAGTGGAAAGGCATTTATTCTTAAAAAATGTATATAAATGTTTGTATGTCTGCAACATTTTCAATTTTCTTAATATGTTGCGCGATCTTTAATGGGTCCCTATGTGACTGTTTGAATTGAGAACAATATTTTTATGTGAGAAATAAAGCTATTATGACATAAATGGCCAATTAAGCCAATGCGTTGCAGCGATGGTGCACTTGCCTTTATAAAAGTCTAGGCTTGACCTTAAAAAATACATCATCAGACAGACTTTTGTGTTATAACTGAATTTCGATATAATATCGTACTCAATCATTCTTCAAGCTTGTGTTTTTTTATCTTCAATTAATCTACAAATCTGTAAAAAGCAATTCAATATACTTTTATGCTGGTGTTCCATTTCTAAAATATGGCTTTGTCATTCACTGTATGAAGGAATTATTCGACCATTGTGGTGTTATGATTTAAGGATAAGACTGTAACAGTATTAATTATGCCAATGTTTTGATAATCAACGGATGCTACAGGTGACGCATGCAAATGAGTTATTTAAATAAAAAAAATCATGCTTAAGGTAATATATTCATATAAGATAAATATTCGGTCTATCATGCACATTCTCTTATGTAACGCATGCAGTGCAAAGGTAAAATCGCAATATGCAACCATGTGGCACCGGCAAATATATTTGACCACACCCAATGTCATCGCCTGTACCTTTCAAAAACGTCAACTAGACCGCAAGCAATATCAGCGCAATGTGATGGCATTTGAAGATAGCGTAGCAATTTGTTTTTATCAAGCGTGATACGAGCAAGATACTCGGCTGTGCGTAAGTCACCAATTTGTCGTTTATCTCTGAAAAACAGTTCATCAATTTAGTATATTCTGTATTACTTGAAAGACATGGCCTTTAATTAAAAAAGCCGCTTGAATTAAATTCGAAAAGACCGTTTCAACTAAAGACCTTTATATAAATAAAACAATATTCAGTACAAATTCGTAACATTTTTTTTATTATTTTAAAATCAATATTTAAATATTTTTACATAAAAGGAATTCGGCAGAAACGTTTATGAATGTTTAAACAGAAATGGCATTTAAGAATCATATGACCAAAATGGATTGGAAAGTAATTATTGTTAACAGTTCAAGTGTCACAAAGATACTTATTTTCAAAACACATCTTTCTTGTATATTGTATTTCCATTTACATATTCTTATGTAATTTACATAACAGACGCTTCATCAATGGTGGTTCGAATCTATCTAGAATGACTGTCACATAAAACTTGATGTAAATGTAATTTTAAAATACTACCTTTGGAAAATTAAAAAAAAAACGTATGGGGTCTTAATAAACTTTTGATGTATATCTTTACAAGTTAAAACAACTTGATGTCACAGTCTTCAACTGGTAAACATGAAATATTTAATCGGTTACTATTTCTAACTTTTGGACTGCGCCATTTATAAGAATTAATAAAAATTATAATTAGATGCAAATTGATAAACGTTATAAATAGATATAACAATTAGGTCAAGGTCGGGCATACCTGTCGTCTGTATCCTGTAAATATCTAGCAGAGGTGATTGTCGTCAATCCCAAAGCTATAACCAAAACCACTGAAGTTACGTATGTCTTTAACATCTCTGAAAACAACAATAAAAACAAGATTAACATTTTCGAAAATCAGGTTATGACGTAACAAATTAACGAGCCATTTAAAATCCTTTATTGTACTATTACATTAATGGTTTAGTATGCATATGGATGTAATAAATTGTAAGTTTTCTAAACTATGTTAGATATCATATTTAGTCCAACGCTCTACCTATTGAGCTAACCGGACAGTTGCTCTGCAGCATTGGTTTTGATAAAAGAATATATATATCGATAATGAACACTAGGCTCTGTCGTCTTTCTTCTTTTTTAATCTTTAATGTTAACAAATATTCTTATTAACATGCATATCATTCTAACCATTAACATGCAGGCGGCTACAGAATCTAGTCATGTGACAAGTTGAGGACAAACTCAATCTGCAAATCTGTGTTCGCTATTCAGACAATACATATATTACAATTTTCGCTTAAAAGATAGATAGATGGTCTTTTCCAAGATTGAAAGATGCACAGGTCCACCTGAGATAAATTGCTTGTTAAAACTTAAACAATACAGATCAGCTATGATTATGATTGAAATGCATCGCAATAGATTATGGTATTCTAATACGCATATATACTCTAATTTCTTCTTCGGTGACATTTTGTTTCTCTTATTCATGACTATCTCATATCTACTTTGGTGACGTTATTTCTCTTATTCACCTATTATAAGGGGTTTAGTGATTATAATGTTTCTTTTCTCTCTCTTTATATATGACATTCAACATGTGGTAATCCAGTACCGTCTTCTTAGATTGGTATATTAACTTGGAGTGCATTTACAACTCCAACACTTATATACTTTGACAAGAACGTATGTCAAGCGGATAATGTTAGAAACGTATTTGGTCATTGGCGACACATTGAAATATGGTAATGACCGTCTTTACAGGGGAATATACATTAAATAAGAAACGAGAGAAAGAAATAGTATCAAAGCGAATGTTAATGACCGACAAAGTCATAGGGTAACTGATATGCATAATTATTGAGCAACATGATAAATAAAAGTTCTATAAATAAACAGAAAAGTTTCATATTAGTTTAAATAATTGTAAATGTCCTTATGTTGTACTAATACATTTACTGAAATAATACGAATAAACAATTAGCTAAGTTCTAACTTTGTTATAAATTAAATAGATTTTTTTTCAAATAAGTTAAGGCATATATTTCACTTTTTTTGCCAAAAATTAAATCAAATTACACAAAGCAAACGAAATGCACAAAACCCAGACTATGATATTGTCAATTTTTTATTTGATGATTAAAAATGTAATTATAAAAGCACATAACTTTTTTGCAACGAAACTCATTCCATTTCCTTATTTCTTTGTGTGTGAATAAGTAAAGAAACGAGAGGAATTTTAAGTCAGGGACGTGGTTGCTAAGGAAGTACTTCAACCAGTGTGACACAGCAGACTGTTCTGCAACCTTATCTAATCAACAAGTTACACACAGACTCGCAAAGCTTAAGTGTCTTAATGCTAGGAAATCAGGGGAGTATTAGGTTTGGATTATTCTAAATGATCTTAGTCTGCAATAACCTAATAAGATATTTCACACGCACTACAGTGTTCTAATTAGATAACAGTGCTCCGCTGGGTATTAGAACTGTGAGCCAAATTCTATTTTGAAATGTTCAAGAGGAATTTGGTTTAGATTTGTAAATCTGTAGAGATGACTTCTGACTTTTGTTTTGTATGCATCTATAAAAGTGAATGAGATACTTGGAATTAAAGTGATTTGAGATTCCCCAATCACTCGTTAGAGAACAAAGTTCGGTTCCTATTTATATAAAATAGTTCATGAAAATGATCTTCTGATGTATCGTTTGTTTCTCCTGTTATTTGTTGATGTTATATTTCGTATTCATACGCGCCACATCGCAACAAATGTCATTTCAGATAATGAAAGTAAATATATCAAATTTCAAGGTAACAGTGTATAAAGTTAAATATGGTGAAATATTTTATCAAAATTTTAAATAACTGAAGATTTGTGTTGCTTACACATCCTTATAGTGACTTATTAAACAATTTGTAACATATGATGTATTTTTAATTAATTTAGCATACAGAACGTTATACGTAAATGGAATAAAATGTTCCGGGACAAAATATTAAAGCGGCTGCATTAAGTAGGGTTGGTGATGATTTCAAGCATGCCCACTCGCTTTTGATTATTAAATATTCTGACACAGGAATAATCACAATAGAAACAATAATTTCACAATCCACAGATTTCAGAAAGAACGCTAAAATTTAATAAGATAACCCGTTATAAGATAGTTTAGACATAAAAAGTAAAGTTTTGCATAAACATGTATTCATAGACCTTTTGAATATAGCCCAAACTGCATACTTATATAAATTCACACATCTTTTCCATTGAAATAATTGGTAAAACTTACGTCGAAAAACTATATTTAAGTACACTTTTGTAAAACATGACGTAAAAGAAAGGAAAGTAAACAAACCAAAGACGTAATATTTCTACAGGGTACACACTCACTGAACTTCGTCTTTATTGAATTAGCTTCCAGGTGCGACAACAAATGGTGTAATTAATTTGAGCTATTTGACCTCGGCTAAAATCAGCATGGAAAAGCAAACTGTACCTTGTTCTTCTAACACAGATCCAGGAAAATTAATTTTAATTACATTACCTCGATGTTTTGCCGTCTGTACATTGTTTACATGTTTATATATTTTAACCTTTGTTTCCTAAGTGTGGTGGTCATTGCGTCATAAACTCTCAAGAGTAATGAAAGGTGTTCAAATAGGCGTTGGCTTGCGTATATTTTTTTCACTTTCACCTGCGATGTGGAACAATTAACTAGTTTAGGTTTGAAAATATTAAATGATTAAGACATAATTCATAATTGTTATCTATAGACATTTTTATTGAGTTGGTCCATGGGAGGTCATAGAAAATGGAACATCCCCCACGCCCCTTGGCACCGCCTAAAACTGTATTCACGATTAATTCCTTAAATTACTAAGTAAAACTATAATCCCCAAGGTCCAGAACAATATTAATATCAACATTTGTATTAAAACCAATCCAACACGTATTGCCCTTTCAGATATACTTAAAATAAAATTGACCGGAAATTATTATTACGCTTTTGAATACTTCTTAGACCAATTTAAAAGATGTCTGTATGGAACGTCAACTCATGTTAGATCCTAACATTATGTCTTGGATATTTAATCTTTAGACAGTACATATTTGGTATTAAATTTGATTACCAGGAACGAGCTCGCTGCCGTGATCTGGAGTGAAAAAGCACACCACCGCCGACTACCCGGTATACTAGTATATGAAAATTGCAAATTCCGAAGACTTTAGTTGACTTTTCTGTAAATTGAATATTTTGAGACATCCTATTACTTAAATTTAATAAAACTATTAAAAAAGAAGAACATTTAAGGATGTGCTTGTTTTATTTTCCTGGCTATATAAAGGTGATTTAAGAACTATCATTTGAACCGTTGCCAATGAAAGAGTTAAAACCTTCCGACCTTCAAGTTTTATGTTTGCTCAATTCAAGAGTCACACGCACGCACACTTGTTGTCTTTAATTTGTTCATTCTTTTCATTCAAAATGTGACTATCGCGTGACATATTTTTTTTTGTAACATAAAATCTGTCTGTCAAAGATTTCAAGAGTTTTTGGTAATAGCTATTGGCAGAATAAAGTAGGAATGTGTATAAGATACAAGGACCATTGATTTCTTAATCTCCTCCGCGTGATGTATTTTGATTTAAAAAGATCATCATTTGATGTGTAAATATTAAATTGTATCAAAGCCGGTGCTAGGGAGGGGTCATGAACTCTATCTTGCAATCACCACTACCACCCATGAGTAGACGCCGACTCAATTAAACCAAGCGCGTAAGATATTCAATTTTGCCGATTTTATGTATTTATTTTGTAATTTGTTTATTTCATTAAATTTTTTTTCATTTATTTTTTAGGGGGGGGGGGTGGGTCTTCGGGGGTTCTGTTTTCTGTATTCGGCTTCTTGGTAACGTCTATAACTACAATTAAATGTTGGACACTGTGACTAAATTTCCCATAATTTTAATACACAATAAGTCATTTCATCCCGATATTGACAATTGCCTCCGAAAAAGCAGTGAATCAATTTCCCTAACTAAAATTATTAAAAGAAGATGTTGTTTTTTTTTAATAATTGCTCGGCGATATGCGAATGAAATGCAGTTATAAATGGGCGCCACGCCCAAACAAATAAACATAATGAAAAATTACACTAGAAATACCCCTAAGACTGAACGAAACAAGTTTTATTAGGAAACAAATAAAAAATGACGTTGAAAGGTTTAGAAGACGGGACACTATTAAAACATTTCTTAGACATGCTTTCCTTTTAACCATATATTCATATTATGTTATACTTGAAAATGTGTCATTATTTGTTATTTTCTCATTAAAGCTAAGAGTTTTCTTTCCAACATCAGTGGGTGTCCACACAAAAGAAATGCAAATAGATTGTACGAAAATTGCTCATTACTCCATAAGATGTTGCCATAATGAATATCCATGTCAGTTTCAATACAGAAAGGCAGTGAAATGTAGTAGAAAATATAACACTTGAGTGTCTAAGTAACAAAAGTAACAACGCGCCGTGTCCACAGTCTGTTAGTTAGTATGTAATTTTAAAGAATTTTCACATTTTGTCATGGTGTACAAATGTATTTAATTGGCTTGGTTGTCCATTTTGGTTAATTTAATGGCTTTAGGGTTATTTATTTTGCGCATAACATCGTTTTGTATTTACATCAAATAAACAACATAAACAAAATCAAAATACAATCAAAAGATAAAATGTAATAATGCAAAGGGTGTTATGAAATCAATACATTTGTAATTTTGCAACGGCGACTGTTCGGTACTACTTTAATCATCTTCAAATTAGTTTTTAGGCACCATTATTTCAGACAAGCAATATTAAAGA